ATGTTGTGCAGGCTTAACCAGAAAGTTAACCCTCCCTCGGTGGCCGTTCCCTCTTTCTGATGACCGTTTTCTTTTATTTCTTCCAAACTCCGATTTTAAAATGTATTTTAATTTTTTTTACGGTACGATTCTTGCCTTTATTGGCAATCACGAAATCGAATCTCTGTTAATTCGTAGGAGTATTTGGAAATCCGCTATTAGTTTTGCATGTAAAGTGGATAGAGGGAAAGAGTAACTTTTAATTTATTAGTAGGCGCTTTTTTATTGAATTTATCCGGATTTAGTGAAACCATATATTTTCACCTTGTAAATGCGATAAATTCTCCATGGTTGTATTTAATTATTTCTATATTCAGTGTAAGTAAACTTGGAATAATCCGACCTCGACACTTAATTTACTGATAACGAGATATCTACTAGTTTAATAAAGATATTTAAAATACCACATAATTAGGCATATAGATACGTTAATAACTTGTTTATATCTGGAAATAAACTACTTATGTGAGTATCTCAATTTCGCCTACGAACAATGATTAGCCAGCCCGAGAAGTCGCAAGAATGCTGCAGGTACTTAAATTTCAGTTATATTTGTTACACAAGACGTTCGAAAAAACTTGACCAATCCCCGCTTTACTTATACGTTTATCTCTGAATTCATTAAAGCCGTTCTTCGTCATATAACTAACGCCTTCTACGATCCAGACACCAACTAAGGTATAAATAAAAATACCTCGCAATAAATCCATCGGGAGAAAAAGCAACAAAACCTTTCCACTTGTATATCTATCATCCCACTCCCTGCTGATATACAAGTGCTGAAAAAATACCGCTAAAGGAACCTTGTAAAACTAGTTTGGGACCACGCCACTGGACAATCGCAGGGCCGGATTTTACCTTTCCCCCCGTGTCAATCTCTCGAAACCTGAATAATAAAGAGCCTCTATAAAATGCATCACCTTCCCCGATTCTTAGAACGCTCGCTGTATGAAGACATAAAAGCGTCGTTGTACTTTTACTTAAGGCACTATAAAATTTCCTGAATAACAAAAACGAATCCTGCAGGACATCGCTATAAATTTAGCGCGAAAATTCGGCGAAAACGCCGTCTAAATCCGCATCTGTTTCGCGAGTCTTTGCAGGTGGGCGAAGGTAGGTATTTCTTTTTGTTTTGCTCGCAACTCTTGTGTGGGTTTTCGGACACTCGGATACCACTCATATCTTAGAACGGCCAGGAAAAGTGTGCGACAGTCGTCGTCGATACGTACATACGTCGAAATCATCGTTTTCCGATGCGAGCGAACAATAAAGTCCATTATTAGTCGAGTGATCGGACAATATTTGTTGCGTGTTCGACCTTTTAAGTGAAAAGTGATACCCGTGATACGATCCAAGTCCAAATGGAGGCTAACGCATAAATGCGAGCATAGCGAGCGCGCTTATTTACAGATGGTATAGAAAAACCCAGGGAACAGTCGCTAAAAGTTTGTTATTATTGGGTCGAGTCGTTTTAAAAATTATTTTTAGACTAATTAACTCGGTAAATACATTTAGGTACATTAATTTTACCAAATAAACTACTATATCCAGTATCCAAATTTAACTATTTCCGACATCTAAAATAACGTTGACGATAAAGAATACATTTTCTATAGCTCTCTTGACACTTTTTAGGACATCCTCCTTTTTACGGCTGTATAACATCGACTACAAAAAAAGTGAAATTTCATGAATCGACCTCTTTAATCTGCAGTTTTATTACGCTCGGTAAATAAACCAATTAGTTCACGAGCTGTTAAAAAGTCGAACTAAAACAATTTGTCTAGAAAAGCGATATTGGCAGAAAAACTTTCGCCAGATGTTCGCCAGCTGAAATTAATGTGTATCAAACGACATGCGTTAAAGACGATTTCAAGGACTCGGGATTCAGTGTTAGGAAGACACATGTGCGCAAACCAAGAATAAAAATAAATAGATACCGTTATCTAATAGAATTATGTAATCACAAAGTCGGATTTTGACACGGAGAAGGTTTATCGCGCCTTAACCGGTTCGTAGGTATAGTACAAAGCTTTTTTCGATTGTTACAACTAACTGTAAACAGTAAGAACCCGATACGAAAATAATACGAAATTAAACTATTACAACACAGAGTCAACAAAAAGTTACAATGCCGTTGTACGATAATTATTCTAACGAAATTGTATTTTTTGTTGCAATTACTGTAAGTTTACAAACAATTTCAAAATAACTCAGGTAGGTTTTAGATTATATCGCTCGCTATTTGAAACTGTCATTAACGTCATAAAAGCGGAAATGCTCGGTATTCGGAGCTATTTGCTTACATGCATTTCTGGCGTTTCTTTTATTAGAAAACACATTTTACTTCGTGCAGTCGCTCTCCGCGTTTTCGTTAATAAAACGCGAAGCTTTGCCAAGCACCTTGCGAATTAAAAGCGCTGTACGTTTCGAGCTTTAATAGATACTTGCGAAGCAGCCAATTGTCTTTCATTAAATTTCATCAACTTTTTTTATACACACAAATTTAGAATCCATGACAATTTAATAAATATAAAGTATTGTAGAAGAAATTGTTAATATTAGAATAATTTCAGTATGAATTAAAAAAAATGTATTTCAAACATCAAACAACTTTAGAACTTCACATCAAAGCTACAAAATATAGACTCGTATAAGAACGAAAACCATTACAATAGCAAAGACTTAAAAACATCATGAAATCACATCACTTAACAGTATCTATGAGTCTTAAAATGCACTGACTGATAAGTCGAAGTGTATACACATCGTAATATCCTTGCCTGTAAAATTTTATTTTCATTTGTGGAAGAATTTCGGTCAACGTCCGATTGAGTTGTAATAAAAGATTTGTTTATTTGGCGTTCTTATCAACTTCTGAATGTAAACAATAATAAATGCAATCGACATGTGCGTCTATAATACCTAATATTAAATAAATATAGGCATTCTATCGTATGCGGACTTTTTTCACGGGAACTGAATTAGAAGCTCAGGTAAAAAGCTCGCTCGGCTTATTAACTATGATGAATTACCTGTTTAGTCGAAAACTGATAAAAGCGACCATGATTGAAGATGGTTATTTAGACGTTTTTTCCATGTTAGTTTTACAATAATTTTAATGAAAAGTTGATTTTAGGAGCTGTCCCTTGTAAGTAGCTTTTTAATTGAGTCGAGAAATAATCCATCAATCATCACAACAGTTAGTAAATTCTTCCTAGTTCTATTGTCTTCGAAACTCTTTAGCGTTGCTTTAGAAGGTGATCGTAGGAAAATTTATCTAGGTTAATTGCCATTTAAACAAGACAACGAATTAATTACTTTAATTACCGAAAAACCAACGACAAGCGCATTCATTTCGAGCGCGACAGTTCAGTGGGACGAGAAGAATATTCTAAAGAATATTTCGGAAACAATAGACACCGACACTGCGTGTATATCATTGTCTGGATTATTCATTGGTTCCGTTGGACCACACAGCGGGCTACAACATTTATTTTCTCTTCGGAGATTTGTATAAAGCCTCGACGTTATTGACTGCCTGTCGTAAAGAATTTGTTTTAGACAAAGATTTTTCTGTTTGTTGTAACGCGAAGCTAGAATAACAACTAGAACAATTCCAGCGCTCGGACGATGAAGCAACTGTGGAACCGTCTGAAGAAATCGCAATAAAAACGCTCTCACCGAGCTTTTATCGAAGTAGCATTTTATTTTATTACAAATATAAAATCGGAATGGCTTCCAGTTTCATTAACGTTATTTCGAAATAAATTTCATCCAGAGAATTACCGATAGTGCTGCAAGACAAGCGAAAAACCAGAAAGCGAATTAAAATTAAATCCGAATCAACCGAAAGAAAAAATAATTAATGAGTTATGCATACATTGTCGCCAACTCGCCCGATATTTATTAACCGATTGCCAATTATACGATTCTTTCGAAGTAGAAAGGTAGATTTTTTGTCGCGAGATAATTAATTACCTCATTCGGGTTATTGGATAAATCGAAAAAGGTGGATGAGAACGGAATCGAACAATGAGCTATGAATATATAAACGAGAAAAAAATCGCACTTCGACCTCCAAGCACTGTGTTCTTTTGTTGATTTTACGATCTCGGGGCGGTCCAGAGCTATTAATTATTCCACGGTTATTTGCATAACGCATTACTGTCTTTGAACTATTCTAAAAATAAACTTACGTATTAAGGTAACTCGAAATAGACGGACTCGGTAAATTGCCTCGGCTTCCCATCATACGGCCTTATGATTTGTGGGAACTTATAAAAACCAAATTAAAATTCATCGAACAGTTTTTTTAACACCGCATTTTTCTGGCTATGCGTGAAACATATCCAAGCACATGTTTGAAATTAGATTAGGATCGTTTTAAAACAGGGTAAAAATTACAACGCTACTTCTACGTCCCTGAACTTATTACCAATCGCGTGAACGTCAATTTTAATACAGCTCAACATCAATTTCGATTTAAATTGACGAGTTAGCTTCGAAGGAGCGCATCCACGCTTTTTAGGATCAATTTAGCCGATACGTTCAATTACCGTATATAAATTTATTAACGCTCGAAAACGATGCACTGAGAATTACAGCTGGTGAATTTGATAAAAGGCGTTTTATATATTATTAATGATCTTCCAAATTGCCTGTATATCTCCTAGCATTTACACTGCCATAATTTAAGTCCAATCGATTTATTGTGGTGTCCTATAAAAGTGGGTTTGTAGTCTGGGACTTATGTACAGTGCGGCATTAATAACTGTAGACGTTATAGATCATGCGCAATGGGTTAAAACGTTTATTTTTCGTTTGAAAGTAGCGCAGGTCAAGTCTGTAATTCTTGCAAATTACAGGTGATTAAATTCTTTGCAATTACATGTGTTTGATATGTAATTATGTATGTCGCACTGTAGATAAGTAACGATATAATTTGTCGATTCTAATAGAGTGAGGTGCATTACTGATTGAATTGATAAATCTAAACTGTGACGGTTCAGAAACTGGTGGTAATTAAAAACTAGACGAACATTTAAACCTGTGATGTGCTATTAGTTAAAAACTAGTAAAACCGTAAAAATGGCGACGATCTGCTTCCGACCGCCGCCTCTTCCGCCCAGCAAAAAGTCCTCCCAATTCGCGAACGCCGGCCGGCAAAGGCCCAAGCAAAACTACGGTCTGCTCTCGTCCACGTACCTGAGCTTCCGCGAATCCTCCGACGACGCGCTCGCCGAGAGGAGCAAGGAGACGAGACCGGGCGCGGGAAAGCGATCCAGGAAATTGGCGCATACGAATTCGCTAATCAGGAAAAAGGAAGCGCCGCTGGTGCTGACTAGGAGCCAATCGGACGGGAACATCGACAGGCAGGGCACGTCGCCGTTGAGTATCAATAGATACATGAGGGTGCTCAGCGGGAGCTGGAAAAATCTACTGAACCGTAAGTCGCATCTGATTTTGATTACACGCCGACTAACGTTGAAGGCGGATCGTACATGCAACAACCTAATCTATCATTACTTACCTACTGTAGTTGTAAACTTAATGATGTTGGAATAAATATTTTGTAGGAGTACCTACCTATCTACTTATCTGTACCTACCGATTGGCTTCTAGATGTTGTTTGTGTACGATTTACTGGAATTATCTAAATTATCTTTGAAATAACATGTAATTTCTGTTTTATATTAAGTTTATTTTTATTGTAACCATTAGAGGTTTGTTTATATTTTTTTGGTATCATTCCAGATATATGTAATGAGAAATTAATGAAATAAGACAGCTTTTTAAAAAATCTTTTAGATGGTAATTAGATTATTTTAAGTACGATAAAATCAACTGAAAAAAACTAGGAAAACATCAAAATAATATTCAAAATCGCTTATAGAAACTTGAAAATAAACTATGCATACTTTCTAAAAATTCTACATTTTTGAAGAAAATTCTCGGGTAGGTATATACTCCCTTTACTAACTTACTTTTTACTTATTAACATGCTTTTATTTAAAAATTATTCACTAATATTGATAACTTCTATTTATAATAACAGTGGTTTTTCATATAGCAATCTGGTTCTCACCATCTTCCTTATTATGCGTTTATCTGGTTTAAATGTTAATAAACGTTTAGAATTACACAATTTTATCGCGAAACCTTACAATGTTTTTTGATTTATCATCATTTTAGTTAATACAAGCGACACCATTGTGCTGCATTCTTCCGAGAATTATGATTTTTGTCCACTCAATAAAATAGAGTGGAGTGACGTGCGTGGGCTTTTTATTGTGATAGGTAACTCAAATAACGTACGTATAGCCTACAAATTCATTTAACGGTAAAATCCTTAAGCAAACGATACGAGATGCTCTCACGCACGCTAAGTTGTTGCGGTTATAATGAAAAATGGCGCTTTTTTAATGTTTGTAACAATTTATATTACGAAAAGGAACAGCAACATTAACAACGTTATAACACAAAAAAATGGTAAATTGAACGGTGAATATACAAGAAAAAATAGCTCGACGTTTTCGTGTCTTATCGTATCGAGTTCAAACTTGTTAGTTCTTGAAACTAGAAAATTCGGCGGCTGGACGCTGCGAAACGGTATCCCCTCCGCGCGGGCAATAGGAATAACAGCCAGGGGCGGCAGCGATTCGCGCGGACCTCAGGACCGGCCGCAACATACTCCCGCCTTGAAAGGTCCCCTTTCAATCCGTGATGGGCAAAGGGCAGATCTTCTGGAAACCACGTTTAAGAAGACCCGCAGAAGTCTTGATAGTAGCCACCCGATTGACACCGTCTGGGCCCGGATGGACTTGCAGGATTCGTCCCAATCGCCATTGAGTTGGACACGAAGAATCCTCTTTGATCAGGACCAAGGCGTCCTTGGAGATTTGAGCTTGAGTCGTTCGCCAACGAACTCGGGTTTGTAACTCCGAGATGTATTCATTCATCCATCTGCGCCAGAAGTGTTGGCACATTTGCTGAACCAATTGGAAGCGGTCTAATCTATTGACCTTGATGTCGGTCAAATCGCCCTCGTTTAAAGCTGTGATTGGCCTGCCGATGAGAAAGTGAGCTGGACAAAGAGGATTGAGGTCGTTCGGGTCTGAACTAAGAGGAGATAATGGTCGGGAATTCAAAATACCCTCTATTTGAACTAGTAATGTATAGAATTCCTCAAAAGTAAGAGGCGTTTTAGAGACAACTCTCTTCAAATGATGCTTCGAACTCTTTACGCCCGCCTCCCACAATCCGCCAAAATGCGGTGAATAGGGCGGTATAAATTGCCAATTGATAGATTCGGAAGACGCGAAGTTCATTACATTGTCAGTTAATTGTTTTGAATTTAGAAATTTACTAATTTCCCGTTGCGCACCCACAAAGTTGGATCCGTTGTCGGAAAAAATACGAGCAGGTCTACCCCGACGGGATATGAAGCGCCGCAAAGCTTGTAAGAAGGACTCTGTGGATAAACTAGAAACCAGCTCAAGATGAACCGCCTTTGTCGAAAAACAAACAAATAGTCCCATGTAACACTTGGTGATTTTACAACCGCGACCCTTCCTATCCTTCACGAGGAAAGGACCTGCGTAATCGATTCCTACGACGGAAAACGGGCTGGAAGGCGTTACTCGAGATTTGGGCAAATCGCCCATTATAGGCTGAGCCGATGTTATGTTAAAGCGAAAACATTTCAAGCATTTTCGTACAGTGGCGCGAGCCAAATTTCGCCCGGAAATAGGCCAATAAGTATTTCTAATGCTATTGAGTAAATGCTGAGGACCTGCATGAAGCAGACGAACATGCTCCTCTTGAAAAAGTAGTTTAGTGAAATGATGACGACCACTCAGTAGAATGGGATGGTTTTTGTTAAAATCATAATCTGAATACTTAAGTCTACCCCCCACACGTAGAATGTTATTATTATCCAAGAAAGGAGCAAGACTGGATAACCTACTAGGTTTATTGCTCAGTACAAGTTGGATCTCGGAGCAAAAACTCTGATGCTGGCAAATGCGAACCAACGCGTTCATTGAATGACTGAGTTCATCAAGAGTGAGAGCTCCAGACACACGATCACTCCTTGATTTGATACAATTTTCTTTAAATCGAAACATATAGGCAAGTACCCTTTTCATTCGGGAAACATTGGAGAAATTTTCAAAAGGGAAATGTAGAGTGATATCAGACCTTTGAGATAAGCAAGATGATGTCTTCATTTCAGGTAATTCGTCTATGACTGATTGTGCATCAAGCCATTCCATCTGATCATGAATGAGCCAATCTGGCCCAGACCACCACAACTTGGATACAATTAATTGAGAAGGAGCCATGCCCCGTGAAACAATATCTGCTGGATTTTGACTAGTGGGAACATATTTCCACTGACAGTTGGATGTCAATGTTTGTATTTCAGAAACTCGATTTGCTGTGAATGTTTTCAGTAAATTAGGACATGTTTTTATCCATGCCAACGTGATTGTCGAATCGGACCATAAGCAACAATGAGAAAAGTCTAGACTCATGGAATTAATAATTTTGTGACTCAATCGAGCCAAAAGTAACGCTGCGCAAAGCTCTAACCTAGGAATGCTGATGGTTTTTATAGGTGCAACCTTTGATTTTGCTGCTAACAAGGAAACACGCACCTCTCCCGCCTCTGAAACACTACGCAGGAACACACAACAACCATACGCTCGCTGCGATGAATCGCAGAATCCATGAAGTTCGATCCGAGAGCTGTCGCCCAGTACCACATGGCGCGGTATAATTAAATTGTTTAGTAAATGAAGGTCTCTCACGAAGCCAACACCCGTCTCCCTCATCTTGTCTGGAATAGGATCATCCCACGACACCTTGCTAGACCACAATTCCTGAAGGAGAATCTTTGCCAAAACAGTACATGGACTCAACAAACCAAGCGGGTCAAAAATACGAGATATCAGTGACAAAATCGATCGCTTAGTTAAGTTATTGTTGTCCTGATTAACATTGACGTTATAGAACAAATTGTCATTTTTACAAGACCATAGAAGTCCCAGTGTCTTGATTGTATCATCTATAGAAAAGTCTATTGTCTCGTGAGCGATATTTGAAGCGTTCAAATCCCCCAGGACTTCCGGCACATTTGAACACCATTTTCTTAGTTGAAAGCATCCGCTCTGTAAAACGTTGGATACCTCTAGGCAAATATGCTTCGCTTCTTGAATTGTGTTAGCCCCCGTTAATAAATCGTCGACATAAAAATCTTGCCTTACTATTCTAGATACCAAGGGATTCTGACTTTCAATTTTCTTGGCCAATTCGAAAAGACATCGAATTGCTAGGAAGCTAGCCGATGCTTGACCATACGTTACGGTATTTAATGCGTACGTGCGAATAGGATCAGAAATACTATTGCGCCAAAGTATCAATTGCAATGGTCGTTGTGACGGGTTAATGAGAACCTGCCGATACATTTTGGCTATATCGGCTGATACAACATATTTATATTGTCTGAATCGTAAAATTATAGATAGCAAGTCATTTTGAAGAATTGGACCCACGGCCTGAATATTGTTTAATGACAAGCCATTGCTTGATGGAGCCGACGCGTCGAAAACCACTCGGAGTTTCGTCGTCAAGCTGGACTCTTTTAAAATGCCATGATGTGGCATGTAATAATGCGTTACATGATTTAGATCGTCACCAATTAATGACATGTGATTCAAGGAAGCATATTCTGACATAAAATCTCGATACATTGAGTAGAAATTGGTGTTTTTTAATAAACGTCGTTCTAATGCCAGGAACCGTCGCTCTGCTTGAACCCTCGATTCTCCCAGTACACCAGGAGCCTGCTTGAGTGGCATGTTGACCACAAATCGTCCACTTTCGTCTCTGGTGGTGGTTTCCGTGAACGTTTCTTCGCACAAACGCTCGTCTGGAGAACTTACTACCTTGCTGTTCTCCAATTCCTCAATCTCCCAGAATTTTGTGAGAGTCTGCAGCAACTCTTGATTGAGGCTCAAATTGCACGATATGGACTTGGAATTGAACGCAACAAATTGTCCCGAAACGATCCAACCCAAACTTGTTTCATGCAAATAGGCATTCTTACCAATTTCGAATTTATTATTACCCAAAATTTGCCAGAACAAGTCGGCACCAATTAACATATCTATCGGACCTGCCTTATAAAACTCGGGGTCGGCCAACTTGACATGTGCTGGACATTGTATCTTGAAGTCACCCACCGATAGATTGGGAAAAACGCTAGTTATTTCTGGTAAAACGTAACAGATGATAGACGCTGAAAATGAATTGTATTTAGACCTAATTTGTACATCACATTTTGATTTTATAGTCGAAACACTATTAGTAATTCCGTATATAGAAATGTTACTGGATCTGGCGGTGATGCCCAGTTTTCTTTGAACTCGTTCGGTGATGAAAGAAGTCTGAGAGCCGCAATCTAGAAGGGCTCTTATCTCATGATACGAGCCGAAATTATCGCACACTAACAATAGTGCCGTAGATAAAATTGTCAAACCTGCGCGGTTATTAAGTACGCCACTGCTTAGCACGGTAGCGCCTGAATCCTCGTTTGTGGCAATGCTATTATCAGCATCTGTGTGAAGCAGAGTATTATGCCCTTTTTTGCATTTTTTGCATGGACCTAGTTTACACTTGGAAAAGGAATGGCCCAATCGTAAACAATTAATGCACATTGAATTGTTGGACTTGACGAATTTATTTCTATCTTGAGATGAAAGTCCCAGAAATTCCTCGCAAGAATATATAGCATGTTCCCCTTTGCAATAGAAACAAGAATAGTTATTCGACAATAAAGCTCGCGAAGTTTCCTTTTTTGTGTTATGAAAACCGCCTTTGTTAGGCTTACTTGTAGATTTGTTATCATGGTTGCACTTGTAATCCAAGGAGTCGATGAAATTAGCACGATCGCGAATAAAATTTAAAAATGTATCGATGTTAGGAGACGCAGTATTGTTTCTCTGTTGACGCTCCCAATCGCATAATGTCGCATTATCGAGTCTCTGCGAAATCCAAAATATCAATAAGCAATCCCAATTATCTATTGACTGACCCAACTGTTGAATTGAACCTAAATGCCGCGAAATATTATCAGCTAACTGTTGCAATTTGTCGAAGGTACCCTTTTGAAGAGGATCAAAAAATAGAAGAGCACCCAAATGGTCGTGCAACAATCTCTTTTTATTATTAAAACGCTCACATAGCATATCCCACGCCACTGTATAATTGCTTTCAGTGTATTGAATTTTTTTTATAGACGCGGCAGCAGCGCCTTCCAGCGCGCCCCGCAAGTAAAAGAATTTTTGAATATCGTTTAGCGCACCGTTCGCGTGTATTACCGTCGTGAAAATATCCCGAAACTCAAGCCAGTTTTCGAAATCGCCGTTAAATTTTGGCAATGTAATTTCCGGCAATTTTATAACGCCCGATTCACATTTTGGAGAACTAGAAACAGTGATACTTGAACTTGTATCGTCATACTTTTTCAACAACAATTTAGCCCTACTAGTTATTGTATAAAACCTGTCCTCGAAATTTTGTAGTTCCTCGCGATGAAACTCTAAATCTTCCTCTTCACAAATGCATTCAATTTCATTGTGTATACTTTGAAATTCCCCTAAAAGATCAGATGCACCCTGCGATCTATTATTGAAAATCGTAATTTGTAATTCGTCTAGTACATCCTCACTTTCAGCAGAATCCAAATGCTTTTGAAACGCCGTCAATGAAGCCTTTATAGAGCCTCTTTTCCTTATTAGTTTGGATAAATCAGCCATTTGAATAGAGTTTATAGTTTTAGTTTATGGTTTATATTGAAAATTGAAATGTTCAAATAGAAAATATAGAGAAAAATGAAAAATGAAAGGATAAAATAGGAAACTCACTCGTTTTCAGAAGTCTTCTGATTCCCTTATCCGCTTGCCGAAGGACCAATATGTTTGTAACAATTTATATTACGAAAAGGAACAGCAACATTAACAACGTTATAACACAAAAAAATGGTAAATTGAACGGTGAATATACAAGAAAAAATAGCTCGACGTTTTCGTGTCTTATCGTATCGAGTTCAAACTTGTTAGTTCTTGAAACTAGAAAATTCGGCGGCTGGACGCTGCGAAACGGTATCCCCTCCGCGCGGGCAATAGGAATAACAGCCAGGGGCGGCAGCGATTCGCGCGGACCTCAGGACCGGCCGCAACATTTAATACGTAAATTCAGCGGGCGCGACCTCAAACGAAATCCTTGCCCTAAAAAAGCGATCGAGTCGAATTCGTTTAGGACGTGGAAGTCCGTAGGAAAAAGGCATGCCATCGCTCCATCTGGAATATAACAAACCGTTTGTAATTATGAACTTCCATGTAGTGGGTGTGTTACGATTTTATCGACATTAAATATTTGTGCGATGTGTTTTAATGGCCTCTTTCCGGAAGAGTTACTATTTTCATACACTTATTTAATTACATCGGAGACATCGAATATTTATAAGCGGGGTCTCGTTTTAATTCGTTCTCCTGACCCCGTGTCCAGGAAAACGGAAAACTCCAGGTAAATTATTTGCACATAAATTACATTTTAGTCGTCGTTTCATTCTAATTACGACTAGCAGTTTAATAAGTTTTGTCTTGGTCTTGTTTTTCGTGTGACAAGTGCGATGAGTGAAGTTGTTATTAGTATACATACTATACATAGTTAGTAAAATAATTACCATAGCAACACGTTTTTATTTGCCTTCGGGAATAATACCTGCGGTGTTTCGTGATTTCTGCAATTCCGCATTTTACAAAAACATCCCGTCTTATTTAGTTTTATTAGAAGCGGATGCGGCTGCTGTAGTTAATATTGTGGAAGTGCTTAAAATCCCAATTATATATTTTTAATGTTTTTTTTTGAAGTATTAACTCATTTCTTCTTTAGACATCCATCCTCTATACAACTATTATAAAGTTCTTATCTATTTATACTTTTATACGATGTACCTATTAAAAAATATTATAACTAAGTATTAGTCATAAATCATAAATCTTGATCTTCGCACTGCCTTTATGGCTAAGTTTATAAATACACCTAGTGTAAACTATTTGCGATAACCTTATATGCAGCTGTATATCATACGGGTCATAAGTTTGTGATCTACTAACATCACGCTTCAAAAATTCTTAACAATGTTGCTTAGGTGGCCGCAAGATAAATCAATCACACGATTTATTAATGTGTTAGCTGCGTATATAAATTATCTACATGCATTATTATATGTAATCCACCTGAATTACACCTATTCTTGCCGAGACACTACATATCTGATCAGACTGCTAGAATGCAAAGAACTGTTTCACGAGTGGATTTAAAGTTCAGTACTGTCCGGTTCGGGTGATTTATGCCGTTTAAAACGCAGCGTATAAATTAAACCACGGATCGATTACTTATCTAATGCCTCCTCATCCAGCGTAATGGCGATATGAGGAGTCGCTGCACCGGAGCCTACATAAACGGCGAAGTCTGTTCCCGACAGATTTACCGTCCCACCAGTTCCAGAAACGCTCGAATATCCCCGATACATCATCGAATAGTCATCCATATGTTCGTAATCCATTCGGTCTATGTTTGGGTAACCGGAGAGCGTTTTTTAAGCCGTTTTCGTCGTGAAATGTAACCAGCAATTACGTATTACTTCCTCTGCTCGTATTTTTTTAGTGCATCTGTGAACGTGAACTATGTTGTGACTTGTGACTTTTAATAACGGCCGAACTGTTGGAAAGTTACACGTTTATGCGCGCATTGGTTTATGTTCCACGTAAAGGCTATGTAGTTATTTTTTTCGTAATGGCCCTAAACGTAGGTTTGTGGTGTGAAGGTGAGATTAGTTTTTAGATTCGTGTATTTTTAATTATACATGGTATCCCATAACTATTGTTAATTGATGTTATTTAATTATGATTAACGACTGTTTTAAATTGTTGAATTCCTATATGTTTAAAAGGAAACCTGTACCAGAAATATACGGTGGTTTCACCTGATGCCACACCTTGTATCTTTCCAAAGCAAATACAAGAAAAGTTAATTTTACTGTCGAGTAACCAACAAAAGGACTTCTTTGTTTTCTGTATGAAATAAATTTAAAATACAGGGTATGTACTTTAAATGAATTGAAACGCTTACGATACCATCTGTTACACGCTATTATCCTACTTGGACGATGAAATAGTAATGTCATAATTTACCAAGGTTTCGAGTAGGCCGTGAAATAAGTAAAGGTTGTAACCCACCATCCACCTTAATAGTAAACTAAGCACATTCACATGCAGGTTTTTTTTTACTCATTCTAGAATTCATTCATAAATATTAAACGATGAAATCCGAGTCTAGCAAATAGGACGCAGATGGACGTTATTTTTCCGAATTCGGCAGTTTATTTCAATGTTTACAATCCGCCACGAACTGCATGAATAAAAACAGCCGATTGAATTGCGCGATTGTACAACGACACATGTCCGAGAAATGCAAATTTATCCGGGAACAATGGTATGAAAATCACGTGGGCTAACAATATTCCAAATCGACTGGTAAACTTTCTTCTAATTATTACATTAGATTCGTCCAAATCTAGTCAAAATTCGTATTTTCATTATGCATATCGTGAATCGAGAACGCGCCCACGGAAGATAAACCTCAAGATTGAAATTTTCTGGTAGTTTAGAAGCTACATAGGTAGCTGTAAAAGTGAGCTAACGTTTGCTCCTTGTCATTGGAGTAGTTTATTGCCTCGTTTTGCCATTACATCTTTGAAGTACGGAATGCTAGTCGTTAGTTGACTTTGTCGTTCGACAACGATTCGCACTGCATTTATCATTAGTCCCGTGTTATTTGACGAGCTTTGGCGAACTCGCTCTTCGAGCCATTGGATATTTTATACTACGTTACATATTACATATTATCCTATTACACCTACATTATTATTGTACGATAACATGTAATAAGAGTATTGGTAAAATTACGAAACTATTAAAATTAACAAACTATGTAGCACTCTAGTTGACTAAAAAAATGTATAAAGTTATTCAGCTACCGTTAGATCGAAAATATTTTTATCCAAATCCCGATCGGTAGTTAAAACTTTCTTTCATCACGATTTGCATCGATAGAATTCGATGTATTCACAACACAAATTAGCTTTTTACGGCCGTCCAATTTGTTTTCACGTCCTTTTCAGGTAGCTTAATTATCTAAATTACCGACTAACCATTTACTGATTTGTGTGGTTTTTGTTCAGAAAAATTTCGACCCGTCAATTTTATCCCGTTAGGCCGCTGTCTAATTATCTCGTCGATAGGTTGTTCAATAGAATGCGGAAAAAATTAGCGTATGGCGAAACTTACGTGGGCATCAAAATCGACGTATATTCGCCTGTTGTTGCGTTTCCTTCCCCGTTGGCTGGCGAGCGCGATAGCGCAGCCGAGAAAGTCATTTTAAACAGCGTGCATTTCCTTCTTTCGAACTAATTTAATTTTTTTTATCAAATTACGCTTGTGTTCTGAAAAAAGTCATGACGTAATTCGATTTGTTCAACTTGCACGTGTCAGTCAATACACGCTTGCATTCGTTAGTGATATTTTTCGTGTTGTTGTGGTAGAATTTCGATAAGACGAACGTCAGTTTAAAATGGTTTTTTTGTGGTTAATAATTAATGCGATCTTGGAATATTAAAAAAAAAATGTATGTGTAAAATTACGTAATCATCAATAATAATATAAACTCGAATCAAGGATAATGTTAAAGATATCTAATAAATTTTTTATAATTAATTTGATATGTCACCAATTCATTAATTTTGACCTGAATATGTATCTGGTGCTAATTAAAAAGTATTTTTATTGCGATCTATTATCCGGTTGAAAGCAATTTCGGCCCATATAATCGAAAACAAGTATCTTTGCAGATACTCGATCGAGAAACACAATAAAAGAAAACCATTAATCAAGTGAAAATGTTTTTCTCGGTCATTATTTATAAAACTCGATACCATCTTGATTTTTGCATGAAAATAGTTATCGATAGCATAAATAGGAACATTTTTCATTGTCAAAAGCAATATTATAACTCTAGAAAAAATGACTTCATCGCTATTAATTAATATCCACTACATATGCATTAATATTAATGCTTCACGTTTCTAAATTCGATTGTGCACTTTTAGGTTTAATTTTTTTATTATGTAAATTTTGGACCAGAAATTTTTCGTTCGGAAGGTTAATAACATTTTCCTCATACGTGTGGAAAACGCTAACTACTGGATGTGAGAATGGATTTTATAAAAGGCCATCTAGTTGAAAAGAGCCGATCCTTCGCATTAGTTACATAAACTAGCGAATTGTAGGTATACTAAGCACAAAAAGTGGACGTTTGTGCGCGTAGGTTTCCACGATAAATAAGCCAAAAAGAAAACCACCTAACTAGTTAAACTAATACATTCTCTCTCGTCGCAATAAATCTACGGTTTTAAAGTGTTTGGCGCCGTCGAGCTGCGAACAGGTGGGCGAATAACAGCATTTCGGTTAGCCACAATCTATGCTTTTGTTTTCGTAATGGTGAAAGGCAAAAAGAGGAACAAGCGTGGACCTGACGACGACGGTTTCGGCGCCTCTAATTGTACCTGTCGCAAGAAAATTCTTCGGAATCTTTTCCGCCAGTCTTATCTGCTCGTACGCAGCAGCGTTACCCGTACCCAGGGAATTAAATCTCTAAATCTAATGCCTCGTTAAATCTTTACGAGGCGACTTTTTCGTACGTACATAGGCATATAATACTCTTGTTTTACTTTTGGAATCCTTTCTTAGCGAATGCCCCACCTTATGGCGTACGATTGGAGCAGTTCATTAAATTAATATAAGCCAGTATTTATGTAGATAAATAGGAATGTTAGATTGCATTAACTCTGCATAAACATTAGTTTAATTTAATGCATTATCCTTCTTGAATTATTCCTAGAGAAGCCTATGGAAAACAATAATGCGACAGCCAAGCCTACATTTTTTTCTTAAACCTACTCTTATATTGAGAAACACAATTCAAACGGCCATATTTATTCAGATTCTTTCAATTTTGACCCTAAAAAAATCAGCTCTTTTATAATTTTAAATAACAGAACACACTTCTGGATAAATTTCAGGTTTATAGCCTGCATTAGTTATAATTAACAAACGGAACACAATAAATTTATGCGAATTAACATTCTTTAAAAACCATTTATCTGCCTACAATTTTAATATCTCGACGACCTCGATGGGTGTTGAAATTTATCGCGTTAATTGTGGATTCAAGAAAGAATTCCGCGCTTATAAAATGCTAGAGCTAATAAAATAAGTGAGGTTTATTGATTAAAGAACAGGAAATTGCAGAATACCTGCCTACTGTAAACTCAGCAAAAAAAGAGCTAACTTGTAAATAGTTACGTAGAAAAAATTAATTAGAAATCAATTAGTGCAAATTGGCTGTTTTAGGTAAAATGTGAAATGAAAAAGTAAAGCTGTTCAGAATAATCAGTCATCTAGATGAATAATTATTATTCTGTAGGTACTCAAAAAAAAAGAAATTATAGGTACCTATAGATAGGCATAAGTACCCATTAAACGTTGAACAATAATATTGAGCCTGGCATAATTTTTCAGTCAAGGTTGATCGGGTTCGCGTTTTTCTTATCACCAAGCAGTCCCTCCAACAATGTTAATCTCCTGACCATTGCTGGTCTTCATCTATAAACGTCCGCGCGTTCCGGTCGAATGCCCAAGTATTCATTCATTAACTAAACACACAATCGGCTAGCGCGCCCGATGTATGGAAGATGTCGAAGAATTTATTGACAAATAAACTCTCCGAATCGCCGCTAACGAGCCCGAATGGCCAGGTTTTGTAATGGTATTTTTCTTGCGTTTCAGTAGGCGGAATGTCGCGGCCACCGAAGCCAGCGGCGACCGCGAAGAAAGTGCCGCCTCCCGCCGTTCCGCACGAATTTAGACACTCCGGTAGCTCCTTCGGATCCGCTGGATACGCTAGCTCGGAGGACGCTGGACTGCTGGTTCCGTCCGAAGCTTCCGGCATGCCCAGAGGTAAGTCATATTACAGATTTTCTAATTTATTAAACTACTTTTACTACCCTAAAAACACTCCAATATTGCCCCCAAAAACCCTTGTAATTTAATGAAAATTCGCCTGAGCAAAGCGGAAAAATGTAATAAAAATATCGGAAAAATTCCAGCCTTAACAATATGCTAACGATTTCAATTTTTAATGACGCTTTAGCGGCAGTGCAGCGTTTACAGGTTAGAAATTCATTAAAATTCTATCGACAATAGCTCTGTGCAAGTACACAGAACATTATTTGTGGTCGCATTGAAGTCACCGGTTTTTAAGAATTCTCCTAGCTCAAGAATTATGGTCGAGTTTTTGCGGTAAAGGAAGACGGACCAGTCGCGTTGTGTCTTTACTATCGGCGATTACTGCAAGAGGAATCTATAATGGAGGTTTAAGAACCGAGATAAACCATAATAGATTGTAAATAAAAATTCCCAGCTCGACGAAACTAGTGCTCAATTGAATTTCGAAGAGATATTGTAGCATTAATGTCAACTGGAATGATTAATAACGTTTGTTTTCCGCCAATTTCTCTTATATGTATATACATATTTTTTTACCTCATGCACGGAGAATAAATAACGATTAGGGAATATTTCCTTTTATATCGAAGCAATATTTCATAAATTACAAATGTAGCAGTTATGCACCCGTTACCAATCTGCAAAACGGTTTCAAATCCAACAAATTAATTTACATCCTCCCGCTATTTCCTTTACTTTGAAGCGAAGATCTCCCAGATTATTAGAGCATGCTCCTACTTTAATCACACTCTTTTATTTCCTTTTTAATTGTCTTTCGCTTTGCAATATCTTATAACTCTTCGTCGGAATCCGACTCAAATTCACTGAATATAGCACTTTTTACATCCCTTTAACGGCCGACGAGGTACGAAATGGCCCATTAAATTTGCCCCGTTTTTTTGTATTAAATTTTTTATTAGATTAGATTTAGGGTTTACAGGATCTAATAACTATAAACGCGGACTTTTCGAGCTGCGATTATGTTGTCTTTACCATAAAATGGCGCAGGTTTTTGTTGCAAAATGTTTCACACTAAGCTTTCATCACCTTAACGTCACACGACCAGCATAAACCGGCATAAACACTATGCAAAGCAGTAATATGAGCGTAGAGGATGTTTTGGGGGAGCGATAAAATTTACCTTGCAATTTCAATGAGTAGAGTAATAATGGAATGTTATACTTGTAAGTATAGCATTATTACGATAACGAAAGAAATCCAGTTAATTGCATTCTCATTAATTACAATAGGCAAAAAATTGGAATAGCTCGAAGTCACGGCGCGTTTTCGCTCTCGACTCTCGAGCGAGTCTCCTGTGATTATAATATGAGAAAGTATAATGAGACGCAAAGTATAGTGAGCATTAAACCCAGCGAAGTTTCGCCGGGGGACAACGGTTTAAAGCACAATACTCGTTACAACCACTTTGTCAATTTCGCAAAAATTTCATGAATAAAGATCAGTCGAGCGATTTGAATGGCGGAAACCGTAATTATCGTGAAGAATCCTTGAACGGCCTTGGTAAAAATTGCCTTGTTTGAATAAAGAGAAAATCGCAATGTTTACTACATATTATGTATACATCAACTACAAAGATGCTTGAGAACATGCCTGTTTTATTCCCAAATAAAAGTATAGTTTGTATGCAATATTAACAATAAAATTCCATTACTCTATTATTTAGGAGACTCTGTATTATACTTGAAATTCAAATACCTACCTTTGTTTTTAAAAGTAACTGTGAAGTGCTCATAAGAATGCATAATTAATATTCTGATAATACGAATATCACTAAGCATAATACTGTTTCATTTATCATATTTTACAAGCACGTGAAGCAAAACATTTCCGGTCAAATGCTTTTGGAAATAAACAACAAAATTAGTCGATACTGACTAAGCAAAAACCGTAACTAAGGAATACATGTAGTTATTATCCTGAAACATCAGTGAAATCCCTAGTTATTCTTCGAACGCATTGACAAAAGCGAGCCGATTCGACGAGTTCTTATCGTCAAATAAGCGAAAAAAAAAATAATTAAAGAATTATTGGTTCGGTTTTATGTGGGAACTCGTATATTAAAAGAGCACAATTTGCGGCATTAGAAGAGCCGTCGACCCCGACACGAAGGCTCGCTGAAAAAACCAGCCGAGTCTTAATATGAAGCGAGCAAGAACGTCTCTCGGAATGGCGAAGTCGGTAAAGTGGATCTCGACATCTCCTTAAAGAGACGGGCGTGCATCCAGCGCGTATCTTCCTTTCGTACTCGCGAAGATGCGAAGATCGCGGACCTGCCGGGAGTTCATAAATATTATTCAGCTATGCTGAATTTACTTGTCATTTCCATTCTAATTTTATGATTTAATCCCCCGGCCGATCGCAATTTTCTTACGGTCAGGAGAAAATGTGCAAGGTTTCGATTTAAGCCTAGTTTATCGTCGAGTTTATGTCGAATTAATGTTACAAGAAAATATCACTATCTAAAAATTATCTATAAAGGATTTTCTCATGAACAATACCAAACTTTAGATGAAATTTTGTTCATAATCTTACGTAATTGTCAAAAATCAGAACTAAACCATGGCCTTTTACGTATCAGAAAACAAATAAATTTTGTTAAGTCTACAGCTATTCCTGCATTTGCGGAGGAAACTCGTTTATACTCTGCTATCTCCTGCTATAACTATCCAGTCAAGTATTGTACATAGGTAATTTTTTATAGCGATATTTTCTTTGTTGGCTCCTTAACGTCGATCTACCCATTTTCTACGTACGTTAATTCGACGATAAACTGGAAAAGGAATAAGAATTTTTATTGGAAAACGCGGGCCGCCTTTTTCCCGATGCGTTATCGAAACGCGCCTTTCGCCGCGACCTCCTCGTTCTTCGCATGCCTGTTGCGTGCTTCGAGGAATAACGGATGAGTTTTTTTGCGATTTGTGTTATATCAAACTTAATGCGAGGTACGCCCTTTTTTGTTTTCCACTTGGAGACTTATCGTTTATTATATTCCATAAGGTGGAGAGCCGAATTCTGCCGTATGCCGAATAATTTACGCCGTACGTGATCCGAATGGGAGCCACCGGTAATGGGCTCGCATCATCCGTTCAATTTTAGCGTATTAACGACGGTTCTAGATAGAAAGCGGGCCTTTGCTGTTGCTCGAAATTGAAAACCACTCGCTTATACCAAAATTATAGTACTTTACTACAGTGACTTCCTTTTTTTATTGTATCCTCAAATAAATCAATTTTCTGTAACCAACTTGACTTGTAGTGAGTAAAATATTCTAAAGATGTATCATTTTTACGCATTTCCAGATGACCATTCCGATTATGGGAGCACCGTGAGCGGGAGTACCGGGAAATCACCGGGTCCCATGTTTCCGGCGCCTTCCTTCACGTTTCCGGGACAAATTCCGTCTGGAACAGTGCTGACTCATAAAGCGGCCGTTTATTACCACCACCAGCTAAGTTTGCAGGAGGATCAGGGTATCGATATGACGCAAGTACGCAGAAATCCCGAATCCCGAAATCCCTGTATTAACATGCAATGTTTTTGTAGAGTCCTGGAAGAGACAGTCCGGGTTCGTCGAGCGGTAGCGCAGGATCCGGCTCCAGACACAGTACAGCATCTCTAGACAGCGGCAGGGCGTCGTACCATCCCCTCAGCACAGCAGGTCGGAGTACCATCGGTTCCTCGAATAGCCCGCGCTGTTCCTTGAGTTCCTGCTCGATCGGATCGGATCAGAGCAGGATCGAAAGAATGATCCATCAGGGAGCTCCGGTAAGAACGCGTTGTTATAAATATTTGTTCGAATTTATTGCAATTGTGATTGTAGGATCAAGAAATCATTCATTCCTGGTTGATGGATTTGAAATTCGAGGAGTACTTTCCGCTGTTTATATCTGCGGGCTACGATCTGCCCACCATCGGAAGGATGACTCCCGAGGATTTGACCGCCATAGGAATTAAAAAGCCGAACCACAGGAAACGATTGAAAGCAGAAATCGCGCAGTTTAATCTTCCTGATAACTTGCCCGAATTCATACCGGTAAGTTACTGTTAACCCTGCTAATGAATGTTTAATTTCAAACGAATTTGGTGGTTTAGGGTTCCTTGGAGGAATGGTTGAATTTATTGAGACTAGACGAATATTTGCCGGCATTTTTGGAGCAAAACTACCAAACCGTCGACGATGTCACCCAGCTGACGTGGGAGGATTTAGAAGAATTCGGAATAGTTAAACTAGGCCATCAGAAAAAAATTATGTTAGCGATTAAAAGAATTAAGGACATCCAGTCGGGCAAAAGGATACATTCGGACGCGAATAGAATATACGCAACCCAAGTAAGTACACCATTGAAGGATACCTCCTGCTCGATTCATTCACATTAGAATTATTCTCTTTTATTTTGGTTATCTGAAAGTTTAATCTACAGAGGTCTGCATACTTATTAATTTCGGCATGCAATTTTTTATTATTTCTATTTTGAATGCGGATTAGATTCCCCCATAAGATAGTTTTAATTATTTTTTTAACATGTTTCACACTTATACAAAATATTTAATAAAATAAAATAGTTTCCTTCGTACATGTGGCAAAGTAATTTTGCTGAAACTTAAATAGAATCCTGAATATTATGCAAACACTACTTATTAATAATGGATTACATGAGTGGTTAAATGCACTGTAATTATTCAACAATTAAATTGGAATCAAAATGTCATTAGCCGCAAGATACTCTTCAAATTACATACCTACATATTTACATACACAAATTAATCTATGATTTGCCTCTGTTGAAAACATATTTTCGTATTGGTGAATCCATTAACATTATTAATCGATCTTTACATAGGAGGCAATATGAAAATATGTACATAACAATCTGTGTACCCCTGTTACTGGTATAGCGAAAATTGGCGATACCACCGCTGCACTCTAGTTGCAAACCCCCATAAACCCCGTACCTTTTACGTTTGCTTATGCTGCATGTTTATGTGTAAAAGGAAGTGCTGGTGCACGCGCCCATGGACCTTCCATCGTCCGGTGTACCCGTACCCCCAGTCCACAGCACTTTCCGCTCTTTCCACCAGCCTTGGGAGATCGACCAGACGAGACAGCTGCAAGCGGGACCACACTACGTTCAACCATTGTTTTGCACTGACATAGTTCCTATCAAGGTACACTATTTTGAACATCCGACACTATATCGTTTCGTGATCTATTACGCTGCATGGTTGTTGTTCGTTCCTTTGATCCCTTCTTTCATGCGAATATTCATTTTAACGAGCTGTTTGGAATCACGTAAGGCAGATGAGGTGGATCAAAGGAATTTTCTACTATCATCCATTTATTCATATTGGTATTGTAGAAGATGCTTAATGGACAATTCTAATACTTGATTACATTAGAATTAGATAGACAAATAGAGGCATCTTTTACAAACCGTTTATAAAAAACGAATGTATTTAACTTATGTAATTTTGTGAATAATGTGTGTTTCAGATAAGAACGGGACGAGGAAAATCGCTGGAATCTTTGGAGGATCCGAACGAGAGAACACACCACACGTTTTCGGCGGAAAACACGCAAACTTTTTACTGTCAACAGCCGCTAGGATGGCGCATTCGATCCTACGAGGACGGCGACATCACTCCAACAAACGAAACGGGGCTATTATACGAAGGTGGCGGAACGTTGCCCAGACCGCGGGGCATCATACGGCCCAGACCGATAGCGAAAATATCAGCGAAAGCCTGCGAACCGTTCCCCGATTTCGAGAAACCCCAATTCAATCCCGAGAAATACGCCAATCCGCAATACAAACGATTACCGAGCGACTTGATCGAAGTCAACGACTATCACATGCAATACGGCAGCCCGCTGATGGGGAAGAAGATCCCGCCGAATCCGCCCAAGCGGCAGGACAGCGAGTGCAACGAGCAAACGACCACCGTGGAAATCCATCACGTCCAAACGTCTAGTCCCCTGCCGCTGCCGGCTTATCCCAGCTCCGATAGTCTTAGCATAACCCTAGACAACCAAGGCGACCTTCCGTTGCCGCCGCCCCCGGCCCCGGGCACGCCGCCCGGCCACTCGCAATGCAAACTCAACACGTCCCAATCGTGGAGCGTCGAGGAACAAGAGCTCATAAAAACGTTGGCGCTGCAGCACAGAAACGGTTCCGATGCAAGTTTTAAGGTAACTACTACTCATTTACCGCTTCCTTGGCCTCTACAGAGCCTCTAACTGTAAACTATGTTAAAGTTAGAATAGTGTATCGTTGGTGAGTGTTATGAATTGTATTTTTTTGGTTGCAGTCGAGTTCCAGCACCGAGTCCGATTCGCTGCCGTTCGCCAACGAGAACGCCGGAACGATAAGAACGCGCGCCAGCGGCAGGCAGGCGGAGTTCTCGTCGCCGAAGCCGCGCGCCGGCCTGCCCCCGCATCCGTCCCCAACGCCTAATAGACAGCAACCAAGTGCCCGAAACCAGAGAGCGGAACCGGTGGATGTTCTGAACGACATAGGAAATATGCTAGCCAATCTCACGGACGAGTTGGACGCGATGTTGGAAGAGGAGAAGCGGCAACAGTAATTCACGTTGTACAAGACTGAACATCAAAATAATGATTTGTCGAAATATACTTAATTTGAGGTCAGAATTTTATGTGGCGATTTACTTATCCATTCGATTTGGTTCTTTTTATTGAGTACGTTTGAAGTGTTATTTTATGATTGTAAATATTTTTTAGATAAAAGAATACCTATGTAATTTAAAATATTTGGAACTATTGCGTATTTTTAAGAATTTATTTTGTCGTCTACTAGAATTTTACAAGTCCAAAAAATTGTGATCTCTTATGGAATCATTTGAATATGTTTTCTTAATGAATTTTGTAGGAAAAGGAACTGTAACGAAGAAAATCTACGAAGAAACAGAGCCGAAAGAGAAGCTAAAAAGTTAGTCTAGAATTTTCAATTGGGTTCTATCCAATTACATAAAATATAACAGTTCAAATAAATGTTTTCCATCTTTACCGATGCTGATTGCTAAATAATAAAGGAAACTGCTTGCCCTGACAAGAGCATATTCTAGCTTCATTGCTACATAAAAAATACATTTTGCTTAAAGTTTGGCAATTTTGGTATAAAACTTTTAAAAAATCTTAACACGATTTTTGCCCGCTATACTATCCATTTCCATCGTCTTTCGGCTCTGCACAGTTGCACTTCATATCTGTATTCACTTGTGTGTAAAATGTTTTAAAACAAAAAAGTTAAATCAAAATCGTGTCGCAAAAACACTAATTTCTATTAGTTGTTAGCTGTTACTTTATCTTATTTTATCTGTTGTTTAAACGTTATATATGAAATTGTAAATAGATAGATCTTGTATCGATTTTTAGTGGATACAGAACGATTACAAAAAATTAATGAATTAGGTACTTTTGTAAATTAATCTTTTAGTATACGAATCTAGATAATTTCGTACTAGATTTGGTGTTTCCTTAAGATTGGCCATTTTATTTCGGTTTAACATTGAATTTCTTTTTAAATAATTTGACAAGACTGATAATAGAGGTTCTTTTTATGGGGGTGCACTTTAACTTAAAGTGCCTGGCGCTATTTCAGTTTCCGGTGTACATTTAAATAATATGTAAAATTTTTGTTTAATCTTACCATTTATATTTGCCATTTTTTGCGAATTAATTGATACAAAATAATGTTATCAATGTGCTCCTATAGTTTATATACTTATGTTGTTAACTGTCATAGCATTTTTCATAATATAGCTGTTAATATGACTTTGATATTTCTTTATTATTTTATTTTAAATACATTTAACTGTTAACAGTATAGATTAAATAATAAAATTCCTATTATATATTACCCGATTGTTTTATTTGTCGTTCATTATAGACTTTATGTAGCAATACGGAGAAATATAATATAGTAGAAATTGCTTGATCAACAATTAAATATAAAAAATACGCACCTAAGCGTCATCTATCCAAAAGAATTTCCTTTTCTTGGATCTCAAAACCTGTCTACATTCAGTTTCAAATGAACTATCTGCAAATGCTAATTTCGATGTCTTCTTCGGACCGTTTTTCACAAGGGGTACTGGAGGGTTGAAGGCCATTTCGGACATATCGAACTCCACACATAATTCTTCGGGAGAACTAAAACATATTAATAAGCCAAAGCACGTTATATAAGGCTTAATAAGAAAGCATAAACAAAAAAAAAGTGAAGGAAGAGGTTTTGCTTCGAGGACCCTGTTGTTTCTTTTAAGTAAAAGCTTTTATGTTTTCCGTATTTATAAAAAGAAGCATTCGCTTCAAAAGAAAAGGAATTGCTTGAAAAAATGGAATCTAGGTTCATAACAACTTTCCACAATCTTTTCAGTTGTTATTCATCCACCACACAGCCTGCAACGTAATTTTTTTGTGTTTTTGGCTGTGTTTCTTCAGTTTGTTATGGCAGACAGGATGCATTGACGTTAGAACTGTCTAGAATCATTTAGAACTGTTTAGAACCATTTAGAACGCTCCAGAATCATCTATAACTGTCTAAAATTATTTAGAACTGGCTAGTTCAATCTACAACGCTCCAGAATCATTTAGAACGCTTCAAAGTCATCTAAAACCATTTTGAATCATTTAGAACGCTCCTGAATCATTTAGAATACGAATATAGATCAGACCGAAACCTTTTCCTCTTACCTTTTACTTCAAAGTAAATGCTTAATTTTTATAAATATGGACTAATAATGAATTACAAAAATAACCTTTTTCCATATTCTCCCGGAAGACTACCATCGCCCGACGAAGGCACACCACTTGCGATATGCCTAGCAAATTTGCTAACAATCGGATGGTAGTGACGTGCCAAGTGGATCAGTTCATAAAGAGCTGAGCTTGCGGCATTGCAATATTCCGGATCTTCTATTTCGGCTTGGTATTTCCCTTCACCAGTAGAAGAATCTAAATCCAACAGGACATCTGCAGATCTGTAAAGAAACCACAAAACTTAGAAATATGAAATAAATAGTTAATAACTATTAATTCGCATACCTGTTCAACTGCATTACATGTTTGATAAGTCCTAAGCAACCCAAAGATCCTTCGTGAGTGAGCTGCATACTCAATTGGGCTAGTCTCTTTAAGAAGCCTATAGTTCTTTTGTTGGTGATTTTCTTCCTTCTTTTAATTAGGGCTTCGCATAATGTGTTTATGAGGACAGGTGTATCCTTGGAGTTTTTCGATGCAGCGTTGAGAGTAAGAAGGTCTTTATAGAGATTGTTATAAAACCTGATAAAACATATTGAATAAAAAGGAGAATTATTTTCAAAAATATTGGTTACCTAATGGGATCTAAGTTAATGGCTTCTCCTTGGCCGCTAAGTATTGAAAACACCGTGTGAATGCAGAATAATTGTTCTCTGTAGCCCAACCAATCTTCATTTAAAAGCTTGTTCAATACATTAACAATATCCATGTAGAATTCTATGTTTATACAGTGAGCAAACCTAAAAAACGAGTAGAAAATAAGCATAATGATAATAATTGAATATCAATAGCTCTTACTTAGCTAATCCTTCTAAACAGACGCCGAGAATTTTAGAATTACTCGTATTAGTTTTAAGAATTCTGAAATATATGTTAAAAATTAACTTGGTGACTTCCAGTAAATTTTTTTGCCTGACTTGTTGACTTTCTTCTGCTTTCGTTTCTAGCAATTCTTTTTCCACCTCTTTCAGTTTCTTTTTCCTCTAAAATAAAAAAGTTTAAAAATGGTTTTAAAAGGAATAGAGAAATTTACCTTTTTCTCTTTTTTAGATAATTGCAGAATTCTCGCTTTATGCGCTTTTAACTTTTTCTCTTTTATATTCTGTTCTTTATCTTTTTCCAAATTTACTTCGTTTAGATTTAACACTAAGAGAACTTCCAGCATTTCCGTATGCATGTTTGAGTGGTTTTTTGAATAGTGATTTATCACTCTAAGTATCTAAAAAATATATTATAATAAAAAGAGATTATTAACTGTTAGTTAGCGTTACTTTTAAAGTGATTTCTTCTTTTTTGTCCTCTTTGAATATAGTTTTTACTGCATTTTTGACGATTTCTCTTATATCTTTACTACGGTTATTCATAAACGGAACCACTGCTTGTGCTATGTTTTGGGAAAAATTGAAATAAGGATGGGTCACTAATAAATCGCACAAAGCCTGAATCGCTAAAGTTCCTATGGTGATTTCTTCCTGAAAAATGAAGCTTCTATTATTAAATCAAATTCATAAAATCGCTCAAACTGCCTTACTTCAGACCTCCTTCTAGTGTCACCTTTCTTCTTAAAAAGCACAAAGGCGCATTTTTCTAATTTCTGAAGAAACTTTTTGTAGTACAAAAGCAAACTCTCCTCGTATTTTTTCAGCTTTAATGTATCTTTCTTCACTAAAATAAAACGTTTTGTAACATTTATTGTATGTATTAATTATAATTTTACTTACATCGAACTCCATCCGTGCTTACATTCTTTATTTCGTAAGATGGCAAGATGTCCTTAAAAACTTCCAATATGGATACAATAAGTATCTTCCTAACAGTTACATATGTGTGCGCTGTTTCTTCATCCATCATGGCAATCAAAGTTCGCAGATTTATTATTTTTTCTTCGGGACTTTCTAGTAACCCGGCACTGAGAGTGCCCACGTGAAGTTTAACTTTATTTATTACTTCATCGCGTTTTGCCATTAGTTGAACTACAGATACAGGGCCAGTAAAATTTAATTCAGATGTTTCTAATCCGTTTTCTATGTTATCCCCATCTTCATTTTCTGCAGTTTCTTGGTTTTTTGATTCTTCAGCCTGATCAGGTTCTTCAATTTCTTCGGCTAGAAGAGAGGTTATTGAGTTTATGAAAATTTTTATAAATAGCAAGTTATATACCTTGAATTTTCTTCAAAACTCTGTTCCTCACAAGTCCGGTTTTAGTTTTAAATGGCAAGAGCTCTTTTAACTCTGTATCAGATTCCTGTTCTTCTAGTTGCTGCTCGAAATCATTTTCTAAAGTTTCGTCATCCTGTGATTTCTTTCGTCTCTTCAATTTTGGTTCTTCGGATCTAAAAAACCAATTTCAGTTTTCTGTAAATACTAATTACTGTTTAATTTGCTTACACGTTGAATTTTACTTTGTTGTAAATATTGTACGATCGATTCGTAATGGCAGTCTTAAGGAAATCCATGTCATCATCATCAACCATATCGAGTAAATCTTCTCCTTCATCACTTTCATCTTCAACGACGGGTAAATTTGGTTTTTGGGGAACAGGAGCTGCCTTTACATCCTTTCTGGGTTTCGCTTTTTTGATAACACCTTGCTTTATAAGTTTATTTTTCTTCTGGTTGTTTCTCTTCGATTTTGCAAGCTTGGCCTTCTGCAATTTGCCCAATAAATCAGTTTATTTTTAATATTAATTATATTACAAATTAACAAACCATTGTGATTAAAATTCGGTTCCACTTGTTGCAAAAACACGATGGTTATGTTATTATAACCTAACATTAACGCATGTTATGTCAAGTCCAAATTTTCTCTTCTTCTTTTTTAGAAAATCCTTTTCACAAAGGTCTCCGACTTTGGGACCATTCAGCTATTGTACTAAAATTCTAGTAATAGAGAAAATAAGTTTTATATTTTGTCTATGATTCTAGTACTATGTAGTTAAAATGAGACAATTCCTGTAATTTCCTTAAGGCTAGAGATCAACACTCACAAAATTTTTCGGGAATAGGCAACTTTTATTGCAAAACCAGGCACAATATTTCAGAAAACTTTCAGGTAGTAAGCTCACAGTGTGGGATGTAAAAAATTAGATATTTAAGAAATCGAGATTATAAATTTAAAAAAAAAAATTGTAAAGGCCTTATTCATAAAAAAAACATACTTTTTTGCTTCAAAAAATGAAGGAATTGCTTCACGGTATATGCGTAAAAAGAAGAAAAGTAAGAGAGGCTTCGCTTTAAGGACCCTGCTATTGCTTTAAGGCAAAAGGTTTTATGGTTTTAAAACCTTAAACCTTTTTCTCTTATCTTTTGCCTCTACCTTTTACCTTTACCTTTTTTTAAGCAAATGCTTCATTTTAATAACTATGGACTAATATATCACTCTTTCTATTTTCCCTTATATGAGATTTATGAAAGTTGTCCTTGTTGCACCCATAGACCAGATTGCGTACAACTTGCAGTTGCAACTTGCAGTTATCTACGAGTATATATTGTTGGCACGAGTATGATATACAGTTTTTGTAATTAAATTTATATCTTATCTTTTTTCGAATATTTCTTGAGTAGTACACTTCATCCAAGGTAATTGCTATTTATTAAATACACTTCAGGTTCCATGTTATCGTTTCCCCCTTATCCGATTAAAAATAATCGACTATATATTTTGAAACATACATTAACAAATCATAAATATCAAATTAATCGATAAACAAGATGCTAATAAAAATATTATTGACTTTTGGTGCAATAATTACAGCAAATGCGAAACCGCCGGAAATAGCATCAGCAAATATTACATCTTCGTGTGTAATTACCGAGTACAACCAAGTAGAGAATGTGGTGAAAGCTTGTACGAATATTGTTATTCAAAACCTTGCAGTGCCCGCTAACAAAAAATTGGTGATAAATCTTAGAGAAGGCAGTGTTTTGACTTTCAGAGGCACCACCAGCTTTGGCGTTGGATCTTTGAACGATTGGTTGTTGACCATATCTGGTACTAATATCCATGTTATAGGAGAGAAAGGTAGTAAAGAACTGGTAAAATATTAAACTGGTTTAACTCCTGCTAACTTAAAATTCCAGGTTCACTCATTCACGGACACGGAGAACAGTATTGGGATGGCCAGGGCGGCGGTGGAGGTAGAATAAAGCCCAAGTTGCTGCAAATTTCACACGTGACCAATGCCAAATTCGAAAACATCAATTTGAAGAATTGTCCTATGTTCTGTACCGGCGTTACCAACGCTGAAGGTCTCACCATCGACGGATGGAGGGCTGATTGCAGTGAAGGAGATAAGGTTAGACAAAATCCTCTATTACATTTATCTCAGTATCAATACCATTAATCACAGCCGTCTTATACTCACCATATAGCCTCGTGTGACATTTTTTTGTTTCCCAAACTCAAATTGCCACTTCCAGGGGATCCCTTTTTGACTCCATAAATACCATCAAAGAAAATTCGCAGAAGGAGCTAAAAGCCGTTCCAAAAAGGGCCTATAAAAATGATTCGATGATTGGAAAAGGCGTCTGACTATGTGTATCGCTTTAAAAAGAGTATATTTTGAAGGAAATTTAAAAAAATGAAAGATTAGGAATTTTCCGAGTACTTTTTTGTCACTGTGTTTTTATACAAATTCCGAAATTTCTCAGGGTGGCGGTAGAAACACCGACGGTATCGGCATTTCTTGGTCCAACAACGTCAACATAAATGACGCCTTCATTCACAACCAAGACCAATGCTTGTACGTCAACCAAGGCACGAACATGGTCTTCACGAAAATTCATTGCGTCAACTCCAACGGGATTTGCGCAACTGCAGGTTTCAGCAAGACCTCTTACGAAGAAAACACCGTTAAAAACATAAGCTTCCGCAATTGCGTTATGGAAGGCGGTCTAACAGGAGTGCAAATTATTGCAATGTCTTCAGGAGGAAACGGAGAAATAACCGACGTTTCATTCCATAACGTTGTATTGAAAGGTATGGTTTCTTGTCGCTTGAGCATTAGCATTTCTCCTACTGTTTATACCTCAGTCTGATTATTACTCCTATAATGATTTATGTTAGTTCGAAGACTCGCTTTGGAATTGAAAATCTCTGGAAAGCGTGTAGATTTGAGTATTTTGTAAATATTTTTAGGAGTTCGCCAGCAGGGAATATACATCCAAATGGATTACGGGAACACAGGCCACGTCAATAATAACATAGCCGTTAACAATTTCCAAGTGAGTGAAATTCACGGGACCGTCGAAAGGAATGCAGAAGCTGTTCATATAATTTGCGGCGCCAAATGCAATCAATTGCGCTTCTCTGATATCAAAATTACAGGCAGTAAAGTCAGAAATCAATGTAACGTCCAGCCAACCGGCTTCAAATGTTTATAAAATTAACTTTTATAAAACTTTTATAAAATTAATAATTACATATTAAAATATTAAATAAGAATTTTTGTACTTCAATTACCTACCTTATGATAATTACCTTATCTCACTTATGTGAGATACAAACACTTATAGATATCTATATAATTAAAACGAAATTCATTGCAGGGGTTAATAGAATAAACTAGTATATCTTTGTTCAACAAGTAGCTCAAATTAATCAGAATTACATACTATACCAATGTGACACGTCTTTAATTGCTAATAGCTTTATTTAATACTCTAATTAAGGGATCGTAAACCCACTGTCTAGCATGTCTTCCAAAAACCATATCGATGTGATTAAACGTATTTCTATTTATCTTCATCATTCCGTATCTACTCGATTTTGGCAGGTTTCTCCATAAATTCAACGCATCCTGAAAGAAAATCAACAGATAGATCAGTAATGTTAATAGCTGTAGGTACTAATAAATTAATGTATGATGGACTTACGGCTTCGGGTGTGGCCCAATCTTGAGCAGAATACACTAAATATACAGGAACTTTAATTTTGCTTATATCGTAAACGGGAGGCGTTTTCCTTCCGTATGCTTTGTAGTTGAGAGATTTATAATTGTACTTCCTAAAATTCCCTAACACGAGATCGGCTGCGTGATTTAAAATTTTTATGGACGTCCCTCCGGGTAGCTGATTGAAGTAGACTGGAATGCTCTCCTTGAATGTTTTACGCCTTATTATTTAGTGAAATGTTTTGAAAACTGTCGTTCTTACCGGTCCTAAATCAGTCTTCGGTCCGTAAAATAAATTGTACATTTGCATGCAGTTCTGCATCATTTCCGGCGATTCCATGCAAGGCGGCACGACTAACCTTCTTAATTCCTGAGCTTGCGAAACTATCCTCTCTAATCGCAGTCTCCTGATGGTATCCTGCAATTTTAAACCTCAACAAATAGGTTTCTAATATTTATAAAAAAATTACTTACTAGTACAAAATCGCCCATTGGAGCTGGGGCTCTATAAGGAGATATCATGTTCGAGAGGGTATAAGCTGGACATAACAAAACCAACATTTTCAATATTCGATTCGAGAATTCCGGATATTCGGCGCTATACATTAAAGAAACGGCTGTTCCTAAAGAATGCCCGATAAAGATGATTTTACTACCAGGCGCTGTGTGCTTGAGTATCGTCTGAAAATTCGATGGGAGGTCAACCAGAGCCACCTCATCCATACTGTAAAATAATATACATAATGTTTCAAAACTAATTTGAAAGTTTTGTTAACTAAAATTTTACCCGTGATTCCAATACTCTTGATCGTAAACGGTAAGATTAACGTGCTCCTCTGAATAAGCATTTCCCCTGTAATTTCCTAGCCAAACATCATAACCAGCGTCAGATAGAAGGAATGCTAAATAAAAGATAAATTTTTTAATGAACTGGACATTCTGTATACATTAAAGCTAACCAAAAGTGTCCAATAATCTACCCATAAATTATTAAGTGAAAGTGAATGTAACGTTAGCGAATGCATTCACGTGTGTGCACCTACTCAAAATAACTAATAGGTGCATATAGCAATAAAATTAAAAGTTTTATATAAAGGTTACTCACCAAGAGAATCCCGGCCTTTCCCTAAAAACGTTGCACAGGTTGCCACTAATCCGTGCTGCAAGTATATCGGGTGGTACTTCGCATTGGGATTGCTAGAATGGTTGTTTGGGATCCGGAACATCGTCAAAATATAACCGTCCGGTGTGAGGACTTTGTAAGTAAGAACAGGATAGCCCATACGTCGAATAATTTCTGGCTAGAAAAATGGAAAATAAAATTCTATCAAAATTTGGTACCAGCGAAATTAATAGAGCAACTGAAAACAACACAACCCAGAAAAATCCTCAGAGATAAAAGTTAAAGAAGATCCAGTACTGTAAAATTATTTATATGAACACTCTGTATATTATTGAATAATTACAGTAATTAAAATGTCTACTTACGGCGCTGAACTCTGCAGCCAAATCATACCAACAATTGGAATTGTTCTTCATGGTATAATAGTCCTTGAACGTGGGACACACGTTATTCTCTTGACCGCTGGCGGAGCCGAAGAAGAGCCAGCTCGCGATCATCAGGACACTAGCCGGTTTCGATACCACCATCTTTCCTGACCTAATCTCAGTTACATTTTAGTTAATAGTTCTTTAAGAAAATGCATTTAAATGGGATACGAGACCTTGGCTGGTTTCGAGTTATGTGTAACAAGGATTTTACGCATTTTCAGTGCTACAAAAATGCAACCACTGCACTTGAATATTATTTATTTGGCCTACAGGGCTGTACTTGTCTGAAACAATCTATTAGAATGCAAAGATATTTTAATTAATTAGAGTTTAGATAGAAATTAATATGTAGAAAGATAAAAGTTAATAGAAATTAACATTTTGCTTTAAATCGTTAAAAGAAAAGTAATTGTATTTTCTTCTATCAGTTGATCTACTGATTCGACAAAATTTGGCTGAAATTACCATACCTTGTGTTCCAGACCTGTATCATTTCTAATTTAATTACTTATTCAAATATCAATTATTGAATAGTTTGACCTTTATAGGTACCGCTTAACTGGTTAGTTTGTAAAATTATTAGTGCATATTTCTGCAGCAGTTGGAGCGGTTAATTTATTAGACAAAGTAAAATTCACTGATTGAGCAGTACAAGGAAATGCAATTGATTATAATTTTCCATTGATAATCTTCGTAAAAGAAACAGTTACTGAATCGTCTGTTCGAGAAGTCTCTTTAGAAAACCGATTTTTAAATTAATTTAAGCTTCCTTAAGATAATGGAATTTAGTATCATGGTGCACTTTACAATTACTTTGCAATTGCAAGCCGGTATCGCACTATTCGTACTCAGCACTCAAGGTTATTCGTTAAAAGTTACTTTTACATAATAGATAATGCGCCTGATAAAAAGCACAATTGCTACAGAGAGTGCAGCATTTTATAATGTGTGGATAAATGCTAGGAATTTTTATCAGTACAAGTTATCAATAATAGCTAGGTTGATGTCAATAAATTACATACTTTTGTACTTATAAAAATGTTCAATATACACATACCCACACCTTTTTCAATTTTTGTACATAAATGTTATAGAGCTCGCTTGTAAAAAATCATTGCATATGCTTAGAAAGTATTTTACTTGCGTTTTGTGTATGTAAAAGTACCAATCGTTTTAATCAAGTGCAAGGTAGACTTAGAAAAGGAAATATGTTAACGTTATGAAGAAAATTTTATTATTTCACGTGTTCATCATCATATTTATCGCTTACGCTAAGTTTTCAGAAACCGGAGAAAATTCCGCCAATGATATCATGTGGAATTTCGATGGCATCATCTAATTTATCGATTAATTTGGAGAAAACTGACACGTCCACATTGTCAGGATCGGTGTCGATGGAGCATTTTCCTCTGGCAGTACTGGGCGCATCAGCTCCCATCGGGTAGTTTTTGTTGCCCGAACAGGACGCAAGGTATTTGTAGGGTTTCAGAACGGTTTCAGCGTAGTATTCCCAAGATTTTCCGTGACTGCAAATGTCTTCACTCTTAAAAAACAGAAAAAAAAATTAAATAAGTTTGCTCACTACTTATTATTACACAGATTTTCTTACACGTTACAAATGATTATTAAAAAAAGTAAGGAATCTTATCTTACCATTATGTTGACTGTTTCGCAGCCGGGTTGCGGACTTTCACCTCCATTCGGATAGAAATCAACGTGACCAAGGTTTAAGGGGGAGCCGAAGACGCCGCGATCCGTGTGGATTATATCCACGAATTTGGCGTCATCCTTGTTAATGTGAATACTAGTGAACATAGGACCAGCGGGGTCCAAGCCTGAATAAGATAATTCGCTATCAGCAATTAATTGTTACCACACACTCAATAATAATTCCTCACCAGAAATACGTCCAAGGTGAATTCCGTAATTTACAGCCAATCTTCTGCCGACGAATCCTGCAGTTTGAGCTCCTAGACTGTGCCCTATGAAGTGGATGTCGTCCTCTTTGACTCCCACTTCATTGACCAAGAAAGCCAAAAATTGGGAGACGTAATCGGCTACTTCGCCCGTTCGGGTAGCAGGTATTGGGTAAAGTGCGTTATCTATCAAACAATAAAATAGAAATACGTTAAAAAATGTTATAAACTCGAAATAAGCTATTGCAGGATTTGTAATTGGCCTTACGGGCGCTAATAACAAACACTCTTGGCAAGTGAAGCAGGATATAAAGTATAAAGAGGCTCTAAATTGCAGGACAGGAAGTAGATACTTGAGATTAAACAATATATGAAACTGAGGAGGTATTACTTGCGATTTTGCCCCAATCTACAATTATAACGTTAATGTCGTTGTTTTTCAGGTAATTGTTTTTGATGTCGACGCAAGTTTCGGAAGCTCCTGACGACAGAAAACCGTGTGTAATTAACTTAGTCGATACGTTGACATTGTATTTTGCGAAATCAAAATCCTTCAGATTAATTCCATTCTGGTTGTTTCTAAAATCATTGACAATAGATGTGAATTCGATAAAAAGAAATGCATTAATTATTTACTTCGTGTGTAGAGTCAGAAAAATCTCGTTGCTGTCGAAAGGGAAATTTTGCGGAACTTCTCCTTTGGTAGCACCGAGTTTGTGTTTTTCGCCGGTTTTTGCCAGCAATGCCAATTCGTTCTTTAGGAAATTATCGCAACGCTCTTTGTTGCTTTCGTCGCATTTGAACGTCATGCGCTTGATGGTTCCAACTATGGGATCCACTATGAACCCAAAATCAGTGCCTATGCCCGGAAATTTCTTCAGTAAATGTTGCTGGTGCTTCAAAGATAGTGTATGTCTCAGGTCTTTTAGGATGTCCTTAGACGTAGAGCTGCCGAAGCAACAGACTAAAAATTTAAAAAATGTACATTTATAAAATAATTTGTAGATTTAAATCGATAATTAATTTACCAACAACGAACAGTGTAAGAACTAGACTTAACTTAGCCATGGTGCTTCTTGGTTAGCTTTGGCAGAAACTGGTTAGCTGCATTTGCACCAGGGTTTTTATAGTCCAGAAGCACAATCGAATAGTAAAAAAAATATTTAATGGGTGCAATTATATCAAAATATCTATTTACTTGTTAACAATGCCCTGCAATTACCGAATGACAGTTAAAAATTATTCGATATATCAGGAACATGCTTTTAATAAAATATAGATATGAAGTAGATGTCCATTGTTGGTAAAATGAATGTTTCAACGTAATCAAGTGGCACATTTTTGTTGATTTTTGTAGGTTTTAAAGAATCATAATTAATATAGCACTTTAGGGTAAAAAATTTTGTGGCATACCTACCATTGGGTCAAACAACTTTATTTTCTGCATTTTACCTAAAAAGAGAAAGTAAAATGAGAGAAAAATTAACAAAGATCTTTATTGGATAAAAACAAATATCATATGGAAACTTAACTATCTAATTAGAAGAAATATCAATTTTAAAGGCACATCTTATAAACAAATGTATTGGGTTTTAATGAATAAAATATTAAAAAAATTCAGCCGTTTGTTTATCAACTGAAAAGAAGTTCAAAATTTATAAGAAATAGTAAAACATTTTGGCACTTTCTTTAACATTGCCAGTCATGCAAAAACAACTATAAAAACTTATGAATCTACAATCACGAGATTCATATGATGGTTAACGATTAATGGCTTTAAGAACTAATACAAGGTTACATAAAACGTATGATGGAAACAATTATCGTGGAAAATAATTTTCAATTCCTTGAGAAGGATCGAACTTCAACTCTACGTTGCCCAATTCGGTTTTCGCTTGATTGGCCCCATTCACAACTCTTTGTAAATCCACAACAACATCGTTAGTGAATAGAGGACATCTGCCATCTCCAAAATGCCTGTAATCATAAACTGGCTTATCGCAAATATAACAAGTACGTGCTCCGCAAATGCACGTCATTTTATTACAACCCGAAGACTTAATGAACCGCCTCTTGCAGTTGTGGCAAGATCTGAAATAAATTAACAATATTACATTGTAAATATATACAGCGTGGAAACGCCATATGGAATAAATTCATTATTTCGGTTACTGTACATATTTAAAGAAAATCCCGAAACACTTCAAATATTAATTATAATTTGACATTCCTTAACGTCAAAATGTTAGCCCTATCTTCAACCCCCTTCGAAGGACAGTTACAACCGAAATAATGAATTTGAGAGGTAACAACAATGAATCTAGCATAGAAGAGGTAACATACAATGAATTTATTCCATTTGGCGTTTCTTCCCTGTATAATATTTGGTAGAGTATTTACCTGGCCAGAGCATCGGTCATTTTGTTTTCGATAAATGTTCTTCTTTGAACATCCTCATCGTATTCAATTTCGTTGCACTTCATCGGTAAATGCGATTCGTGACCGCACTGTTTGCAAGACTCCATTAGACAATCGACGTTAATGCATTTGATTATTGTTTCTTCTTTAACAGTCGGCTGAGCCAGCCCGCAAAAAGGGCATACAGCCGTGCCATCGATATTGGCCTTGGTGATTTCCTCGGTGGCTATTTTCAAAGCGATTGTGTTTAAAGTGTCCCTCGGTAAAGCCAACTGAAATAAAATGCTAGTTATTTTAAGGTTGATGGCGAAATTCGAATAGAATTTACAGATACTGTGTGCAGGCTGATTTCCCCGTCGCAATCTGACATACAATCGAATTTGATGAATCCCTTAGCGAAGCTAAATTTAACGCTGTTTACTACGCATTCCTTGCAGAAAATGCAACCGTTTGTGCACAAATAGCACTCTTCTGGAGTTAATTCTTCGTTATAACAACATTTACACATTTCTAGTAGGTTGTATTTTCGAGCTTCTTCCTTGGTTTTTTGTTTCAAGTCGAGTTCTCTTCCGATATAGTCAATATGCTTTAAATAAGTTACCTGAAAGTAACAAAATATTTTACTAGTCTAATATTTAAACTGTACGAGTATGATGTTACCAATTGTACAAGAGGGATATTGTTTGAGGTAACAGAAGGTTCTTCAATCACCCTGGGCCTCTTCATGAATTTCGGTGCTTTGTCTAATTTTTTGCATATTGTAACCAAGTTCTTGCGTTCTACTTTAAACAGTGTATCGATAATTTTCTTTCTTACGAATCTGTATTTATTGTACAAAAAGTTCAAAGCGTATTGGTTGTCATTTTCGTCGGAATTTTCATTCAAACAAAGTTTTCTCTTGGGATTCCCGAACGTCTCCTGAGGGTTCGGTACGAGTTTCAAAAACTCGTTAACGTCGAAATTATCTGTATATTGAGCCACTTCAGAGTTGATTCTTTCACGCCTGAAATTTGTTTTAATAGTATAACAACAGATAGTGGTTGTTGAATTAAAAATTAACTTTTTTCAAACTAAATTTGAAAATTATTAAAGCTTACTTAATGTAATCATGCATAGTTGGATAGTCGTTTTTTTCGACAGCGTTCTGCAAAAATGAGTCCATTTCTCTTGGTGATAAAGTGCACAATTTTTCCGCTTCCTTTTCCAGGTAAGTGGGATCTGCTTTTGGTAACGCGATTTTCAATTGCTGCTTTATTATTGTGGAATCAACTTGATGTAGAGGTAAATCACCTAAACAAAAATATGTTTATTAACAATTTTCCATATATCGGTAAGTGCAAATGAGTTTGCAATATGGTCAATTCTACGAGCTGAACAAAGAAAGATTATTAAAATATCATATATCAAAATATAAAATATCAAATATTCATATGAGACTAATAGAAGTTGTCTTTGTTGCACCCACAGACCAAAATTTTGTACAACTTTGTAGTTATCTATATAGAGAGTAAAGTATTTTGATTATTTATCATTACACAAAGTTTGTGAAATTTTTTAGCTAACGAAATTTTTTATTACTAATACGCATATTTGGTAACTTACGTAAATTCAACTCCTCTATAGCTTCTTCGATATCAAAATCAGCCGTTTTCGAATTAACAAATTCCCGCAAATAATCATCTTCAACACAGTCATAAATGGACTTTAATTTTTTATACAGATCCTCTTTATTTTCTAACGAGGATGGCTGGTTTTGGGTTAGAATGTTAACCATATTTTCGACTTTATATTCAAACTCATCATCAGGCGTTTCTTCTTCCACCATTTTAATAACATCTTCGATAATACATTCCTTTGTCGTGGGAAACATCACCCTTAGAAGTGCATAATAATTATAGTATCCTATGCAAGTTGCCATGCTGGAAAAACATAAATAGGAAAATCAACCAGGTTCTAGAATAAATGAATTCATAGATTACCACTATACTAATATAATAGACTATAAGAGAAGATAGATATAAGATTTCGTAGAACACAATCGTATACATGGAAGTACTGATTTTTTTATACATTTATCAAACAGATATAGTAAATATGGTAAAGATAAGCGTTTTTAGATATGGCAGAAACATGTGCTGACAATGATATGTATAGAAATAAAATTATTTTCAACGTTAAAATTCATTCAACGTTTTCATTAATATGTATTAAAATAATTACCTGCGTGTTTATTAAACTATTTAAATATCTGTTGTGTCAAAAAAATAAATTTTTGACAATAAAAAAAAGAAAACAGAAACACATACTAGATACACCAATGTATTGCTGTGTCAGCCTTTTATGAATTAGCGAGAATATACATTTTATATTGGTAAATGATTTAAATGCTGTTTATAATTATAATATGCTCTACACAAAATATGTAACATTGAACTTACCTGCCGTAAACTAATAAAATTAAAACTGATTGGGGGAATCACACAGGAGTAAACCAGTAAACGTTTCCCTTTAAACTGTTATTCTGTATACATACATTTCAATTATTAATAGAAGGTTTATCAATACTTTTATAAAATAAATAAACAAATGTTTAATATCAACAGTGGGATCACCAAACAACTTTATAACGACCAAAAAAGTATGACCAACAAACGACCTTCCTTCGTACTGGAAAGATAACTTCAAACTTGTATAGATGACAGATAGTGATAAATTATCTGTTCAATTGGCCTTTAACTATTCGATCGTTCGAACAGCTAGAGAAATGTATCTACAAATCAAATCGATGTTTAACTTACGTAAAAATTCTAAAAATTATCGCTTTTTTTATTAGAGGAAGAGATAAAAAAGAATGATATTAATTACCTCCTCGCTAAATCTACGTCCCGTGAATACTGATTAGCCTATAATAAATAATGAATAATGCATTACGTAATAAAAAAGAAGTAATTTTCTTGTGATTACCCAATAATATTTTGGTCTCTTACTATTGTGGAGCAAACTAGTTTCTTCTTCTTTCTTAGCTTTTAGCCAAGAACTGAAAGGCCTCAACGCCTGTGGCTATTCGGCTGCAGTAAACTAAGTTTTCTTATATTTGACTTTTATTCTAATAGCAATTTAAGCCTTTTATTACAATTTTTTATATTTGTCAAAGTCAAAATTTTTAAAATGTGAATATTACTGAAACTTAAAAATCGTTATAAAAATTTTTTTAAAGCTATATACCCAAAATATATTTAGTATGCCGTAATATTAATCATTATTGAATTGCTAATATATTTTAAATTATCAATAATTGGAGGTATGTAATAAATAATAGAAAATACGAAAATTGACAAGAAAATCCAAATTAAATTTATTATATTGTATGTTGTGGTAAGCGATTTTTTAGTTTACTCCTCAACAAATTCATCATAGTATCATAAAACTAAACAAAAAGGATTTAAAATGGGTATTTCTTAATTTACCGACTTATTTAATCTGATATACTTTTAATACATTTTTTTTTTCAATAAAACTGCCCAGATGTTCCAATAATCTGCAAAAGCAAAATCGAAGTAACAGAAGATGCGTTTGCTAATTTTAACAGTTCTGTACCTCCAATGCGCCTCTGCGTTTTTCTGCTCGAGCCTGAAAGACGAAGATTGGTGGAAAACGGCCACCTTCTACCAAATCTTCACGAAATCCTTTAAAGATAGCAACGGCGACGGCATAGGAGACATCCAAGGCATCCTGGACAAATTGGACTACATCAAAAATTTAGGCGTAACTGGCGTGTGGTTAACGTCCTTTTTCCGTTCTCCCGAGAAGGATAACGGCTACGATGTATCGAATCACACGGATATTAATCCTGCATTGGGAGACCTGGACACATTCCAGAAGTTTTTGAACGAAGCCCATAAAAAGAGACTGAAAGTTATCATCGATTTCATACCAAACCACACCAGCGATCAACACGACTGGTTCAATAAATCCATGAATAGAGAAGACGAGTACACGGATTTTTACGTTTGGTTGAAAGATGACAACACCACTGGTCCTCCTAATAACTGGGTAAATTAATTGGTTTATTTTCGACATGAAAAAGAATGTTTAAAGAATATAATTTCAGGTTAGCAATTTCAACGGATCCGCTTGGCAATGGAATGACCAAAGAAACCAATACTATTTGCACCAGTTCCTGCCCGAACAACCGGATTTGAATTACAGAAACAATTACGTAAGAAACATAATGAAGGTGGGAAAATATACTAATCATTTATCAATATATCTAATGCTGATTTGTTTAAGCAGGACATTCTGACTTATTGGCTGAAAACTCAGGGAGTCGACGGTGTTAGAATAGGTTCTGTGCCTTATCTCATTGAAGAACAAGTTTTCAAAGATGAACCTGTATCCAAGCGCCATCCGAACGCTACAGAATCGGACTATGAATATTTAAATCATGTATTTACCGTTAACCAACCGGAAAGCTACGATTTGGTATATGAATGGCGAGCTCACGTGGATAAAATTTCTTCTATCACTGGACAAACAAAGTAGGAGTCAATCTTCTCAATCCCCAGTAAACTTTCTATCAATTTATACCTCTCTTCAACAGGATTTGTATATGTGAGGCGACTCAACCAACTGATAAAATTATACCTTATTATGGGAGCCGCGCTGGAACGAAACAGGGCGCTCATTTCGCTTTTAATTTCATACTGGATCTAGAACTGAAAGCTACATCCAATGCGAAAGATTTGGCGAATTTGATAGGCGAATGGTTGAATAAACTCCCTAAAATATACGTTTCCAACTGGGTGGTAAAATATCATCCAATTATCTAATATTTTTACAATAGAACCATCGAAATGTTTGATTATTTCAGCTTGGTAGTCACGACTTTCATCGCGTTGCCACGAGGTTGGGAAGAGAACGAGTCGATTTGCTAAACATGCTAACGGGATTTCTACCGGGCATTCAAATTACGTACTATGGCGAGGAAATCGGAATGGAGGAGGTCAATGAATGCGCCCAACTTCACCAGTCTAACGCCAGCGATTGTTATGTATACAAGGGGGATTCGAGGGATCCCCAGAGAACGCCTATGCAATGGGATAGCAGCCCTTTAGCTAATTTCAGTGACGGTAACTTGGGCATTTTCCCATAATGTAAGAGCGTTAATATACATTTTAAAACAGGTAAAACGACATGGTTGCCTGTGAGTTACAAGAAAAACCAGTGCAATGTTAAAGATCAAGAGGAAGATCCCAAGAGCCATCTGAACGTTTACAGAAGCGTTCAGAATTTGAGGACGCAACTGAGGACACAGGACCAAATGGAAATGAAAGTCTTGGACAAGCACAACAACATTCTAGAGTTGACTAGATATAACAAAGGGGAGAGCCAAGGCTCGAGAATCAACGTATTTATTATGGTGTTGAATTTTGGAGGCGAGCCGGTTACAGTGCCCCTAACGGCGGATCCTCCCTTTAAAGTGATGCTGCGGAGTGGAAATTCGTTACGAAAATGCGGGTAAGACCTTAATACATCATTGTAGCCAATTATGGGCAAATCTATGGGTCTTTGTTTCAGGGAAATGATAAAAGCGAAAATTTTGACGATGCAACCCTATGAAGCTTTAATATTGAAACCTAAATATACTTCGAATTGAAAGTTATTTATAAGAAATTTATCGTAATTTGATTGTAGAAAAAGAGTGATGAATAAATTAAACAGTTACCTTTACATTGCCTGAAATTTCAAGTATCTTTATATTATTTATATTATTTGAACAAACTATCAATTAAAGCTCGTTTAAATTACTTTACATTAATTTAAAATAGTGGTTACCAATACTAGAAGCTCTTAACATTATGAATTGCATAATGCCTCATTAAAGTGCTCTTTTGGTAAAACGAGCTATCACAAATATCACATTTATAATTTTTCATGCCGCTGTGAATTAACAAATGTCTTTTTAAAATATACTTCCGGCTGAACGATTTGTGGCAAATATCACATGTGTGCTCTTTGCCTCCACTGTGAACCAAGAGGTGCAGGCTCAAATTATTTTTTCCGTAGAATGTCTGCTGGCAAACCTGACACTTTAATATGTTCTTCGCGTGAAGCAGCAAGTGCTTCTTCAAATTGCTCTCTTCGAAGAACGATTTATCGCAAATGTGGCACTTTATATTCCTCTCGCCTGTATGAATTAACGAATGTCTTTTCAAACTATTTTTTTCGTAAAACGATTTATGGCAAATATTGCATTGGAAATTTTTCTCGTTCGCATGGATCAATAAGTGCCTCTTTAAATTCTTGTTCTCTTGAAACGATTTGTTGCAAATGTCGCATTTGAACCTTTTTACATCAGTGTGTATCAGCAAATGCCTGTTCAAGTTCCCTTTGTCGTAGAACGATTTTTGGCAAATTTCACATTTGAAGTTCTTCTGGTTCGAATGAATCAACAAGTGCCTGTTTAAATGGCTCTTCGCTTGGAATAATTTACTACAAACATCACATTTGTGTTTTTTTTCGCCGCTGTGCGTGAATAGATGCAATTTTAGCTTAGCCTTTTCGATAAAAGATTTCTGGCAAACTTCACATTGATAGTTTCTCTCGTTCGAATGGATCAATAAATGCCTCGTTAAATCGGATTTGCGGTAAAATGATTTGTTACAAACGTCGCATTTATGGCGTCTCTCGTTGTTGTGAGTTAGGACATGCAATCTTAAATGACTCCTCTCGTAAAAAGCCTTTTCGCATTCACTGCATTTGTAGTTTCTCTCGTCAGTGTGAACCAGCGAGTGTCTCTTTAAATCGGCCATTCGATAAAACGATTTATCGCAAACGTTACATTTATAATTTTTTTTCCGCTATGTCTTAATAAATGGAGCTTTAAAGAGCTGCTTCTGTTAAACAATTTTTGACAGATATCACATTTGTATGGATTAAGATTGGTGTTTAAGTTCAGCTCTGGATAATTTTTTTGACTAGCCGTTTCAAAATTATCGGAATTTGAATCACTAAGCTCTTCAATTTCGTTTTTTATGAATATCACTCCTTGAATATGGTTTTTGTGGACGTTTTGGAAGTGTGTGCTTTTTAGTTGAGGTAAATTCGATTCTTCCATATTCTTTGTGATTTCTAATTTAACTGTTTTTAATGTTTTCTCGTCTCTATCATCAAAAGAAACCATATATTGTTGGTTTTTGTGATAATTTGGGAAGCATATTTCGTGAAAAGCGGTTATTTCCTCCTTTATAACTAATTCTTCCTTTTCGACCTTACCTACAAATGATTTGTAATATAAAGGGATGTTTTCAAAGTTCTGGGAATTGTGCTCTAATTAAATTAGGCAGAACTTAAAGACATTATTGTTTATGCAACATTTTTTATAGAGATAGTTGCACAAACATGTAAGACTTGTCTATCACCAATAACATTGCCTAAAGGTTCTGCGTAATTTAATTAGAGCACAATTCCCATATTGGAAACATTCCTCGTAAATTATTTTTCTTTCATATTGAATTAATAGCTCTATATTAAACCTATTTCAAATTAATGAGAGGGTAAGATCATTGATTAACGTACAGTTTATGAATTCCATTTCTTTTTCATTATTATTTATTAAGCTGATATTATCTAAATGTTCATCTGGTATTTCTGGCTCGTTTTCGATAGAATGTCTAATAATTTCTTCTTGATTAATTGTAGTAGCTGTACTATTCATGTTTAATTACTTATAATGCACAATATAACATAATTAAATATATTTACAGACACCATCAAAGATATCTTTATCAAAGATAATTTTTGAAAATAAAACAAAAACAAAATATTTACTTTTATTGACATATGACATTAGTGTACCGCTTCTTCTTTTTCTTTTAGTTTTGTCTTTTACTTATTTATTCTTCGCAAATTCAACAATTCAATGCAACAGTTTATCAAAAGAATGAATTAGAATTTTAAAAATATAAGTAAGAATTGTAAGAATTATCCATTCGTGATTCTTTTAGCCATACGTAAGTCGGTCGCCATTTAGTTCTTAAATATTCGAAAAAAAAAGGAAAAATTTGATTAATAAATCATTATCTGTATAAAAAATTAGACAAAACTGGAAATTCTCTTAGTTTCAAAACTGTTTAAGATAGATTCTAATATTTAAAAACCTTCTGAAGCCAATTTTTGATATAATATACAGCAATTAATCTTTCCTAGTTGCCTATTTTCTGGTTACAAACTCACAGCCTATATTACATTGCCTATATTACAGCGCAATATAATTGGGAATTATTCCATGAGATCAATCAAATAGTCAATCAACCCATTTTTTTGTTCATCATCATTATCAAGAGGCTTCCAATTAAGAGACTATATTTTCCTAATAAATAAGGAATAAAATAGGTATACGTTATACGGACTAATACGATTTTTGGTAGGTACCTATTTTAGCAAAAATTACTCACCAAAATTGGTGAATGAATTATTTTGAAAATTTCATATCCTAGTCAAAAGTAAGCACACTTTGGTATAACGACAATATTTTAGTCTATATTTAATTTGGCTGCTTTCTAATTATATCTTCGCATACAGCTATTTAAAAATAGAATATTTTAACAGTCCACCATAATTGTGTTACTGTGTAGATGAAAAATTAATGTAGGTAACTTTTTCAAAATGTAAGTAAAAAATTTTATTTTATTAAATATTCATGAATTTGGCCTAATGTACCTAATGGGGAAAGGTGCATTAAAAACCAATACAGCTTTCCTGCTGCATATAAGAAGAAATTCTGAATTGACATCTCCGCAATATTTATTTTTATATAAACCTTCAATTTTATAAGTTTCTGGGGCAATATTGAATATGAGCTATTTTTTCACAATTATAAAAATAACTTTGCGGCTTAACTTTACCGGCAAAAAACATACTAATATTTCTTTAACCTATTTAGTTAGAATGTAATTTAAAGTAGAAAAATTTATTTTGTCATTTAAAAATATTTATCCTACTAAGTCTGAACCTTTAGGTGCTTCATAAAAATTACAAATTCAATTTATTAGTTATACATTGCTGCTTATTTCAGGACAAGTTACCCACACAGTTATTTTTGAAAAGTATTCAAAAATAGTTCGGAAATGACTGTCCAGCACTTCAATTAATTTAAAGCTGTCTGCTACTTATTCGCTTTTTCAAAAATGTCCGAAAGCACCTTAATTTTCAATCTACATTCTGCTCATTAATTCCGCATGCATTATAAACAGCACCCTGTTGAACTTTGAGTATAGCCCTATATCTTGCTGACTTTGCGACTGCTCATTCTAAATTCGAATCGCGCTCTTGGCCGATATACCACGGTATTGTTTCATTTCAAAATCATTTCCTTAAAATCGCGCAAAGTTATTAATTTAATCAACAATCACTGTAATTTTCAGATCGAAATAAACCCCCAATATGGCCGAAGCCGAAGGGGGCTCCGAACAAGATGATGTTTCGTTTCTACGAACGGTAAGTTTCGTTTGTAGGTTATAATGCGGTCTAATGAATAATTTAATTAAAACGGTACATGTTCCTATTATTAATTAAATTACAGGAAGACATGGTGTGTCTTTCGTGCACTGCGACAGGGGAACGTGTCTGTTTAGCTGCAGAGGGATTTGGAAACAGACATTGTTTTCTTGAAAATATAGCTGATAAGGTAATTATTATTTATTTCTTAAATATTATAAAATGACGATTTGAAAATAAGTTGAAAAATGAGAGAAAAAATTGAGTTACTTATGTTTTGCATTGGCGCAAATCTGGCGCAAATCTGGCAATCGTGGGGACCATATATTGACATCTTCTCTCAATCCTATAGTCTTTAAGGGAATATGGTAAAAATAGGTATAATTAAAGCTTTTTTTATAACTTAATATTCTTTTAGAACATACCTCCGGACCTTTCGCAATGTGTATTTGTAATAGAGCAAGCCCTGTCGGTGCGAGCCTTGCAGGAATTGGTAACAGCATCCGGAAATGAAACAGTAAGTACCTGTAGGCACACTCTTAGATCCGATTAGTTACCTAATATTTTTTGAATAACGCATATATAGTCAAAGTAATAATCACATACATTTTTCATCTACTATAATAATTGCAACAATAATAATAGGTAAGTGTATGTATTTTTTATGAGACGGAATTAATTTGTAATTAAATTGATTTCCATTATTTTTGTTTTATTTTTGGCTCATAACAAAGCTGAAAGTTATTTTTTGGCAATGATTTCTGCCGTTTCTTCTTTTCTAATTGATAGCTGTGCAGTCACAGTTAAATGAAGATCTCTCATTGACCGAGAATTTGTAGCTGTTAGTTGCATTAAATTAGGATAGTTTAAATTATCTTTTATTATTAAAATTTGTTTGTCCAGGATGACATATTAGAAGTGTGAAAATATTTTGAAAGTATAATTATACTTGCAGTTAAATCTTTAACAATAATTTGCACATATAAAAGGTCATAAATATTTTAAAATTAGGTACTGTAAATTACGATTTTATTTGTGCTCATTTATTTAACACTACATATATTTAACACTCACTATTGAAAATTTTACATTTACCTGTTTATCATTTTGTAATTTTTTTATGTTGGTTTTAGTTATTTTACTTTACCTGCTTACATTTTTGCTTTTCAGGGACAAGAAAATTTAGTAAGTAAATCTAAAAGAAGTATCAAGTATTGTATAAAATTATTTATTTGTTTACACTGAAATTAACAAATTCTAATTGGAATACAGTATTTAATGAAGTCGCAAAATTAATTACAAAATTGTTTGTACACAAGACGAAACGTTTTTAAATTAGGATTGTGGTATTAATATTATAAAGTTAACTTAATAAATTCAATCATTTCATCCTGTGTATAAATTGTGCTTATCGATGTAAAGCATTAATAGCATTAATATCTAATTGTGTAGATGCAGCTTTCGTATTTTTATTGTTTTATTAATAATTGAGTAAATTTTTTTGGTGAATCACTATAGGTAGATATGTACATTTTTGTAAAACATTTGTATAGTAAATTTTGCTAAAAAATACATATTCTTTTTGTATTCTGTACTCCCTACTACTTAATTATTAACCTACTAATCTAAAATTGCAACTGAATATTATTGGAAAATTTTAAAATATTGAAATGTAACAATTTTTTCTTAATGACTAAATTCAAATCTATCACTATTCATAAATTCGTTTAAAAAAGTTAGCAATTGTGCGCAATTAAATTAAAGCAATAACAACAAATTCAGTTTCGTAGAAACGTAAATATTCATCAATATGCTGTTTTCTTTAAATATTTAATTACTAACAACGAATTATTATTATGTATTATGGCCTTTTATAATAAAATAACTGATTCATTCAAAGCAGTAGAAAATTCTAACAGTCGTTTTTGCAGTGGTAGAATTTGGACAATTACTTGGATAGTTGCACTAAAATGGTTTATTATAAGTAGAATATGGCGTTTAATTATTATTTGCTATTTATTTCATGTTAATTAATTTTTTAGGGCAAGGGCACCGGCTCTGGTCACAGAACTCTACTATACGGAAATGCCATTTTATTAAGGCATCAGAACAGTGACATGGTAAGTTCTTTTACATTAGCATAAAAACATTTTAATAAATCTTTCTTAATTTGTAGTATCTAGCGTGCCTTTCCACCAGCTCCAGTAACGACAAACTGGCCTTCGACGTCGGTTTACAAGACCACAGTCACGGCGAAGCCTGCTGGTGGACAGTCCATCCAGCTAGCAAACAAAGGTAACCAGAATATTCATCATTAAAATTGTCACTAGAAAGTTTATCTTATTTTCAGATCCGAAGGTGAAAAAGTAAGAGTAGGAGACGATCTAATCTTGGTGTCCGTTGCCACCGAACGATATTTGGTGAGGAATAAATTCATTGAATTAAGACAACAGTGAATATTTAATATGATCTTTCAGCACACAACGAAAGAAAATGAGGTTTCCATTGTCAACGCGAGCTTCCACGTAACACATTGGTCTGTCCAACCCTACGGAACTGGAATTTCTAGAGTTAAATACGTAGGTTACGTTTTCGGTGGCGATGTCCTTAGATTTTTTCACGGAGGCGACGAATGTCTCACCATACCTTCCACTTGGGACACAGAACCTCAGCATAAGTGAGTATTATACAAAAGCTCTGTTTCTTACTTCTAATATCTGTTTGTAGCATGGTAATATATGAAGGAGGAAGCGTCATGTCCCAAGCCAGATCGCTTTGGAGATTAGAATTAGCAAGGACCAAATGGGCGGGTGGTTTTATAAATTGGTACCATCCCATGAGAATTCGACATATCACTACTGGACGATATTTAGCAGTAAACGAAAACAACGAACTATATCTTGTCAGCAGGTTTGATCCAATGATTTTTATATCTAAATGAAATTTTGAGCTTGATCTTTTTAGAGATGAAGCTAACACTGCTACTACTGCTTTCTGCTTGCGACAGGAGAAAGACGACCAAAAAGTTGTGCTAGAGGACAAGGATTTGGAAATTATTGGCGCTCCGATTATTAAATATGGTGACTCTACTGTCATTGTGCAGCATTCAGAAACTGGTCTTTGGTTATCTTATAAGGTACAATACACTTTTACATTTCTAAGTATAAAAAATACAATATCAATTATTAATTAAAGGCATTCGAGACGAAAAAGAAGGGTGTGGGAAAAGTTGAAGAAAAACAAGCCGTTCTACACGAAGAAGGTAAAATGGATGACGGTTTGGATTTCAGTAGATCTCAGGAAGAAGAATCGAGAACTGCTAGAGTTATCAGGAAATGCAGTTCACTCTTCACTCAATTTATTAAGTAAGACAAAATACGAATCAACTGGAAATCTATCATAATGTTGAACATTTTTATTATAGTGGTTTAGAACAATTACAATCGAATCGAAGACATTCTATCTTCTTTCAACAAATCAACCTAAACGAAATGGTTATGTGTTTGGAAGATTTAATCAATTATTTTGCACAACCCGAAGATGATATGGGTAATAACAACTAACATTCTTTAAACCAACAAATAAAAAAATAAATATACCGGTTTTTCAGAACACGAAGAAAAACAGAACCGACTACGAGCCTTAAGGAATAGGCAAGACCTGTTCCAAGAAGAGGGAATTTTAAATTTAATTCTCGAAGCTATTGATAAGATCAACGTAATAACATCTCAAGGCTTCTTGGCTCAACTATCAGGGGATCAAAGCTGGGAAATGATCGGAGTGTATCTATATCAATTATTAGGTAAATAAATAGCCATCGTATTAATTAAGATTTATCAACCAAATTTTTTTTCTATAGCCGCAATAATAAAAGGAAACCACACCAATTGCGCGCAATTCGCAAACTCCAACCGTTTGAACTGGTTGTTTTCCAGGCTGGGTTCTCAAGCCTCTGGGGAAGGTACTGGAATGTTGGACGTACTGCATTGCGTTTTGATAGATTCTCCTGAAGCTCTAAATATGATGAGAGTAAGTACTACAAATTCTTTTTTAATTTACTAAGTATTAATTGGAATTTTTTAGGATGAACATATCAAAGTTATAATATCCCTTTTGGAGAAACACGGTAGAGATCCAAAAGTACTGGATGTTCTGTGTTCGCTGTGCGTAGGTAATGGTGTCGCAGTCCGCAGTTCCCAAAACAACATCTGTGATTATTTGTTGCCCGGGAAAAATTTATTGCTACAGACTCAACTGGTAGATCATGTTGCCAGGTTAGTTCATAAACATTTTACTTTAATTCTGAAATGATGAAGATTATCTTGCGCAGTGTTCGTCCGAACATATTCGTTGGTAGAGTAGAAGGTAGCGCTATTTATCAAAAATGGTATTTCGAAGTTACAGTCGATCATTTAGAACAAACTACTCATATGACACCTCATCTAAGGATAGGCTGGGCTAATTCGAAAGGGTAAGAAATATTATGAGATGATGTATGTCGGAGTAATAATTGTTTTTAATGTTTTTGTAGATACATACCATATCCAGGAGGAGGTGAAAAGTGGGGTGGTAATGGTGTTGGTGATGATTTGTATTCTTTTGGTTTCGATGGGGCTTATTTGTGGACAGGAGGTAGAAACACAAGAGTAGTTTTTAGTAACATCGAACCATTTATCAGAAAAAGTAAGTTTCCAGATACATTTATTATTAGAATTGAAGCATTATGTTTATTTTAGGCGATGTAATCGGATGTGCCTTAGATTTAACAATACCAATGATAAATTTTACATTTAACGGCGTACCAATTAAAGGTAGTTTCCGCGATTTCAACTTAGACGGCATGTTCTTTCCTGTCATTAGTTGCTCGTCCAAATTAAGGTAGGAATATCTTCTTGTAAAATAGAAACGAAAAAATAAAACTTTATATTCCAGTTGTCGATTTTTGCTTGGTGGTGATCACGGTAAACTCAAATATTACCCACCAGAAGACTTCTCTCCCCTCGTCGAAAGCCTTCTACCGCAACAAGTCCTCTTACTGGAGCCTTGTTTTTATTTCGGCAACATGGCTAAGAACGTTATGGCCGGACCTCTGTACGTGGAAGACGATACCGCGTTTGTACCGAAACCGGTCGACACTTCCATGGTATCTCTTCCACCGTACATCGAATCCATTAGAGACAAACTAGCAGAGAACATTCACGAGATGTGGGCGATGAATAAAATCGAAGCCGGTTGCCAATGGGGAGAGTACAGGGACGATGCTCGCATGATCCATCCGTGTTTGGTATCCTTCGATAAATTACCGCAAGCCGAGAGAAAATACGATACCCAATTAGCTGTGCAAACTTTAAAGTAAGTGCTGCTTTGCTTAAAATCCGATTGATTAATGAATGTTATTTAGGACTATTATTGCTTTGGGGTACTACATTACGATGGACAAGCCGCCTTCGAGGATAAAAACCATCAGACTACCGAACGAACCGTTCATGCAAGCCAATGGCTACAAACCAGCGCCTCTCGATTTAAGCGCAATCAACTTAACTGCGAAATTAGAAGAGCTGGTCGACCAACTGGCGGAGAATACCCACAATTTGTGGGCGAAAGAGCGAATTCAAAACGGTTGGACCTACGGACTTAACGAAGTGAGCCTATCAATCCACAAAATAGTTCCTTAATTAATTTTCACCTTAATTTCCAAGGATCCGGATTTGTACAGGAGCCCGCATTTGGTCCCCTACGGCAAAGTCGACGACGCTATTAAAAAAGCCAATCGCGACACAGCCTCTGAAACAGTTCGCACGCTTCTAGTCTACGGCTACAATTTGGATCCCCCGACCGGAGAGCAGCAGGAAACTCTGCTGGCCGATTTGAACCAGCAGCGACTGCCCGATTTTAGGACGTACAGGGCCGAGAAGAATTACGCGGTTAGTTCGGGAAAATGGTATTTCGAGTTCGAAATCCTGACTGCAGGACCGATGAGAGTCGGATGGGCCAAAGCGGATTGCGCGCCGGGATGCATGCTCGGAGCGGATGAGAATACATGGGCCTTTGACGGGTATAATGTAAGTATCTTTAATAAATTTGTATAAGACGATGTAGCTAATTATTATGTAGCTGTAATGTTATGGAATGCAGTATAGTTTACAAGTGGTGATTTAACTAGGGTCATGGAATAATAATCTATATAAAAAAGCAGAAGCTATATCGATTAAATGGTGACAACTATTGCTTCAGTATGAATTATTATTTTGTGCTACAGCTTTTAGATATATTAGTTTATAAAATAACAGTTAAATACTAATTTCTTTTAATATAACAGAAGTTTTTACCCATATACTGAATATTACATCTCACTATTCGATATAATAATTAGACGATTTAGAGTAACAAATTTATGTGATTCCCAGCAAAGAAAATACCATGGCGGTTCTTTCGAACCGTTCGGAATAAAATATCACGTGGGAGATGTCGTTGGATGTTGTCTCGATATCACAGATGGAAATATAAGTGAGTGTCGTGCAACGCAGGAGACATGCCCCATGTACATTGAAGTCCTTTTGTTGAATGTTTTGCAATTTTGATATCGAAAATAATGCGTCGTTTGCATTAGATTTGTGTTTTAAGATTGCATGTTTTCTTTACCTAGGAAGAAAAAGTGTACAGCAATACGGCCGAATCGTTTGGCAAACAATGGCAAGTGGGCGATGTCGTGGGAGTTTTTCTAGATTTAATTGACCATACTATAAGTAAGGAAAATATAAATGTTCGCATTTCGCAATTTATTTTATTTTCCTAAGCCGCTAAAAACATATTATTACTACAATTATTAGAGTATAGATTTAATCTAGTAGATAATTTCGGCTAACAATTTCTTCATTTTAAATATTCACTTTTACACGAGCCATTCCACTCGGCCTATGCTTTATTAATAAAAAAAAAACCCATTAATACTATAACATATTGAATGTCAAATTTATTAATATATCACTTTTAAAAATACTAACTACTGTTAAACATTGCAAGACATGTATTTTACTTATGTACATTTTTGTTCATTTACCTTATCTCATTGAATCTACCCTCTGGTGCAATATATTATAAACATTTTTATTTATTCTACGAGGTTTTTCGTTAAACGGGGAACTGCTGATGGACGCTCTCGGCGGTGAAACCACGTTCGCTGATGTACAGGGCGATAACTTCGTGCCAGCTTTCACTCTAGGCGTCGGACAGAAAGCTCGACTTATATTCGGACAAGACGTCACCCAATTGAAATATTTCACCATGTGCGGTTTACAGGAGGGTTACGAACCCTTCTGCGTGTAAGTTACTTGTAACCTTTATAAATTATGTTATTCTCATGTGTACGCATTGCAGGAACATGAACCGAGCTGTGACTTATTGGTATACCAAAGACCAGCCGATTTTCGAAAACACAGAAGACTATCTAGACACCAAAATCGACGTCACTAGAATATTAGCAGGCTCCGAATTGCCTCCATGTTTGAAAATCAGCCACAACACTTTCGAAACCATGGAGAAAGCCAACTGGGAATTTTTGAGATTAAGTTTACCGGTCATTTGCCATTCCCAATTCATTTCGTAAGTATTTAATAACACCAGTAAAATTAATGAACTTAACAGCACTTTTGTTAATAAATAGTGAGGACGAGAAGCGCCGAAGATGGGACGAAATTAAAATCAGGCAGCACAGACTGAAAGCCGAAGCGAGCGATCAAGGACCACCCGCTCATATAGAGAACATCATGAGGAGCGGCTTCTCGATGAGCGACATAAAAGGCTTGCACAGAACTTACGAAGATAACGTCGAACCGGAGGAGGTGATGAAGCAGCCGGCTAGTAACAGAAAGTCGATGAGGATGCCCGCGCGACCTCCCAGAAAAGGCTCGCTATCCAGAAATGTCAACGGTTTCGATGATAACAGTAAGAGAATTTGTAATTTTTAACGTATTGTAGCATCAAAACCGATTATAAATTCTTTAGCGACAGGCGGTATGACCGGCAGGGGCGTTCAAAGATCGAACAGCGAGCTCAACATGAACAGATACAACGAATTAACCAACGGCGTTCCGGAGAAAACCGATGATAAGAAAAAAAGAGGCAGATCTCCGTTCAGGTAGAACAGTTTATGAATAATTATATTGTTCGTTAATTAAAATAAATTCTAGGTTCTTTTCGAAGAAAAATCGTGACGCTGGGTCTAGTGGAGAGAGGGATCGCATCAAGAAAGCGAAAACTCCGGATCCACCACCGAGACAGGCAGCCGATCTCTCGCCACAAGCTCGGTCTGTAGGCCTATCTAATACAGCATTACAAAGACGACAGACCATGAAGCAATCTCAGGTAATAGAACAATTAAGAAAAATAAATTCTTCTAAGAAATTAACTTGAACTTCATGCTCACAGAATGATCTTCAACCACAAACTACCACGGATAGGCAACAGAAGCAATTAACAGTAACCCAACCGTCGGACATTGAATCAATTGGAAATGAAATTTATGATGCAGAATGTCTCAAATTAATCAACGAGTATTTTTACGGTAACAATTATGCAGTACATGACCAACAATACCTACTTGTTTTATAATTTGTAGGAGTACGAATATTCCCTGGACAGGATCCTGCTCATACATACATAGGTTGGGTAACAACGCAGTATCATTTACACAGTAAAGATTTTAATCAAAACCAGGTCCTTAAGTCATCAGTAATAGTGGTAGATGATTTTGAACGCATAGTCGAAAGGTAACCGTTTATTAAATAATTTACCTATCGTAAAGCAAATATATTTATTACAGAGTTGAGAGGCAGTCTTGTTATATGGTCCGAGCTGACGAGCTGTACAACCAGGTCACCCAAGACGCATCTGGAAAGGGAGCTTCACAGGGAATGTTTATAGGTTGCTTCTTAGATGCTGCTACAGGCATTATAACTTTTACTTGTGATGGAAAACCAACTACTCATAGATTTATGGTAATTAAAAAATATCTACTAACAAGTCGAATTGGTTCGTAACCTGTGTACTTTCAGATGGAGCCCGAGACGAAGCTATTCCCGGCAATTTTCGTGGAAGCCACCAGCAAAGAAGTTCTGCAATTTGAACTGGGCAGAACATCTACCAGTCTTCCTCTATCGGCAGCCGTGCTGCAAAACAGTTCGAAACACGTTATACCCCAATTTCCGCCCAGATTAAAAGTTCAGTGCTTGAAGCCGCACCAATGGGCGAGAGTACCGAACCACAGCTTGCAGGTGCACGCCCTAAAATTATCCGATATCAGAGGATGGTCGATGCTTTGCGAAGATCCCGTTTCGATGCTGGCTCTGCACATACCCGAAGAAGATCGGTGCATAGACATCTTGGAGCTCATCGAGATGGACAAACTGCTGAGTTTCCACGCGCACACGTTGACTTTGTACGCCGCCCTGTGTTATCAGAGTAACTACAAGGCGGCGCACGTGCTGTGCAAACACGTCGATCAGAAACAGCTGTTATATGCCATAAAATCGGAGTACATGAGTGGACCTCTTAGACAAGGATTTTACGATTTGTTGATAGCCGTTCATTTAGAGTCTACAGCTACAACTATGTTAGTTTTCTTATAATTTTTATTTTACCTACGAAAATATGATTTTAAAAAATTTTTAGGGAAGTCTGTAAGAATGAATACGTAATTCCAATCGGCCAAGAACTAAAAGATTTGTACGATGACGCCGACATGGGACACAGCTTGAGGAAGTTGAAAATGGAATCCATTCAACCGCAAATGAAAACATCAGATATAACGTAATTAATTTAATCGATTACCATTCATCGCTTTAAACATCGAATTTTCATTCCAGTGAAAATATTGCCAATATTAAACAGTTGTATTCCCCCTATTTTCCATTGGACGTTGTTAGAGATTACGTGATGAAAGCTCTAGCTGAATCGGTCGAAGTGAATCAAGTGCACAATAGAGACCCAATTGGTGGTTCAAACGAAAATCTCTTCCTGTAAGTCCACAGCTCTATAAATTAAGTTTTACCTTCAGTTGTATTCATTCATTTAGCCCACTACTGAAACTGGTGGACCGTTTGCTGTTGGTGGGAATGCTGGGAGACGAGGACGTAGATAAACTCTTAATAATGATTTGTCCGGAAACATGGGATCCATCGTTCGAAAAAGACGGCAAAGACGAGCACCGTAAAGGATTGCTATCGATGAAGATGGCCGAGGGCGCCAAACTGCAGATGTGCTATCTCTTGCATCATCTCTGCGACATTCAGTTGAGGCACAGGGTGGAGTCCATCATAGCGTTCAGTCATGATTTTGTTGGCGAATTGCAGACGGATCAATTGAGGCGCTACATTGAAATTAAGCAATCTGATTTGCCTTCCGCTGTAGCTGCCAAAAAGACCAGAGAATTCAGGTGTCCTCCCCGCGAGCAGATGAATGCCATCTTGTGTAAGTTTAAGAAAATAGCAGGTACGTTGAAAAATTGACAAGCGTATGTGTAACTAATGATCTATTAACGATTAATATAACTGTTGTTTTCGTGGAAATCGTAATGATAAAAACATTAACGGCGATTTGTGATAAGTCCTAAAGTCTAATATCTGTGCATAAGAGACAATTTTAGTTTGTTTCGTGTTTTTGTTTTGAAATTGATAGTAGATTATAAATAATTTACGAATTATTGATACAGCAGATTTCAAGACTTCAGCAATTTAAATAAAAGCAAAAACATGGAACAGAGCTCAATAGGTACTAATAAAAGTTTTACGGTTCAAATAAAATGTTCCTTGAAAGTGAATTTGTTTACTGCCCGAATTATAGAGATTTTATCTAATTAGGTGACAAATTATTGGTTTATTTTTAAAGAAACCTCTTTAACTAATATCACTAATTACATTTCTATCCTTATTTATATTTTTGAAAGGTTCTTTCTACCTTTATTATTCATTATACCTAGGTAGGAACTATAGGTATTAATTAAGTTCTTTCCTCTTTGGTTCGTTTTTCAAATACAGAGTTATAAAATAATTACTTACCGAATCCGTTGTAAGTAACAAATACGTATGTCAATTTTTTTGGTGTAGTTTGAAGTTTTTCCCCTATTACTTTTGATGCTTTATCCAAGTAGATTAAAAAATTACTAGTTGATACACAATACACCATTTCATTTATTCACCTATTATTTTTGTATTTTATTATTTTTTATTAGCGTTTACAAAAATCGAAACCAAATGCATTGTCCAAATTAATTGCAGTAGATGTTTTCCTTTCAAATTAATGAAGTAGGCATTTTACCAATTTAGTTGCTCGTTTGATGTTTTTTCAATCCTAATCTACTCAATTTTTTACTTCATCCTGCTTCTGCTTCTGCTATTATACAGGCTTCAAGAATCTTGAGGATGAAGACAAAGAAAACTGCCCGCTGGGCGAGGACTTGTGCGAGAGAATGAACAATTTCCATGAAAGATTAATGAACCACGTGTCGCTACAAGCTTTGCTTTCTCCTGAAGAAGAAACCAATCCGGAAGATCAAGTCAAAACCGGGCCGTTCAAAAAATTATACAACCTCATAAATGCAGTCAAAGAACTTGAAGAAGAAGGAAAAGAGGAACCTGAGCCGGAGAAGAAAACGCCCGAAGAGACGTTTAGGAAAGTTTTAATCGCCACTATCGTTAGGTGGGCGGAAGAAACTCAAATCGAAACTGCTAAATTGGTTCAAGAAATGTTCAGGTATTATACTTACAAGAGATTTAAATAGATGATAGTATTTATGCCCAAAATTTTCCCATTTTTTTCAGCTTGCTAGTTCGACAATACGATTCAGTAGGCGAACTAATAAGAGCCTTAGAGAAAACCTACATAATCAACGCCAAAACTAAAAGCGACGTATCAGAAATGTGGGTCGGTTTGAGCCAGATCAGAGCTCTTCTCCCCGTGCAAATGTCTCAAGAGGAAGAAGAACTAATGAGAGAAAGATTATGGAAATTAGTCAACAATCACACTTTCTTCCAACACCCTGATTTGATACGAGTTTTAAGAATTCACGAAAACGTCATGGCAGTGATGATCAATACGCTAGGAAGAAGATCACAGGCTCAATCAGATGCCGGTAATCAACAACAAAATACTGAAGGCGACGTTGCCGTTAAAGAGAAAGTAAGGGAATTTTCCAAGCTCAACAACAAAAAGATAATAATTAATCTATAATTTTTAGGACACGTCCCACGAGATGGTCGTAGCTTGTTGTCGCTTCTTGTGCTACTTCTGCAGAACTGGCAGGCAAAACCAAAAAGCCATGTTCGAGCATTTCGACTTTCTACTAGACAACAGCAACATATTGCTGGCGAGACCCAGCTTGAGAGGTTCCACGCCACTGGACGTATCCTACTCCTCCCTAATGGAAAACACCGAACTCGCCCTCGCTCTACGGGAACATTACTTGGAAAAAATCGCCGTGTACTTATCCCGCTGCGGGTTGCAATCCAACTCCGAGCTGATAGAAAAGGGCTACCCGGATTTGGGATGGGATCCGGTAGAAGGCGAGAGATACCTGGACTTTCTGAGGTTTTGTGTTTGGGTGAACGGCGAAAGCGTGGAGGAAAACGCCAATCTCGTCATACGGCTGCTCATTCGAAGGCCCGAGTGCTTGGGCCCGGCTCTCAGAGGCGAAGGCGAAGGTCTGTTGAGGGCGATCGTCGAGGCGAATAAGATGTCGGAGAGAATAGCCGATAGAAGGAAAATGATGGACGAAGCCGAAGGAACGGTGGTGAACGTGGCGCAATTTACCCATCCCTTGCCGGAAGGTGACGATGATGAGGATTACATAGACACCGGTGCTGCTATTCTGAATTTCTATTGTACGTTGGTCGATTTGCTGGGCAGATGTGCTCCCGACGCCGCTGTGATTGCTTTGGTTTGTTAATAATATTTGCTAGGTGAAGATGGGGGTAATAAAAAGTACTTTCATTTTAGGGTAAAAACGAATCGTTGAGAGCGAGAGCCATTTTACGGTCTCTTGTTCCTTTAGAGGATTTACAAGGTGTTTTAAGTTTAAAATTCTCATTGCACAATCCAGCTGCTGGCGAGGAAAGACCTAAATCGGACATGCCTTCAGGTTTAACACCACCCCACAAGCAATCTATTGTACTGTTTTTAGAGAGAGTTTATGGTATAGAAACCCAAGAATTGTTTTATAAACTCCTTGAAGACGCTTTCCTGCCAGATTTGCGGTGCGCCACCATGCTGGATAGGGTAAATGTTTATTAAAATGTATATTATTGTAATTTCTTTTTATACTCTTATCTGTTATAGAATGATGGCAGCGAGTCCGACATGGCGTTAAGCATGAATCGTTACATAGGCAACTCAATCCTACCTCTACTCATCCAACATAGCAAATTTTACAGCGAAGCAGAAAACTACGCCTCATTGCTAGACGCTACCTTACACACCGTTTACAGACTTTCCAAGAACCGAATGTTAACTAAAGGTCAAAGAGAAGCAGTTTCCGACTTCCTAGTCGCCCTAACCAGCCAGTTACAACCATCCATGCTGTTGAAGCTGCTCAGAAAACTCACAGTCGACGTATCCAATTTATCAGAATACACAACAGTAGCCCTAAGGTTGCTGACATTGCACTACGAAAGATGCGCCAAATACTACGGCTCGAGCGGCGGTCAAGGCATCTACGGTTCCTCCAGCGACGAGGAGAAGAGACTGACGATGATGCTGTTCTCCAACATATTCGATTCGCTGAGCAAAATGGACTACGATCCGGAACTGTTCGGCAAAGCTCTTCCTTGCCTTACGGCCATCGGATGCGCCCTACCGCCGGATTATTCTTTATCGAAGAATTACGACGACGAATGGTACACCAACAAAACCGACAAGTCCAGTACGGACGGGCCGTACAACCCGCAGCCCATTAATACGTCGTCGATAGTGCTGAATAATGATTTGAATAACATTGTTCAGCAATTTTCCGAACATTACCACGACGCTTGGGCGTCGAGGAAATTGGAGAACGGTTGGCAATACGGTGAAGGTTACTCTGGATGGGATGGTAATAAATCGCATCCGAGATTGAAGCCGTATTCGATGCTCAATGATTACGTGAGTACCTTTATAAATATTCTCGAGTTTAGAGCTCAATATTTTTGATTGTAGGAGAAGGAAAGGTACAAGGAACCGGTAAGAGAATCTCTCAAAGCCCTCTTAGCTATAGGTTGGTCGGTAGAACAGTTCGAGGTGGATTTACCGTCGAACAGCAGGAATTCCGGTTTGAGGCAATCCGGTGAAGGTGCTTCAGCTTTTAATTACAACCCGCATCCGGTTGATATGACTAATCTCACACTATCCAGAGAAATGCAAAACATGGCCGAACGATTAGCCGAGAACGCTCACGATATTTGGGCCAGGAAGAAAAAGGAAGAATTGGTAACTTGCGGTGGAGACATACATCCCCAATTGGTACCATACGATTTACTAACTGACAAAGAAAAGAAGAAGGATAGGGAAAGATCTCAGGAGTTTTTAAAATATCTCCAATATCAAGGATACAAATTACATAGGTACGAACACATCTACTTAAAGTTGATTTATGATATTTAATATGTATCATAATTTAGACCAAATCGTGGAGGACAACAAGAAACCGAGCAAGCAGCCGCCGGACCTTCGGTAGAATTCCGCTTCGCCTACAGTCTATTGGAGAAGCTGATACAATACTTAGACCGAGCCACCGTCAACATGAAACTGCTGAAGCCGTCGCAGACCTTCAGCCGAAGAAGTTCGTACAAGACGTCGTCGCGCGACATCAAGTTCTTCTCGAAAGTGGTGCTGCCTTTAATGGAGAAATACTTCTCCACTCACCGAAATTACTTCATCACCATAGCGACTGCTACGAATAACGTCGGCGCGGCCAGCTTGAAAGAAAAGGAAATGGTCGCAGCGCTGTTCTGTAAACTGGCCAATCTGCTCAGAGTCCGATTAGCCGCTTTCGGAGCGGACGTCAGGATCACTGTCAGGTGTTTGCAGGTGCTAGTTAAGGGCATCGATGCTAAATCGCTCGTCAAGAATTGCCCCGAGTTTATCAGAACTTCTATGTTGACGTTCTTCAATAATACTGCAGATGATTTGGCACACACCATAATCAATTTACAAGATGTAATTTGTGTATATATTTTTTGTCTTGGCAACTTAAAAGTTTGGTTTTGCAGGGTAAATACAGCCATTTGAGAGGAACGCACTTGAAAACTTCTACGTCCTTATCGTACGTTAATGCAGTGATTTTACCAGTATTAACATCTTTGTTCGATCATTTGGCCAATTGCGAGTACGGAAGTGACCTGTTATGTAAGCAAATTTGATACAAGAGTAGCGATATTCAATATAAAATCTTATTTTTCAGTGGATGAAATTCAGGTAGCATCCTACAAAATTCTTCAAGCTCTCTACACTTTAGGAACCGATCCAACGTTATCACACGAAAGAAAATATTTGAAAACTGAAATGGAAAAGTACAGGCCTTCGCTGGGGTCGTGCTTAGGAGCGTTCAGCTCGACGTTTCCAGTGGCGTTTTTGGAGCCGCATTTAAATAAGAACAATCAGTTTTCTCTGTTAAATAGGATCGCCGATCATTCATTGGAAGCACAAGGTGATAAAATCGTTTATACCTTAATTCTTTAGGACTAGTAAAATTAAATTTTGTGGAGTTAGATGTTAGCCATTAGACGAATTTTACTGATCTTATAGACATTTTATAAGATGGAAAAACTAGTAATCTGCTTCAATTTTTTGGTAATTATTTTAAGATATAATGGCCAGAATGGAAAGTTCCATGCCAACTCTGGAAACAATTATATCAGAAGTAGACCAGTTCGTTGAAAGCGAAAAAACCTATTCCGATTCGCCTCACATAATCGACGTCACTATGCCTATGCTGTGCTCGTACCTTCCATTTTGGTGGGCTCAAGGTCCTGACAACGTCAGTCCAACTGGAGGGTAAATTTCAACTATTTTTACTTGTTACTCCATTGTAAATTAGAAACTACAACAGAACTTCTTCTCTTTAAGTTCTCACGTATCTATGGTAACCGCGGAGCACATGAACCAATTGCTCAAGAACGTGTTGAAGCTCATTAAGAAGAACATCGGCAACGAAACCTCCCCTTGGATGACGAGAATCGCCGCCTACACGCAACAAATCATCATAAACAGCAGCGAAGAGTTGCTCAAAGATTCGTTCTTGCCCTTAGCTGAACGAGTGAAGAAACGAACGGAAACGATGTTCCACAAGGAAGAGAGTCTACGAGGATTTATTAAGAGCTCTTCAGACGATACGTCTCAAGTAAGTTAACAATAACTTCATATTAGTAGGTACGTTAGAGGTACTATGATTGTAGATTGAGACGCAAATACAGGAAGATTGGCACCTTTTGGTGAGAGATATTTATTCGTTTTACCCTCTTTTGATCAAATACGTGGACCTTCAAAGAAACCATTGGCTGAGACACAACATATCTGAAGCGGAGGACTTGTATAACCACGTCGCTGAAATATTTAACATTTGGTCCAAGTCCCAATATTTCTTGAGAGAGGAACAGAATTTCATTTCGGCCAACGAAATCGATAACATGGTCTTGATCATGCCGACTGCTACAAGAAGAACTGTTGTACCTGATGGTAGTCAACCCACAGTAGGAAAGGTTAGTGAATCTTGGTTATCGTACGTTTCTTTTTTTACATATTATCGAACGTTTCTGTTTCAGAAAAAGAAGAAACACCGCGACAAGAAAAGGGACAAAGACAAGGAAATCCAAGCGTCCTTGATGGTGGCTTGTTTGAAACGTTTGTTACCGGTCGGCTTGAATCTCTTCGCCGGGCGAGAACAAGAACTGGTCCAACATTGCAAAGATCGTTTCTTGAAAGTGAGCTATCAAATTTTCAAACTGCCAAAAACTCCAAAATTGTTATTTTTAGAAAATGCCCGAATATGATATAATAGATTTTGCGAAGAATCAACTTACGTTGCCCGATAAGATCGATCCTGCCGACGAAATGTCTTGGCAACATTTCCTCTACAGCCAGTTGGGCAGCAAAAAAAGCGTTTCGATTAATTCTGTAGACAACAATGGCAAAAATCAAGTGGACGAAACTGTCGACAGAATTGTAGCGATGAGTAAAGTATTATATGGACTCCATATGGTGAGTAGTTATTTATTTTCATAAATAATTCTACTTTTTACCTCCTTAATCAAATTTTTCTTATACTGCTAATTAGATCAGTAATTGGATAATACAGCCAAATACAGCTATTTGAAAATTCATACTTTACTTTTTCACTTTATTTGAGTTATAATTCCGAATTCTAGTAAGATAATATGAGAATGTTAAAATGCATGCATATTCAGTTTATTACAGGTTTAGAAACTTCCATTGAGAAATTACCATTATATTACTTATTTATTTCGCACATTTATTACATTTTACTTTAATTTTGCTGTGCTTGTTAGATCGACCATCCGCAACAACAGCAGAAAGGCGTTTACAGAAGCGTCGTTTCGACACAAAGGAAGCGCGCTGTACTGTCTTGCTTCCGTCAAGCTTCTTTGCACAGTTTGCCGAGGTTGGTTCAAATGGCTTTATTTACGGTGTGGCTTGTTTTTCTCTCGTAAACCCTACCCTAACGTTTCGATAATCTAACAGTTTGTCGTTGAATTGTGTTGCACTAACAGACAGCCAAGCCCAAAAGCAGCCGCGACAGCTGGAGGAAACTGCTGGGCGCAGCGAGAAGAAGGGCTGCGCTCGCTTGCTTGACAATGACGCCTTTATACAAATTGAGCAGGTTTGTTCTATTGCAAGATTTCAAATATTAATATCCCTATACACGTCGCTTGAACAATTACTCGTTTCCACAGACATCGAGCTATCAACATCTTCATTCGCACGTACCGCGATTTCTGGCTGCAAGACGAAAACGTGGGACAAGAAGTGCTAATCGAGGATTTGACGCAGAGCTTCGAGGACTCGGAATTGAAGAAGAAGGACGAGGAAGTCGACGAAAATAAGCCGGATCCTCTCAACCAATTGGTAACGACGTTCTGCAGGGGAGCCATGACGGAGAGATCGGGGGCCTTGCAAGAGGATCCGCTGTACATGAGTTATGCGGAAATAATCGCCAAATCGTGCGGCGAAGAGGAGGAAGAAGGCGAAGAAGAAGAAGGTGGAGGCGGTGAAGGCGAAGAGGGTCAATCTTCGATTCACGTAAGTGCATTTCATTTCCGAATTTCACACCTAAAGGTACTTTTATTGCATTAATTGCTCATATACATTTAGAGAACAATGGAAAAATTGATGGTAAGTTCTTAATATTCCATATTTAAATCATAATGATGCTATGACGATTTTATTAAATTTGCGTTTATAACAGGAACAAGAAATGGAGAAGCAAAAACTGCTATTCAATCAAGCGCGTCTGGCGAAGCGAGGAGTGGCGGAAATGGTGTTACTGCACATATCGGCATGCAAGGGTGTCCCATCCGAAATGGTAATGAAAACCTTGGAATTGGGGATATCGGTGCTACGCGGAGGCAACTTCGACATACAAATGGGAATGCTGAATCATCTTAAAGAGAAAAAAGACGTCGGTTTCTTCACGAGCATCGCTGGATTAATGAACAGTTGCGGGGTCTTGGATTTGGACGCTTTTGAAAGAAACACCAAAGCTGAGGGACTTGGTGTTGGTTCTGAAGGTACGAATATCACCTTTTTACGTTTTGGTATATCATTAAAACTAATAACTTTTGTTATTATTTAAGGTGCTGCTGGCGAGAAAAATATGCACGATGCTGAATTCACTTGCGCTCTCTTTAGATTCATACAGTTAACTTGTGAGGGTCACAATTTAGGTAAAACTATTAATTAATTACAATTTTAATCAACTAATTAATTTCAATATTTATAGAATGGCAAAATTACCTCCGAACGCAAGCTGGTAACACAACCACAGTAAACGTAGTAATTTGCACAGTGGACTATTTGCTGAGATTACAAGAATCCATTATGGACTTTTACTGGCACTATTCCAGCAAGGAACTAATAGACCCAGCAGGAAAAGCGAATTTCTTCAAAGCCATCGGCGTCGCTAGTCAAGTTTTCAACACTCTCACTGAGGTTATCCAGGGTCCTTGTACGCTGAATCAACAGGCACTAGCTCATTCCAGGCATGTTCTACAACTTCTTTATTACTAAATTGATTATTGTTATTTACGGTATTACAGATTGTGGGATGCCGTGGGCGGTTTCCTCTTCCTTTTCTCGCACATGCAAGACAAACTCTCCAAACATTCGAACCAAGTCGACTTGCTCAAGGAATTGCTCAATTTACAGAAAGACATGATTACCATGATGTTGTCTATGCTTGAAGGTAACGTGGTCAACGGCACCATTGGAAAGCAGATGGTGGACACGCTAGTAGAAAGCGCCAGTAACGTGGAATTAATCCTCAAATACTTCGACATGTTTTTGAAACTGAAAGTTCTCACCTCCTCGGCTACCTTCCAGGAGATCGATCTCAACAGCGACGGTTGGGTGTACCCCAAAGATTTCAAAGAAAAAATGGAACAATCCAAGAATTATACACCGTATGTACTACTAAATATCGTTAATAAATAATAAAATTGTGTTTTTATAGGGAAGAAATCGATTTTCTGCTCGCTTGCTGCGAAACCAATCACGATGGCAAAATAGACTACGTTGACTTCATCGACAGATTCCACGAACCTGCTAAGGAAATCGGTTTTAATCTAGCGGTACTTTTAACCAATCTGGCCGAGCACATGCCTAACGAACCCAGATTAGCCAGATTCCTGGAAACAGCCGGTTCCGTGTTGAACTACTTCGAACCGTTCCTGGGTCGCATCGAAATCCTAGGTGGCAGCAAACGCATCGAAAGAGTATACTTCGAAATAAAGGAATCCAATATCGAACAATGGGAGAAACCTCAGATAAAAGTATAAATTTAATTGTGCAATTATTTAGGTATTTGATAACTAACTTTTTAGGAATCCAAACGAGCGTTCTTCTATTCCATCGTGACTGAAGGTGGCGATAAAGAAAAATTGGAAGCATTCATCAATTTCTGCGAAGACGCTATCTTTGAAATGCAACACGCGAGCGGTCTGATGGCTGTGGAAGATTCTGGCAGTGGAGGACCCACCAGATCGACGAGCTACAGCTACATGACGGACGAAGACGAAGACAGGCTACGCAGGAACCCGATTCAAAGGGGTTACGCGGCGATAAAAGAAGGAATATCGTACGGTCTATCATCCCTGAGCCCATCTAACATCAAACACAAAATCAACGAAATGCAGCAAATGACTTTCACCGAACTATTCGTCGGCTTCTTCAAATTGTTGTTCTACGCGTTTTACTACTCCGGATTCGGCGTGGCGATCGTTATTAAATACATCTTGGGTATTTTGATGTCGTTGATGAGAGGTCCTGCTGTCGAGGAACCAGTGATTCAGCAAGTAGTCGAAGAAAAAGCTGGCCCGTTAAGAGTACTACCATCATTACCGTCTACTGAAGAACAGAATACGCAGATGCAAGCCTTCGGGTTGGATATAAACAAAGAAGATAACGGCAACTACAAAATGGCTGCTCATGAGTCTCCAACGGGAAGTCAACCTTCTTCTGGTGATGGCGAAACAACTCCCGAAGAAGTCGGTGATCACGTCGAGGCGGAAACCACCGAGCAACCTCTGTCTTTAGCCGACTTATTAGGGTCAGTAATACCACAATTAAGTGTTGAGATTATTTATAAAAGCGTTTGAATTCCAGAGGAGAGCAAGCCAAGAGGGCGCAACAAGAAAAGGTCGAAGCTCAAGCCGCGCAACAAGCCGTAATGCAAGCTATTGAAACTGAAAGCAAGACGGTGCATCCTGTGGAAACATCGGCTATGTCTCAAATTAATTTCGCTTTGTACGGCAACAGAGTCGTATCGTTCTTAGCTAGGAATTTCTACAATTTGAAATACGTGGCTTTAGTTCTGGCGTTCTGTATCAACTTCATGCTTCTTTTCTATAAGGTACAAAACACTTTAAACAAATAAAGCAAGTTAACTTATTGTTAATAATAATTGCAGGTTTCTAGTCTAAACGAAGACGGGGACAGCGGAAGTGGAAGTGGAAGCAAAGGACTTGCGGATATTCTGGAAGGATCCGGAGCGGATGCAGGCAGTGGATTAGGATCCGGCGATTCGGGCGAAGAAGATGATACACCGGAATTAGTGCACGTCGATGAAGATTTCTACTACATGGCACACGTTATGAGACTGGCGGCAATTTTGCACAGCATAGTTTCATTAGCTATGCTCATCGCCTATTATCACCTGAAAGTTCCTTTGGCCATTTTCAAGAGAGAAAAAGAAATCGCGAGGCGGCTGGAATTCGAGGGTTTGTACATAGCTGAGCAACCGGAAGATGACGACTTGAAATCACATTGGGATAAATTAGTTATATCGACCAAGTAAGAAATAATTCATAATGGAAACCGTTTTATTATTACGAAATTATTTTATAGATCATTCCCGGATAGTTATTGGGACAAATTTATCAAGAAGAAAGTCCGCCAAAAATACAGTGAAACTTATGACTTCGACTCTATCAGCAGCCTATTAGGTATGGAAAAGTCGTCGTTCCATCAGCAGGAGAACGAAGGAAAACGCGGACTTATTTCCTTGTAAGTACTCCACGCTCTCGAATGATAGACTTAAGCACTCTATCCTAATTATCTAATTCCAGAATCATCAACATCGACTGGCGCTACCAGATCTGGAAATCGGGCGTAACGATCACAGACAACTCATTTTTGTACTCGCTGTGGTACTTCACGTTCTCCGTGCTGGGCAACTTCAACAACTTCTTCTTCGCCGCTCATCTGCTCGACGTGGCCGTCGGTTTTAAGACGCTGCGCACCATCTTGCAATCGGTCACGCACAACGGCAAGCAGCTGGTTCTCACCGTCATGCTGCTGACGATCATCGTGTACATTTACACGGTCATAGCGTTCAACTTCTTCAGGAAGTTTTACGTGCAAGAAGAGGATGAACAGATCGACAGAAAATGTCATGATATGCTCACGGTAATGAAAATACTAGTAACTCTATGAGTACAAATTTATTGTATTTGTTTTTTTAGTGTTTCGTATTCCATCTATACAAGGGTGTAAGAGCTGGTGGTGGTATTGGTGATGAAATCGAACCACCTGATGGCGATGACTACGAAGTTTACCGCATAATGTTTGATATTACTTTCTTCTTCTTCGTTATCGTTATTCTACTGGCTATCATCCAAGGTAAGTTGGAAAAAAAATCTCATCAAAAGAAGATATTTGATTCGATTCCTGCTCATTTTAGGTTTGATTATCGACGCTTTTGGAGAGCTTCGTGATCAACTTGAGAGCGTCAAAGAAGACATGGAGTCCAATTGCTTCATTTGCGGCATCGGGAAGGATTATTTCGATAAGGTGCCGCACGGTTTCGATACGCACGTGCAACAAGAGCACAATCTCGCTAATTACATGTGAGTTTCTTCCGACTAAATAATTAGGTAAACGCTAATACTGAGTATGTTGTAGGTTCTTCCTCATGCACTTGATCAACAAACCGGACACCGAGTACACTGGTCAAGAAACGTACGTGTGGAACATGTACACCCAACGCTGTTGGGACTTCTTCCCCGTTGGTGATTGCTTCAGGAAGCAATACGAAGACGAATTGGGCGGCGGAGGTGGTTAAGTCCTCTAAGTTTCGAGAGCAATTCGATTCTTATTTTGATTTTCCGTATAGCGGAGGACGAGTTATTATAATTTTCAAGAGTTTATCGATACGTTTTAAAAGAGAATAAAGGAATGTACAATGAGTATTATATTTGTTTCACCTATTGTTAAGATCTGCTACTAAGGATACGAATTAGTAAATAAATAAAAATATTTATTAGCTGTATAAAATCCAAAAAACCGTTGTGTCTATTTGTTCATGGGAACCATTTGTTCACCGTCCATGTCTACAGTCTTCTTCTTCTTTCTGAAAAACGGAGCTGAGGCGCTGATGATAGCTGCGACGACGAATAAAGCTCCGCCGACGAAAAATGGTACATTATACGACTGAGTCATGTCGTATAAAGTCCCAGCCATCGGACTGCCTATCAAAGAAGCAACTCCTCTGAATAGTATCGTCAAACCGAAGGCATTGGTCAATTTTTCCAGCCCCATGAATTCCACTAGGATAATCGAAGTTAAAGAAATGTATGCAGCTGAAAAAAATGATAATGTATAAAGTACAACGACATTAATTACATATATCTTTCTTACCAACAGCCACTCCAAAAAATATCGAAACGATTACGAAAGACGTGTATGAATGGCACATGGTGAAAGCTGCTGTGGTCACGCCAGCAAGTAGTAGAGCTGAATTGTTCACGTGGAAATTGTTAACGGACTTGATGTCGGCTATGAAGCCAATGCCGATACGTGCTATTGTATTGACGATGCCGATAACGGAGATCAAAAAGGCAGCCTGACTCGCCTCGATTCCCTTGAGGATAACGACAATAACATACGTTTGTTAGGGAGTGAATTAGTTAAACTTACTTCTACTTTAGCGAGTTCTATGAGATACACAAAAGGTATGTAGAAAGCTGTCATGCCAAACAAATTTGATACAGCTATAATCGAAAAGACGGGATCTTTTAGTAGACTGAGATCGATTAATTGGCCGCAGGTATCGGAGCAGGATCCGGAATCTAAATTCAAACAATTCTGTTATACTATATTGATCTTCAAAAAAGTATTTTATAAAATGTACCTTCATAAGGGCTTTTAGGTCGCGAAGAAAGGCTGTGCACACTATTTCTGTATTCCGCTAGGGATGTCCTCGACTGGAACTCTTTGAGATTCTGGATGGATGAAGCATAGAACACATCTTTCCTCGCTAAAGGTTGAATACTGTTTTTCCTTTTTGAAATGGATAGACTCGAATTGTATGGATTTGAAATGTTACCCTAAAATTATATGTTGAGAATCGTTACCTGAATATTTATTTACAGTAAAGTAAGAGTGTTTTTAAACTTTTAGAATCCTGGTGAATTTGTCACAGTTTCAACAGAAAGCAATATCTGATTTAAAGAGTCTTACCTCACTGAAACGGGTAAGTGGTACTGATTTTGACTGAGGTTTTCCTTCTTCAACGGTCTCTTCCGCTGGTGGCTCGTCGTAGCTTAAAGGCTTCATTAAGAGTGCAAATACACTGCAAGACAAACTAATCACAGCGAGTACCAACACTGTCGTTTTCCAGCCGTATGAAGACAAAACGTAATTGGCCAATGGAGCAAAAGTAAATGTACCTGCAATGTATTAAACTATTTGAATATATCTTTAAACAAGCGGTTATAGACCACTCACCAACACCTGATCCACAAACTGAAATACCAGTTGCTAAAGACCTTTTGGATTCGAAGTAGTAACCAACCATCACAACAGCAGGTAAATATATGAAACCATAACCAACACCGCCTACGAAACCGTAGACGAGCATTAATACGCTGATGCTAGGAGAATAAATAGAAAGACCCAAAGCTACTGAAGAAATGATGCAACCTATGTAAAAACATATTGTTAAATACATCCTAAATTCCGAACAAATGATCCTCCCTACCTGCTAAACATGTTACTCTACAACCAAATTTATTAACTATAGCGCTTATTATGGGACCGGCGCCCAACATGGACCCGGCCATTATAGAGCCCACCCATGCGGTGGTGCCTTTGGAAGATCCGTAATATTCTACAAGAGCCGGTAGGAGGATTCCGAATGAGTACCCGACTCCATCTGCAACCATATTGCACACGAACGAAGCTGCTACAATTACCCAACCGTAGCCTCCATCAGGAGGAGCCGGAATGTTTCCTTGATCTTTTTCTTGGGCTTGAAGCTCCTCCTTTAATCGAGCTTCCTCTTTTTTGGCGATCTTTGCTTTGGCCTATGAAATAGGTTTTAAAATAGTGTAAATTAGGTTGTAAGTTAAGTGACTCTAACGGTTTAAAAACCTTGCGAATATTTAGGCAAAATTACTTGAATAAATATTTTTGACAATGTAATTTAAATTCAATTAAAATTAGATAAGTGTAATCAAATATAGATATTCTAAGATGGATATTTTTAAAAATATATACTTATGTTGAGGTTTACTCATAAATTTAAATTTTGACATTACAATTAATATTTAATGTGTTACAAAACACCTGTTTAGTTTGTATGTTAAATATAATGAAATTATTTAATTATGAATAAAAAATTAACGAGAATAAACATGGTCAAAAGAATATGGTTTAGATAGATCATACCTAGACACAATAAGATTTGGTCTATTGGATATTTTTGTTGTTTTCGGAAAATATCTTCCTTGGACATTATTACAAACAAATGGAACGTCTAGTGTAAATATAAAATTGCTATAATTAGTTTCAAATACTATAAGGACATTTTGATAATGAATTAAGCAAACTGTAGAAATCACGAAAATATTAGTGGTTCTAATATTCTTATAAATATTGATTGTTCGATTTATTCCACAGTGAAATAAATGTTCACGTGTATTGAGATTTATATGGTTTTTTTAACTATACGGCTGATTGATAATTCAGTAGGATTAAGTAATAAAGGTAGATAAAAGATTATTAAAAATGCTCCGTTCATAAAAAATATAAAAATCAACCCAATAAATTCATTTTTTTCCTGCAATTTGAGACTTTAGGCCTTTTGCATTGATACAAATAAACTCTAATAAATTTATTAAAATGGATTTTCTGTACCTTTTTGAACTAGTGTGCCTTTTTGAGTATGTCCTAAATTATGTCTTATTCAATACATTAAAAAATAGATTTAATGTACAAACCAATAGTTCAATTATTCAAAAAAAAAACTTATTAATAACGTAAAACATTCAAAGGTTTTTGTTTGCAAAAATGCTAATTAATTTTCTATTAAAAATCAAATAAAAATCCGCCTTACCATTATGGGTCTTATTAATTCCCTCGTTTAAGATAACATTACACTTCAAGCCTGCGATATAAAGTGATGAGATTCATTCTCCATAGTACTACAATAGAAGCGAAATTGTATAAAAATCTTATCTCATCACAAGAGTTACACACTTATATACAAAAAGATTACGCAGAGTACAAAAGTTAGTTTTGCCACAAAATCATTTTACAAACAATGCCGTCCAATCGAATAAATTCCATAAATGCAACGTTATAATAATAGTTGAATGTACTTATTTATTTTTATAGATGTTTCCAATGCACTTCAATGAAACAAAATGTTATACAATCAATTTGATTTGTAGTTATTACACATACTATCTAATGAATTATGCATACATATACATAAAACCTAGTAGAATTTCATAAACAGCAGAACTTGATGCCATAAATTAGTTTAGTACCTACCTGCTATAGACACATCTGAGTTTGCGATGAACATTTGATCTCCTAATTTTTCTACAGTTTTGGTAATGATGCTTTTCATTAGTTTAATAAGGATGTGAAGTGTTAACAGAATTGTGTTATAATGATTAAAGCCACATAATATATACTTTAAATAGATCCATTTTCTAGAATAATGTTTGGTAATACTAATTTTTAGACCTGGATAGTGTAATTATTTTTTTCGTAAACATTTATCCTAAATAACTGATACAAATTTTGAACAAAATTCTATTAGTATTTATCCATTATTATTAATTATCCTCAATTATGAAATATCTACACATCAAGTAGTTGTAGAGGATTATGACTTCATCTGTACCTAATATGTAATCTAGAATCTAATGCAGTGATGATTATAGATTACATTATTATATTAACTTTATTACATATCTATGATTATAGATTATAGATTAAACAATGTACTGAGCTAGATTCGTGTCTGATAATTTTGGAGTGTTTTCCAATATTCAGGGGACCCAGCAACATAAAAAATTGTTGATAACATATCGATAAGATCGACCTAAAAATTATTTATTATTTCGCAAATCTATTTACTGTAGATACTCATGTTATAGTGCACAATAATTTCCTGCAACATTTTTACAGAAAGATAACTGCCTAAAATATTGTTTGATTTATAAAATGTCAATAATCGTATCTTATTTGACTTTATTAATGATTATAATTTATCGAAAACATTTTCCTATTTCATACGATTCCATACACTGCATTTCATTCCTATTGTAGGGAGGTTATTTATTGTTTATAAGATTGTTAATTAAATCCTAAGTGAGGAATAAACTTTAAAGAAACGTATTATAATATGTATTTTCATTTCTTCATATGCGCAGTAGAGCTAGTAAGTACAATAAAAGAGATAAAAAAATAATGTAATAACTAATCGTATTAGCATGTAGAAATCGAATCAAATCCTCTTCTAATCGCCCATATCTGATCTCCAACAAAAGATTGATTAGTTATTCATAAAATTCCCAGCACTATAAAGCACACCACATGCGCGTTGCTCGTATCCCCGTTTTCATTCACTTATTTATGTTTATTAACTCTTCAAAGTTCAGGCAAGTCGATAACATTAACGTTAGACAGTGCAATTGCAGACGAAATTCGTAAACAAATTCGCGCCTCGTGGATAATCATTCAATTCGAGCATCTGTAAGGGGGAACAATCCATTATTCCGGCCGTGCGTAAGCGTCTGGAATCGATCTGTTCCAGACTTGAAGAGTGCGATATCCTTGCCGGACAGGAGAATGTTATCAATGGAAGGCGTAAATACAGGTACATAATTTTGTTATTTTGCAGTTTTTAAATCAGTATTATGTAATTGTTCGATATTTCTTTATTTTGTGTAGTTGTGTGGTGTAAAAAAATATTGACTCAAAATGCTGTTTGTTAAAGGTACATGTAGGTGGAGGTACGCCCATTAGTAAAAAAACAGAAATATTGGAATCTAATTTATTTAGTTATGTCGCAAAAATAGCTTTAAATTACTTAGTTCTTATGTAAATACATAAAATGTTTAACACAGAAATTGGTCAACATATGTTTTGGATATTTTAATAGTTTGCAAATCAACTTTTTGTTGTACTTTAAACAGGTTCATCAAAGATTTAGTGAAAGTTCTCCTACATTTTTATAATTTAAATAGTCTACTATTTTAGTGTACAAAACATTTCCACTCTTTATTGGTATAATTCATAATTTTTTAGGAAAAAGAAGTAAACAAAAACTTAAACCAAACTCTCCTAGATATACAAAATTCTACGAGATAAACTAATGATGAACTTCAAAAAAGTAAGTATCTCTACTTGTACATACATTTACCTAGTCTCTATTGAAATTACTAACTTGATTGAAACTTTCAGCACGCCGCATAACCGACGTGCTCAATTAGAATCTAAATCGCAAACATGAGCCGCTCTAAGGACAAAGTGACCAACATATTCCGCAAGATATTCAAGTCCTCGTCGAAGGAGGGCGAGGGCCCCAACAAGCCGGGCACCTCGGGCACCGGGTCCCCGGCCAGGCGGCTGCTGCGCGGCTGCAGGGACAGCGTGGCACCGGCGGCCACAGCTGCAGCCAGTCCTGCCTTCTCAGCAAAAACCAAAAAAGACGAGCACCACGCCAAAACCGTGCGCGCCAGAAGACTCATGAAGGAGTTGAAGGACTTGCAGAGGCTCCAGAACTCCAAATCCGACCCCGTGTTCACCGTGGACCTGGTAGAAGACAATCTGTTCGAGTGGCACGTGAAACTATTTAAAATAGACAGTGAGAGTGACTTGGGCAACGACATGAAGGAGCTGGGCGTCGGGTACATTTTACTCCACTTGGTTTTCCCGGATAACTTCCCGTTCGCGCCGCCGTTTATGCGCGTCATTTCTCCGAGGATAGAGAAAGGGTTCGTCATGGAGGGCGGCGCCATCTGCATGGAGCTTCTGACGCCTCGAGGGTGGGCCAGCGCGTACACCGTCGAAGCGGTCATAATGCAGTTCGCCGCCAGCGTGGTAAAGGGCCAAGGGCGCATCCAGAGGAAGAACAAGGGCCAGAAGGTATTCAGCAGGAGAACTGCCGAGGAGAGCTTCAGATCGTTGGTCAAGACACACGATAAGTACGGTTGGGTAACGCCTAGTTTGGCTGATGGTTAACACTCGCATTTGAGTGTTTTTACAACCAAATGCCTTAAGTACGTATGAATTTAGAAAATGTTTACTTAGATAAAGATTATTTCGCTTCTTCAAGTATATCCTATAAACCTACCACAAATCTAACATGAGCGGTTTTATAATTTATAATTTATTTTACAGGTATGAAAATAAATTTATTTGTTAATTTAATTAGCTGATATGGTTTTCTGTGTAGGTAATACAAATTTGTTAGGCAAATAATACGACATTTTCCTAATATTGTACGTAAATAATTCGACATATGCGTACGACTATTTTAAAGCATTTTTACATTGCATTTAGCAATATCATAAACATAAAGCTGTTTAATGTGCTGCGAATTTGGAGAAAACACATTTAATAATAGCAATGTTATGGCATTAAAATGTTTATAATATTGTTAAATTCTTCATGCTGTAAAAGGTTAAAATAGCGCTATTAAAAAAAACAAAAATGTAAAATATACGCACTCTTCGTAAGAGTTTAATAGCGTTATTTCAATAAGATGGCTTTCTAATGTAGTTATCTACCTATGAAGGAAGGATGCATGGTAGTCAGTGGCGTTACCAATTCCAAGACTTAACGATCTCAATAACAAATCCGTTCCGTATATGTGTCAAAAGTAGCCCTAGAATAGGAATAGAGATAGAAGGGATTCCGTTCGCAGTGCAGAAATTTAACATTTAACTATGAAATTTAACAGAAACTGTACAGGATATTTCAAAGTGCGTGTACTAGCCAATTATTTGGAAAAAGTAGTACGAGGTATTTCTCTTGAAGGAAATATTCCGAGAATTTTTCACTCATTAACACGTACCGATTTATTTACCCAATGATTAATCTATTGTAAAGTCATCACTTACTTTGGAAATAATCTGTATAAGTAAATTATGATAATGGTGGTTGCACTACAACGGCAACAAGTGAATATGCAGTGTATAGTTTATTGCGTTCACTCTCGCTGCGAATGCGGAAGATTTTTCATTAAAGGCTGTTCAATAATAATGTAGTCTTATAGCTTAATGGTTAACCATAAATGTATTTTTTATTATCCAAAAGTCTAGCAAATACCAATATGACGAACAAAGATTGAACAAATGCTGCTTGCGTGCGTATCAGGTGCGTTTAAACGAACAAGGTTACTTTTATAAAAGTATAAAGATTTATTAATCAATGGTTTCATGTATTTAACCTATCGAGTTAGACCTTCTAATTTAGTTTTATTTACAAATTTTCTACTGAATTAGCGAATGACGTAACTATTTAGCGGAAATTAATTTGAGATGAATTCATTGGATAATGGGCGAAATAAATTTAACCCGTTCATAATTTCTTTACAACTAATTATTTATAAGTGTTTAAAACCCCAATGTATTTGTACACCATTAATAGCATCGAATTATTTTTTTGACAGTAATTTTAGAGGGTAAAAGTAAAATTTATTATTTCCTTAAAATAATAAATACGTATGAAAACTGAAAACTATAAGTGATGTGAGACGACGACGTATCAATTGGTGTTAAAATAGGTACATATTTGATTGAATATTGATATTTGCGGTTGATATGATGAGTAAATATTAGAATAGCTATGTGTAAACTATTCAGAATTATAAAAATGTAATCCCACGAACGTTTAATTGAATGGTAATTAATTTATTTTCGGAATTCAATGATTACATGTAGCTTGTATACGCTTTAATTGAAATGCAATCAATGTTTTATAATTCTGAAGCATCTTCGACGATGTGTGTTTTTCAGTTCATTAACACCTACTATGTATTTCTGATTACATTTTTTATCTATATACATATACGTAAAGTTCAACTTTTACAAAATGCTCAGTATATATTTTATATAAATGTTTAAATCGTTATTTAATATTTTAGCTTTGATATTGCATTTGTGAGCAATTGAAATTCTGTTATTGTAGAAGTTAATGAAATCGAATTTGTTTATAATGGAAGTTTATTTATTATTTCAACACTGCTCAAAGCAGTTTTAAAAAATTGGAGTAGTACTGATTAACACGATGTGTTCAATTTTTGACTTGAAAAAATTTTATATAATTCGTATAAAAACTTCCATTAGAAATCTGAACCAAAAAATTACATGTGTATTCTCTTAAATACAGTATTATTTTTAAGATAATTGATTTAGATATTGTTTATTAAATTGTTAATTGAATTTAAGTTTCTCTAAAATTTGTCTTCCGACAGGTATTTTGTACAAATTTTAATTAATTCAACTGGCATTTTTCATCCAGCAAAATCCATGTCATAAATGTTACAAATAAATGTTTTTATTAAAAATTAGCAGTTTTTACAAGAAATCCTATTAAATGTCCATTCCACATTCTACATTAAGATGATAACTTATAAGCTACAAGTGACAAGTGAAATGATAAGTTTATGAATGACAAAAAACACACAAATGATACCTGCAGAACAATTTATCATTATCAAAGAAAGCTTGAATTACTCAGTAAGGTCTAGATCTATTATTAAAGTTATTTGAATATCCTTTCCGGGACGAATTCCAAGAATCAGGAGGAGTAATTGCAATATCCAGATAATCACCGATATTTAATCTTAATCCACCCAAAGTTTTTAAATCTTCTGGTCCTTTATTGCCCGTTACCGTTGTACCAATTTCTCTAATTCGATATATCGGCTGTCTATAATCTGGGTAAACTGAAGCAAAACTAAACTTTGTGCCTGAAAGGACAAAAATTTAAACATACTGTAACGAATAGAAATCCATAAATACATGTACCTTTTCTTCTAGCTTCAGGATTCACTTCTTTCACTAGCTGGGTAATCTCGTGCAGCGTAGCATCTTTCCAAGTATATATTTGCAACTCGTTCTGGGGAGTATTGCCCTTAATATAATCGGAGGGTTTGTGATGAGAACCGTTTGATGAAACGAATACTCTCAACAAAAACGGACACACCTGGAGCATTTAGAAATTAAAATACAATTTACATGTTGATGGGAAAAATTTACCTTCTGCCTATCGATTGAATCTTCCTTTTTCTCTTCCATGATTACGGTGGAAGCAGCCATTCTTTTGAATTTTAATTGATATTTTCTTAAAAAAATACAATACAAAAACACTAATGGTTGTGTTTAGATGTCAGTTTTATTTGAGGTTAATTGAATCTTCTTTTTTACCAATATAAAGATGGCATATAGTGACTTTGACTTTTTGATTATGCAGCTACATTATGTAAGATTTACTTTTATATTTTAGTTTAAAATAACGATAAATAACATTAGTTCTTCTAATTGTCAGTACTTGTATATTTTATGATTATTTAAAAACTTTTACATACACATTTTTCAAAATTAATGAAAAATTCGTACGGTAGAAAAAAATCAATATCAACAAGTATGTATGAAAATTTGTTTTATTTCTAATAATATATGAATAATTGAATAATTTAGCGAATGAATAAATACGATAAAATTAAAAAAATACAAATTAAAAGAAAATTCGAAATTCGAAACCAAACTGCCACATGTCACACATGTCAATGTCAAATTACCGGCCGAGTGGGCACTTTGAGCATTTTTAGATTTTAGAAATTAAAACCATCTGAATTTCAAGTACAAAACATTCAAATCATACTAAAAATTTCCCTAGACAAATATATATAATTCTTCAAAATGCTAATTAAAGTAAAGGTAAGTTGACACACCGTTTTCCCACATTCTCGTTGTACTCGACGAATTTTCTTTCAGACACTTACTGGAAAAGAAATCGAAATAGATATAGAGCCCACAGACAAAGTTGAACGAATAAAGGAGCGAGTCGAAGAAAAAGAAGGCATCCCTCCGCAACAACAGAGGCTAATCTTTTCTGGAAAGCAAATGTACGCAAACATTCATTTCTTTGTTAGGTTACTCATTTCGTGAGATTCAAGGCATATTTGGTGATTAGTACACCAAATATAACTATAATATGATAGTTGAAATAACTATTATCATATTTAAGTGGTATTCTACTAGTTCTATTAAGGTTTTATAAAGGCATTAAGTAATGCATTGATAGATATCGTAGAATTTCGATTTGTTAGTACCCAACCTATATTTACGTCTACGATAAGTTTCAATTGAATAATTCAATGGTATTTTGTACTATGTATTATCAAATTCCTGAATGTGAATTCTTATTGATGATTTTTGTTTAATTTTAGGAATGATGAAAAAACGGCACAAGATTATAAAGTTCAAGGTGGTTCAGTGTTGCATTTAGTTTTGGCGCTTCGTGGTGGCAAACCAATCTAATTTATATCGGTATACGTAAAGTTTGCCTAGGATATACTTTAAATTATACCTTAATATGTACTCATTAAGTAAAAAATATTGCAATCTGATGAATAAATTCTTTTATTTTTAAGCTTAGGCTAATTATTTAACCAAAATGCTTAGTTTGTGTGGTTACAAATGTAAATAATTGCGTTAGCAGCTCTACCTGCATGGGGATTTTATAAGGAATGTACTAGTATAATTTTCAATAAATTCAGTCTTTCGTCAATCAGTCTTTGTTGTGCTGTTGAGGTTAGAGTACACAATATTTTTTTTAAGTTGATTATGAGTGTTAGTTAATATTAAATATGCAAAAAAGTACGTTAGTTGAATGTGTTCGATTATTATCAATCGATAATATTAATGGTAAGTAAAATATTACTGTAATATTGTACGGATTTGATCGATTTACAATGTTCGATTTCTAACCTATTTGTTATGCCTAAGTAACTATGATATTTAATCTTAATTGAATGTATTATTAGTATTTGATATATGATTCACAACTGATATACGCCACATTAGTAATGATTACTGTAATCTTTTTGATTTCATTTTAAACTTTCTGATAAAATTTTTAAACTCACGTAGTTGTCACTAGAGACACTCCTTGTTTTTCAGATTCTTATTTATCATACAGTGCGCTGACTTCGTTATATCATTTATTCATTGTTTAGCTCATAGATGGCGCAAAATGTTAAAAATGGCAGAATATACAGGATGTTAAAAAAATCAAAACTGTTAATCACGGTCGTATGTCGTATATTTACCTATTTGTAAGGTCTGGAAACTGGACGTAATTAGTAGATGTGTCCCGTTAAATGAAGAATCAGAATCATCTCAGCAAATCAGCGACACAAATCAAATAATGCCTAAAACCGTTTCGAGGGTATAAAGGGGGAACTAAAATGACAAAAAAAGAATTCACCCCCATCGACCCCCTAGGCCCCACGTACAAATTTAAATAGCAACTTGTGATACATCATAGAAAAGCCTATAAAAATGCTATCGAATGGTATAAATAAAAATTGTACAGGGTGAATCAATAATTGTGAAACCTAGCGTTAAAAGCAAAATTTAATTAAGTTTGGAAATACCGTGGAACCTTTAATTGTACATAAATTTGAAAATCAAAGGGACGGCCAATGATTTGCTGCAGTTTCAACAAGATGGAGCATCTCCTCACTGTGCAGCTGCAGTTATGCACTGATTGGATACTAATTATCCGAACAAATGGATTGGAAGGAGAGGACCTATTGAGTGGCCACCGAGATCACCAAACTTAACGACACCTGATTTTTTCCTATTGTGATACCTCAACTCGTTAAAATTTGCTTTTAAGGTAAGATTTCACAATTTGGTGGTTGGAAGTTTTTAAATTATCATAATATATGAATTATGAAACAAGTATATGAAACTATATGAAACATTTGTAGACAAGTAAAATAATTGAGAAATAGGCTCGCTAAACAATTATTAGATTATCTAAGTTATGGCTGCATCTTCAGCAACCTAAATGTTGGATTCAAAAAATATCCTTTACAACATCGCCTCCTACCGGTCGTTTTGAGAAACTACGCATTTTCGCTTCAAATAACGGGACACCTTTTCGACCTCATGCTTCCAGACCTTAAAAATATACGACCATGCTATTAATTTTAGAATCACTGAAATAATTCTCATTGGATTATCATTTTTAGATCCAAAATATGCCACGATCATCGAACCAAAACTAATTGAAGCTTACACAAAATTACAAATTAATCACGAAGAAGTTGTGAGTGTTGTGGCAAATATCGCGGCTCGGAATTTCTCCGAGACGGTCACGGTCGAATGGAAATACGTGTGTTTGTCACTGTATTTGATTAAATCGTTGCTAGATTTAACGGAAAAATCGGACGAAATATTTTTGAGCGTGAAAGAAACTAAGGACTTTAAAAAATTCCTGCGGACCCTTGTGCATATTGGAATATGCACGAAGCTTCAACCAAATCTGCCCTTTTATTCCAAATCCGGATTTCCCGAAAGCGATGACATATTTTTGAATTACAATATTCTAAAATCAACCACTTTTGGTTTGGTAGATTTTTTGAAAATCCCGGTTTTTAGATTTTCTCTAATCCCAGAGGGGTTTAAAGAAATCCTAGTAGCTTTATACCAGCTATCTTACTGTCCCTTAAAAAAACCAACCAGCACTATTACCGGTGGAATGACCATAGAAATCTACAAGAAATTGCTGCAGGAACAAGAGCTCTTTAGAACGATATTAGAACATCTGAAACAAACCGTTCATCCGAGCATATTCGTTAAAAACACAATGGCGATTTTGCACAAAAACTCCCCGATTTGGTTCAAAAAGCACGTTTCACTCGCCCTCACCGGCATATTACGATCAGAAAACGGCGTAGAACTCGTTTCTGTGGCCCTATTCGGAGACCACGAAAACGACTCGACCCGCACCTGGAAGATCTTGGACGTATTTTCGAAATTGATTTTGAGCTGCAAAAAATTCCCGGACTTCAAAGACAACATCTGCAAACAATTAATCGGGCTGTTGCACAAGCAGGAGGAAGAAAACTCGTTTATCGATAACGTATTCGCGCATTGCGCGAAAAAGTTTTACAAAGAAGACGAGGAAACTTGCCGAACTGTGTTCATTAGAGAAATTATTACTCCGTTCGTTCATTTTACTTATAAGTCTCGAACGGTTGCCGATGGAAATATTACTAGTAGAATTGAACGGACTTCGAGACTGTTGCATGCTGTGTTTGTGGAAAATACTCAAGACGAAGACGCGGTTCCTGCGGTTATTCTTCAGCCTGTAATTAATGTGGTTTACAAATTTTACGTATTAACCACAAACTCTTCATTTAAATCGCTAAATAATGATTTAAAAGACATCTTATTGCTTTATTTGGAGAATCAACAAGAACATTACATACGAATTTTTGATAGAATTTTATTCGATTTAGATTGTTCCGAAATATTGCCGTTCAGAAACGACATTTCTGTAAAAATCGATGTGGACAGAATTCAATTGAGAAAATTGGAACATTCTATTAAATATTCATCTGTAGAAAATTGTGAATGTCTTCTGAAACTACTAGAAAACAAACCGAATTTACTCACTCTTTTCTTCTGTTACCTCTTAAATTGCATTTGTAATGAGCATAAATACTTTCCCAGAGGCAACGAAGATCTCTTGCGACTAGAAGATGATCTAACATCGGAGTATTTCGAAAGAAAAATAGTTGTTTATAAAGTACTTTCTCAAATATCAGAAGAAAAGTGCATTCAAAAGCAATTAAACGAAAATCCAACAGACTTAATTCGGTATATCAACAACGTTTTGGATAAAACCATCCAATTAAAGACTCATCTAGTTCAGGACGCCGATAGTGAAGGATTTCAATCTGTTTTCACTATCCTTATGATTTTGGAAAATTTATTATCCAATTCACAAAAATCTAGCCATACGAGTTTTGAGTTATTATCCGGGCTTTTAATAAAAATCCACTCAGAAACTCCCAACACAGAAATGAAAGATATCATTGGGAAAATTTTGAAACTCATTGAAAAAGGCGATACAAATATTCCTAAAATTAAACTTAAAGTAAAAAGTGATTTAGATAAAGCAATTGATGATATTTGCGATCCTATGCTTCCTACTAGAGGTCACGGATTGTTAACACTCACAAAGTTAATAGAGAAGAAGGATAAGAACACTATGGAGAGGAAGCAGTTTGTTCTAAATCTGCTACAAGTAATATTTTTTAATTATTTATAGAACGTTATTTTGATTAATCCTTTTTAGCAAAATCTGACGAACAAAGACTCATTTATATACCTAACCGCCATAAATGGTCTTGCTGCAATGGCCGATCATTTCCCAGACACTATTTTAAGTATTTTATGCGAGGAATATTCGGATTCTAACAGAAAAGATTCGGAGGACAATGCAGAAATTAGAATGAAAATTGGCGAGGTTTTGGTAAAGGTCACTAAAGTTTTAGGTAAGTTTTCTCAAACATCTGTGGACGATTAACATTTGAACCAGCCATTGTGCGAAGAAAAAAAAATCTCATGTCTTATTCCTTTTTGTTACTTATACTTACGCATAAACTAAGCATTCGTCTTCAAACAGCGTATAATCTAACGTGTGAAATGCATAAATATTTCGAATTAATCTCCTTGAGAACAGAATACGCAAAAGGGAAGCGTTTAAGATTGATACGAGAAAAAACTAAATACAGGGATTTAAATCCATTGTTTTCATCTGGTTTGTCATTTCGAAGTCATTGTTTTCGTTTGTTACCTCTGAGAAACTGATGGGTTTTCGAATACAATCGGTTTATATCAGCTATGTTAACGTAATCTGATATTTCCAGGGGAAATGGCACCGAAACACAAACCGTTGCTCTTAAACACATTTTTATCGGGAACCAAAGACCATGACGACCTGATACGTTCGTCTAGTTTATCGAATTTGGGTGAGATTTGTCGAGTTTTAGGATACAAACTCGGAACCATGTTCACCGAGGTAAGTAAAATTTCATGGATTATTTCAGCATACTGTCATATTGCAGTAGTACTTCTCGTTCGAAAAGTTCAATTAACTCGTTTGGAGAATTCCTGAAAATCGCATTCGTACAGCATCGAAATACTTCTCGGCGGTTAACCGCGAATCACGTAACACCGGCGAATTTTTAAATCAAACATCGTTTTCAATTTATTTTTTCGTTGTTTGATTGCCCGAGAACGTGCATTCGGATTTCAATGACCGTTAACGAATGAACCGCCGCAGGTTCATCATGCCGCTGTTACTGTTATTATGCCATTCATGATTCGGAATTAAAAAAAACTTATTAATTAATGCACGGTTATTGCAGAGCGTTCGTAAATGATTGATACCCACTTGACCGAATTTCAAATCGCCGAAATATCTATTGTTAATCTATTAATAGTTTATCAATGCAGATCAAATACCAGCGATATTTTTGAATTTTTCTCCAGGTGCTGGTGTGCGTACACTCGATAATATCCACGGATAAATCACCGCAAGCCCGTCGTGCTGCCGTTACAGTAATCAGACAGTTATTCGTCGGTCTCGATCAAGAAATCATAGCGTTCTTCAAAGATGATATCTTGCCGGTTTATCGCACGCTTAAGCACATATACAACAGCGATAAGGACGACGTCATGAGGCTGCAGGCGCAACTGGCTTTGGAGGAGTTGAATGAGAGCATGAAAAATTTCGTGTTTCCGAAACCCGAGTTGAATTTCGACAAGAAGATCGTCATGCTGGATTAAACGAAGTAGTTGGCGTAAAAAATGAAAGTTTTTTTAGGTATTTATAAAAATATTTTATTCAAGTCTTTAGATCTACGAACAGATCGAATAATATGGTACTAAAATATACAAAATAAATACATTAATATTAATTGTCGTCAATTGCATACTATACCCGGTGTTTAGCTCGAAAATTTAGCACTATCTATTTGAAAATGTTTGTGCTGCGGCAGTCCAACACCTAGTATATCACAGTAGTAATATGCAATAGTCTTAACTTACTTAACTATATAGTACTCGATAAATTATAGATAATAAATAGAAGATTGTGAAACAAATACGGATATTGTTTCTAATAAGAACGCTTGCATTTTTAGAAAAGGAAGTAAATTCAATTAAATTCCTCTGTCATCAAAGCTCAGCGTTTCAATTAGAAACTAATGGTATAATGTGTATCGTGAAAGGAAAACTCGAAATGGAAAAATGCTGCGTGATTGTCAATTATTTATACACATTATAAATTTCCTTTTAAAATGGATTAAGCCACGACCACAACGGTTCACACCGGCAAATTTTTACGTCGATGCTGTACCACTTTTTACTTTTAGAATCAATTAGTCACACGAAAGTGAGAAATGGTTTTAAATGTACTACAATTTAATCACAGGAACCTCGATAAGTTGTTTAATGTACAATAATAGCTAAAAGTTCTTCAGAAATCAGCGGAAAAAAATCCACTTGTTAATTCAACTAGCTACAAATCGGTCATGAACTAGTAATTATTTTGTTTAAATCGAAAGCTTATTTGAGTTCATTTCTCATTTTTAGCAACGTATTTGAAACCTTGCGGTTTTTGAATTAGTTCATCTCCACGAGGGCTGCTTCTAATTCGCGAAATGTATCACAAATCTTATTTGAAATTGTTAAAAACCTCCGGTTGTTTTTTGTTGTCGCATCCAGTCTCGACGTCCGTAACCGTACTGCAACTACTCGTCGATATTTCCGACGATATAGACACGTTGTCGAACTCTTCGTTCAGCCGCTTACCGACGATTTTCAACGCCAAAGCGACTATCCCTATCACGCCAGCTATAACCAACATGGTTATTACGAAAATGGGAACGAAGCTGCTTCTATACGGCCTTTGTTCTCTGTACTCTATGCCTTCTTCTTTCACTGAAACAAAGAGAGGTATTGTTTATGAAAAAATCAAAAATGAACTACTTATGTCTATTACAGAGTAAACAAGTTGCTACACTTGAATAATTTTTCAAGATACCTACATAATATTCTATTTTATATGAGTTTTTGGCGTTTGTTGAACATTGTGCAACCGAATTAAAAATTACAAGTAGGTTCGCTTTCACAAAAAATACGTTTGTTTGTGGGAGAAGCTCGGTGTATTGCGATATGCATCAATTTCATGGAGGTAAGTACATACATGTGCATACACCGGCATCATTAACTAGGCCCCTGCTCGAAGAGAACAAAAACAAACTAAACTAGGTTTAACGGTTCAAAGCTTTTGTTAGTGCTGTTCGCGTTGCTACAAATCTACTTTACGAAATAATAATTTCCGAACAATCGTTATTCCAGCGTCCTAATGTCGCTAAACAAAGTCGAAATTCGCCCTCCAATTAGAGGAACTTTAACGAACAACCACTGCATAAATTCCACATCAATTATTCGTTATTAAACCGTATATTCATGAGGCTATGGTGAGAAGTTCGCCGGTAATAAAATCGTCTGGAATGATTTACGATTCCGTGATGTTACTTATTCTAGACCAGCTCGTAAAAGATACATCAAACTGTGTTATTTGATCGAATATAATAACACGACAGAGCATCGCCGCTTAATTGCAAATTACATAATTTGATTTCACCGCTCCGAAGAGTGATAAATGAATCTGATAATTATTTGTTAACGAGTGTTATTCGGACGATTGTGTCTAAAGAACTACATAAAACTGGTTAGTTTGAAAAGGGAATCGCTCAATAAATGCATGGAAGAACTGGCAGCATATTAAATTAAACTGATCCTAAGTGGATAATCAGGGGTGACTTACCCTTATAATTATTAATACTTATTAAGGAGATTTTAATTAGCAATTAAACGGCTACTACATGCATTTTTTATGATAATAACAGGAATAAGAGATATTCATTGTAGGAAAATACCTGCATTGAACTAAAGATGGTTCTTGAAAAAAAGCCTTACCTAATGCTTCTGGTTTTTGCATAACACGACCGGTCCTCGATCGCCTTCCTAAAGAATTATCGACTTCTTCGTACTGGGCAGCGATGCGGGCCTGGCCGCGACCTTCTTGGTGATGATGTGCATTTGCACCGTTGGGCAGGTTGATGCCGGCGCGAACAGTCAGCGTTTCGGGCTGGTACGAGCACAGCACCAAAAATCTGCAAGAAACCAGTTCAATTAAACTTACCGCAACATTTCGACCGATTAAAAAAATACGGATGCATCGCATCGTACAAATTGTACTGGGAAATTGAGACAAAGGAATGAAGACGTAATAAACGTTAATAAAGGTAAATAAAATTAATCTAATGAATGTTGTGGTGAAATTGGAAAAAGAAGAGACATGAAGTAATAAAACTGGATTCATAAAAGGAGTTTAAAAATAAGGATGAAAACAAATAAGGTGAAATAAATGACGAAGAGAGTTTTTATGAGACAGCCTGGCAATGAAAAAACATTAAAAAATTTGGCGAAATCCAACGAACTTGCTATTACTGACCTTACTTGCGGTCTGTGCGTTGCGTATTGAATTTAGCCATTTCGTTGCGAAACCGGCCAAATAAATAAATAAATAATGACTTCTTTTTATTATGCGTGGCGAGGCGAATCGTTTCACATGCAAATACGGTATTTTCAAAGGCAGGAAATGCCTTAACCATTAATTCATTTTTATTGTTACTACATAAACCGATGTGGTCGAACAACGCGACCGAAGCTACGTCGGGTCCGGTTTTCATAATATAAATTAGCAGCAAAAAGGTGCGGGTAAACCTAATTATAATATGTTCTTGGCTGTTTTGGGCAAAATTTTACAAACAAGAATCGCTCAAGAACTCTACATTTATCTGCTACCTACAGTTAACACCACGTCAAGAGCTAGATGATTATCAAATTATAATTCATGCAGTCATTACCTCCGTGTGCTGTGGGTCAAAATGGGCAAATTCTCCTGCACAAGTACAAAAGTGGCGACCGTGGTATCGTTGACTTGGCTACCGCATTCCGTGTGATTTATCCGCAACGTGTAAATGTCTCTGGGACTGTCGGGCTCTCCGTCGATGGCGCATCGCTCACCATCGGTCGCTTCCACGGCGATCCTTCCGCCGAAGAAGGGCCCCGTCGAGACTTCGATTTCACTGGCGTGCGGCAAGCATTGCGTCGCCTTCGCTGAAACTAAATACAGAAGTTTTTTATAATCGTGCCCCACGAAATAATTTTTATAAAAGCATACAAGGGGTCTGATAAATGAGATGACTTATGGTGAGGATGATTTTTCAAAAATCCTCAATGTAATGAGTTCTAAATAAACACTTCAGAATTTCAGAGTTTCACTCATAATGCTTCCTATTGAGAAATTCAAGGGGATTTTTACTTGGTCGTGTTAAGAATTATTTATTTTGGATATTATTCGAAAAACCGATTTGTTTTAAAAATACTAGACAGCAATAAATATTAAAACTACATATTAACAGTTCAAGTAAATAATGAAGCTTATTAACAACTTTATTTTTTATACTGTTGATTCTTCAGATGACCCCGTATTTATATTGAACCCAATCGAAAAATCTAATAAACACCAAAATTAATTTACCTCATTTTTTATTAATTGCAGTTAAATAATTAACAGTCAAAAAAGATTACGGTTATTCATAAGGACATCGATTTTTTTTCTAACCATCTGCTAATCCAAACGTGCCACTTTTCATTTTAATCGCAATCGGGCGTTGAGCGGTTGTATGTAAATCATTTAATTCGCCTTAATTTTTTTATTAGCGTTCGCTCGATCTGCGAACCGTTCTTCTGGTAATCACGGACGATTTGATGATTAGCCGGCGAGTGTATATTTTATGTATGTAAATCTGATGTTATTAGTTCTAACAGTACACAGCGCATTAAACGACGGCCAGTAGGAATTAAATTATTTAAATCTCGCTGAAGCTCGTAATTTTATAGTGACCGTCGGGCGGATTATAAAATTGCTTGAAGTAATCTTTATTGAACATGAAAAAGCGCTGGTAATAAAAATGTGACAGGGCTTGGAAATTATTCAAGATATGATTTCCGATATAAAAATGAGAAAATATATTATTTAAGTAAGGAACCTTTTTAAGGCCGCCAAAGCACACCCTCTCAAATTCATAATACGTGAGATAATATAGAACTATTCCTAAATGTTAACAATTGATGAGAATACACCGTAAGTTTACAGTAAGCTACCATCATCATTTGCTAAAATACTTAAATTAGTCTTTTTTTCAATTTAATACAACCTGTGGACCAATATAAACTTAAGGAGACGTCGTTCTGTAAAAAGTATTCTTCGTCCTACCAATATTATTCATATGTATGTATGAATGAAAAAGGTGAGATTAAAAATAGGAAATATCATTGCTTAAAGTCTCTATATTACCTAGGTATAAAAAGATTCAAATCAATTGATAAAGTCAAATTTGAATCTTACTGGAATTACTGAACCTACATATTTTTCCCATTTAAAAATACCTTGAAGTGGCGCCCTTAACGTTAGTTGATACGACCATGTTGCGGTTTGAATTGAATCAATCGGTATTATTAAATCAAATTAAATTAAAGTATGATTTGTTGTCAACGAATGTAGAGTCACCAGGTGCTTTACTAATTTTAATCTCATAGCTTAGGTGCAAAAACTTGTACTATAGAATTGATATTACAGTTAAAAAAGATGCTGACAGTTACAAAAAAGGCTTCATTAGGATAAAAAATATTAATAAACAAATACTATTTAATGTTATATTCACAATGATTCATTGTATATTCTCTAACGGTCAAGGTTTTGTATTATAAAAGTAACTGTTTTATCTTATTCATTAGTGCCAAACCAGCTTTTTCTAAGCCTTAAAAGTCAGCCTCATTCCTCATTGCGTTCCGTCAGTTTTTTTCTTTCAGCAATAATTCACATAATTAAGAAAATTAATAACGAACATACAGTTGATTAAACAGCTTCTCAACGTTATTACTGAAAAATAACCCTAGCGCACGTAATTCATCGAAATTTACATGGACGATTCTTAGAGCTACCTTTAGATAGAATTTCCAACTTATTACATGTTATTACGAATTTGCAATGGTAAATAAACGGACGGCATCTTAGCTAATTTGATAGTTTATATTTTATTCGATGCATTATTCATTGCACGTCCGCTCTTATTACTTTATTATAGCCAGGCGAATTTGCCAGTGAAAATGTTGAAAATGTAAATGAAACAACGACGGTGCTCAATAGGAACGTATATGCATTCAGTTCAGTCGATTTTACCTAATAAAGGAGACATAAAAATATAATATATTCTATTGTGATTTCGCTATCATCCGGGTGAAAGTATTCCGGTATAAATAAGTTATGTTTTCGCGCGTATCGAAAAAATTATAATCCTTCTGTTTGTTAAACGTTTGCTTTCTAGAGTCGATGAATTTAAAATGCTTTATTAATAATGTATGTAACGTTCTACTCTCGAACAATACATCTTTTACTAAGATAAGATACCTATGCGCATTATATGTTACTGAAAGGAATAATGCAACAGAAGGAAAATTGGTCATTTGTCCTAGGAGATAATCTATTTCGAAACGCAGTAAATTATTGAGTACCTATTATTATGTTGAAAAGCTTATTATTATTCATTTTATTCTTTGTAGCGCCTCGTGCATTTGAATTGCTAGGTACTCGTACAATTAAGATAAGCCCGTCATGTAGATTAGGTGAACCTATTATTTTTGTTTTCTCACAATTTTTGCTGCCATTAAAATAATTGTGCTAATGTCCACGGTTATTTGTCGTCGTTTTGCATATTTCTGCTACTTAAACGAGAAATGCCGTTCACTTTATCCCCGCATAGCTATTTAATTTCAACGGTAAAAAATGGGGTTAACCAGTCAAGTGCCAGATTAGTGGGCAAGTCTTGAAATGTGTCGTTAATGTAAGTCTTTAATAACTAATTACAATTTTCTTTAATACAGGCTTGTTCGAGATTAAAACCGGATAATGACTTCCAACTGTTGTTGAGTCTTATGTTAAATCTTAATGCATTATTTATTAATCAAAGTGAGGATTCGATAAAGCGTGGGCAGAATAAATTAGGCGAGGTAAATACAGCGAAAATACGAGTAATTAAATTTAACTTACATCCTTTAGTCGGTATCACTATAATGTTCTGATTTTTATCGTCTCCGTCAGCTCGATCCTTCCTTTCTCCTTTTTCCTGCTTGCCGGATTTGACTTCGAAGGAATAAGTCGTCGCCATTCGGAGTCCTTTCACGTCGGCGTTAAAAACCTTAACATTATCCTCTTTGTCCACAACAGTGTTATCGTTGAAATCGGCTATTTGTTGTACACGGCATCTCTGCGATCCCCACGTCTGGAGCTCGCAGTACCGGACGCTGTAGCCTTCGGGGGGTGCTTTCGAAGCGTCGACTTCCCAGTGGAGCCGCACTTGCCGGTAATCCGGCTCGCCCATTAAATTTTTTATGTCTAAAAACAAGAAACGTTAATTATTAGCCTATGGATAGCTCAAGGTTTTGTAAGTATAATGTTGAAGATTCGTAGTTTAGGATTGGAAATGTGATATAGAAGTTTAATCGAAATGAGTATAAAATAACTTAATTTAGAAAGTCGCTTGCATGCAAATGAGAAATAAAGTATCTGCTATGGGTTGGGCATTTTCTGTAAGTGCCTTAAATATATGCTGAAACTGCGAAATTACCAGCGGCGGATAAAATGGAGTTTTAAATGGATCTGGTCTACTTGCTTTACTTTTTTTCGATTTTTTTGTTACTTTTTTCGCATCGAAACCGTTGGGATGTGGGTTTATCAGATGGACCGTTAAATTCGATTATTGTAGTTTATTTTAGAGTTTTCTTCGGATGAATTGATGGTAGCGCTCGAACCCGGCGTGCGATCGAAACCGTGAAATGTATTGAATTTTTGAAAGCGTTGTCGGTTTATGTAACGGAGATTATAATGAATTTAGTGCGCGAAAGTGAAGGAAAAAGCCTATCAAAACGTTTTTATGTAATGAATTGCAATTTGGAGAATTTCTGGTTTCATTGTGTGCTTAAAAGAAAAGTAATTCAATTATTTTTTATACTAAGATTCCATTCAATCGATAAATTAAATTTCAATAAATCTACACGTACATATACATATTTAATAACTCAAACACATCCTTTGAAGTACCTATTTATTTCATCCATTTGAACGTTTTAATGAAAAATAAAAAGTTAAACTTAAAAACATTGAAGTATCTCCTTTAATTGTAGGTGAATTGAACGCTTCATGAATTATGAAATCCTTCATGTAATTTATCAGTTGCTCAGGTAAAATTCAAGTTTTTTATTATAACTGTTTCGAACATGCGTTTCCCATTAAGGTTATTCGTAACTGAATAAGGCTGACTCGTAAATGGTTATTTCCGGCGTTTCTTCTAAACAAACCATTAAAAGCAACTCGTGACAATTTATGTTAAGTTTCTATTAGAATTCGGGCAACACATTGCTATTATTCGCACATAGGAAAATTACTTACATTTTTTTGAAAGCCGTATTAAAATAATTACATTTAGCAAATACTCTGATTAATTTTAGTGAAAATGGAAAGGAATAATTTATTAAACAGATATGTACACTATGCGGGAATTATCATAATAATATGTAAGTAGACCAATAAAAAAAGAGTACATACATATGTAACGTTATTGTTAAGTACACTTTTTATTTTCTAAAATCAGATTTTATGTCTATACTATAATAGACGTATTTATTCGAATTTGCAAAATAATTTCTCTCATATTATGCTGCAAAGTAATGATACAATTAATTATAGGTACAGGAGTAACAGATGCTTGTGTTGATAAATTGTATAAAATTATTTCACCTAATTGGTATATTTAGTATACCTACCATACGGTTATCGGTAGTACATCTCATCATCTCAATAAAATATTCAATAATTCATTTTACTTTTTTTATGTACTAATTACGTTTACGTATAATAGCCCGTCATATTTAGGTTATTGGTTGCTGTTAAGAGTTTCTGTGACGTCCAATATCTTCTTATTGCCGATAGACTTATTTATCGCTAATTGAACAAATACAGTTCCGTTAAGGCTATAAATAATTTCTCGATTATGATTGTAGAAAAAGAACCAATTACGGCTAATTAAAATTAAATTTGGCGTCATTAGGAACAATTGATCGTTAACCGAAGATTAATCGTTCTGTTATTAGAATCAAACGAACTATAACAGTTCTATATGAACTGAAAACAAATTGTAGAGTTGATTTTTTACAGTAAAGTTGATTATTATTAAATATTGGTATTCTATCTACAAATACAACCGGTAATATTTTCGACATTAATATTTAACTGGCGCAACGCAGTCTAACGTGCACTTTTACTTTTTTCCTCAATGAGTTTTCCATTTGCTCGTAATCGCGCCCATAAATCAACAACCGACTAATCGGTTTCTCTTCTAAATTTAATATCGCTTAAAATTGTTTCTCGAGAAAACTTTCGAGAGTGAGTCACATGCTTTCTCCGTTTGAAACAAATCCTGTAATAAAAGTCAAGGCCGACAATCAATGCATTTCTATAAATAAATACGAAACGTGCCGTCGAAAACGTTTAACCAGGTAAATAAAGGTGGAGGTCCGGATTGAAGTCTAAGATGCGAAAATTTGTATATTTTTACACAAACTGCAAGTCTTCTAGTAGCTAACTATTGATCAACTATAAAACAACAGTTTGTAGACTTTAGACAGTTTAATGACCTTTTATTACCGAAACAATAAAAAATCGCGTGTGTAAACAACAATATAACAGCGGCGAGTGTTTTGAGGAAATCATGAAAGTGTCTGTTACATGTCGTGTTCGGCAAACGTATGAGAATACAAAGTTTTATGTCTCCATATTTCAAGAACAACGGTACTGATATGTACCATGTCCTGTTAAACAGAAACGTTTTAAATTACGAATATTACGACTTACTGTAAATTGTTTTTATCGGTTTTTATTTAGCGTAATTTTATTTCGAAATGTACTTGAGACGTTGGGAGAGAGATGCATCGAACAGATGCTGCGGAAAATATACTTTATGCGAAATAAAAAAATGTCTTTTAAATATTACAAAATAATTAACAAATGTAGCTAATAAAGTATATACTTGAATGCACTTGATATTTAAAATAATAATGTCTATAATATACATAAGTTTCCAGCTAAATCAAAAATTAATTTGGATTTATCGAACAATAATAATCTATCTATCTACTATGTTCTAATAATAAACTTCATTTTAACAATTATTATAACAGTTAATAGATATACATAATAGTTCAATTGAAAAGATGATTTTCTAATTGAGCAATTACAGTCGTAACCCCGTTATGTAATTATTCGAACTATTTATTTGGAATTTTCTTGAATAACTTACAATACTAATGGTGTGACAATAATCGTTTCTAGCAACTAATTATGAAGTAAAATTGATTAATTTTCGTGCCATAGTTATTCTATCTGTTACAGCATTTTTCTTCATTAAAAATGTCACTTACTATCGGCGAAGAAATTTTTTCAATAATAATTTTCAAACAGATGCAAATTAGAAATTAATTATTCAATGGAGATAGCTAGCTATATTAATATCTACAACTTATAGTATTTATGTCTATTTAATACTCCATGTGCAACCTGAAAATTTGGAAATTTCCCATAATTACCTGCAGTACCGTGGGAATTTAAAATCGTTAAAGAATAGGTGGACAGGTCAGCTAAAGGTAAAATATAATAAATTACTACAGGTATACCCTACCTTTAAAGTTAACACTGCCCTTTGGGTTAATAAAATATTATAAGCTTGTAAAATATGGTGAACTGTAAAAATATAAAATAGTTTTTGTTAGATATTTTAAACATGACTTTAGTTTAATGCCAAATGAAATTAATTTTATATTATTTAATTAATATTGCAATAAGTAAAAATCTTTAAAATAAATTATTACTTTACTTTTTCAAGCGTCATTGAGTTAAATAACATAAAACCGTTCGGTTTCGTTGCAAGAAAATAAAGAGGACTAAAAAGGAATATTTTTGGAGCTTTAACATCGATTTCCATCTTAAACTGCATACTTTATGTTGCAACCTTTACATGTAATTATGTTTACCCAAAAAGTACATTAATAAAATATGCTTTTAATCGTCAAGGATTTTCAGATAAGTATCAAAATCGTTATTGTATAATTATTTAAATCAGAATGCCTCAGAATGCCGTCGATTACAAGAATTTTATAAAGCCGGCAATAAAAATCTTGAATCAATTACAAGCCGTCCAGGTAAATTCAAATATTTATTTGAGCACTCTAATGCATTATTAGAGTCACAATGTGTACAAATACAATAGATCCAGTAGAATGATGTTGATTTTGCTATTTTAGTTTGATAAAAGCTTAGGTATTATTGACATTATACTCTTATAACTACAGACACCTAGGTGATTGATACTAATAAATATTTGTAATATCATTAATAAAATGCAAGTATTTCCTAAGGTATGCGAAAAAAATAATTCCGGATAATTTTATTTTTTAATCCCCAATATTTTTTACTAAATCCATTAACTTATTATACTTTAATAATAATTGTTGGATAGATTTATGAGAACTTACCCAAATCATAATCGGCGACTACAAAATTCACGAGCGCAAATAAAATAAAAATCATGGTCCTCTCACGATCGACTAAACTCCCGAGTTCGATAAATTCATAACAGCAAATCGGCCGGATCGCGGAATTCGCGCTTCTGGATCCTTATCGATCGCGCTTTGCTGGTACTGTTCCAATTCGCGCCGCGCTGGTACCACAACGACTGACAGCCGGTTCGTATCTGATTTCGACGCGGAGAAAGAATAAATTCGTATTTGACTGAAAGCAGTCGCACCGTCTTCGGCGGCAGCAACAACCACTTCTTGCGCTGGTGGGGTCGATGTGCCATGCCACATATACGGACGAATACGTCTCGGTGCATTCGATGCATAATGCTCTCCTCGGATTTATTGGATTATAATTTGATCTCGAAGTTTTTTTCTGATTTTCCCTTGCCAAACCAAAAATTCCAGGGTAGATGATTTGGTTATATGTAAATGTGGAGATAATTGGATCGGTTTGAACGATCGTTGAGGCACAAATTTTGCATTTTATGATATACAGGTGAGTATGCAGGGTCCAGCAATAGAGATTGGATTTTGTAAAGTTATGTTCCACCGGCAATATTATTATTACTACATTTAAAAATTGTCAGTGTCTATTTGCTATACATCTCATTTCTGAAAGAAATGTATAATTCAGAAAACTGTATAGTCGCCATAAGAACCTGTTAAATAAAGCTTGAGAAAAAATGTATTACTGTTCTTGTAAGATTGCCCTTGTTAAAACGAAACAGTTAAAATTATTCAAACAATACCAAACATTAAGTCTATTCAGAGTATCCATGTCTCTATCATTATTCATCCGATCATTACAATAATAATCGTTCTGCGGCGAGCTTTACCTTAAACAGCTCGAGGATCGCAACAGAAACGAATGCGAATATTCGCGTGATAAGGTCTCGAGATATCGCCTTTGACAGTTCGCAACGGTAAAGCGGCATTCAGTATTTTTAAATATCGCGAAATCGCCATTATGCAACGTCAGGTTTTTGATAAAGGAGGCGATTCGTGGGCAACATAAATCTTCCGGCGTGCCGTGCGTTTCTTCGTAATCGGTCCGAGACATAAATCAAGCACGGGCGAATTTCTTTCCGAATCTTTTTTCGGGACACCGTTCTTTCTCGGGACGATTAAACAATTACACGTCACAGTGCGGAATCGATTACGAAAATCCGACGTAAACCGTTGGCAATAATATCATGCATGCGAGTCCCGTTATACTGCCGAGCAGTTCTACTTTTGTATAATACACCGCGAAATTATCTAATGCGCTCTTTCACCTGCACGTTGCAATTAAAGCGAACGAGAATAGTTTATTAAGTTAATCGTTCAATCACTCCGTCGAACACCCACTCCTCCGGTGTGTTTCTCTCCGCTCCCTCGTTTTCGTCTTCCATCGCGGTGCAACTGGGTTAATAGACTTTTGATGCGACATATCGCGTAACTGTAAAGCACTCGAGCTTACTTACCGTCAGGAAACCGGCGAGATTTTCCACTGGATCCGGCGCGTGAGTGCTAATGAATCTAATGAATCCGTTTCAACCCCTTTAGTAACTCGATAATCCCATAATATCGATTATAAATCGTAATATCAAACAAGATGTATTTTTCAAAATGTATTTAAATAAAAATTACAACGACAATGACTACGATTATTTACAGAACGCAAACGACTGTTATTGAACATTTTGGATACGTTATTAGTCGGAGGGAAATGCGAAAATCGACTGATTTCGATCATGTTTTATTCATTTCTAATCGTAAATACTCGTAAAAGAACTGTTAAGAGTATTAAAGTTGCGGCTTCGAATATTTCGAAAAACGGTTGTTTGTGATATGTTATGCGAATAAAAAAACCCAATGAATGACTTGTTCAGCTGCACAAAAGGAAATAAATTAAATAAAAAATTAATGTAACATAAAGCCGCAGGAGTTATTAAGTACTTAATGATTTTCCTGTTATTAAAAACTAACTGTTAAATACTTGGTAATAACATATCAAAGAAGTGTTTTTTAAACGGCGAGGAATGCTATGAATAAGTTTTAGTAAAGATAATTTCAGTACTTAACCATACAATATTATTCGCATTTCCCTGTGGAATAATTGCTATGCTAATACAAGAAATGGACTATTAATTAAATCAAATTAAGTCAATCCTGATTTCTAACACGTATTCAACCCTAAAATTTACTTAATCCATTTAATTACTGTCATTTCTTGTTGTAACATAATCAACAATTACAATCCGATTTTGGCTGAGTTTCGTTTCATTTTAATGAAGGACTACTTTGGTCCCATGTCATTTTAACTTCATTTTTAATCTAAAGATAAAAAGATCGATGCAAAATCATGTGTATCAAGCCCCTAATTTTTTTGCTAGATTGCATGAGAATTCTTAAAGCAAATGGCGAGATCGTTTCGGAGAAAACGCTTACAAGGTGAATCAAAATTATACCTTACTTTTTTAGTAACCACCTCGTTTTGATTAGATTTTAAATAAAATACAAACTTCCGACAAAAAAAGAGCAAGTAGTATTTTGATTTAACCTGTACATTTTACTCTTAAAATTATTACTACATGTTGTTCACTAGTATGGACGTTTATTTTAGATGGTTTACACATAGACAATTGCCTAAGAAGGAGATCTAATACAATTAGATTTGTTACAAGTGTTTGTAAATTCCTATATAAATAAATCAAAACACTTTTTTTAAGAGCTAACACGAAGAGTTTTAATTAATTTGTACTATTTATATGTAAAAATCCTAATGTTAACTCTTAAATATAACCTAAAAATTCATGGGATGTCCGATTTTGGAGCTTAAACCTATAATTAAATACTTCTAAGCCGACGAATTAGATTATAAGGCAGACCCTGTTTTATTTTTTTGATTAGTTTTAAAATTAATTATATTGCAATCAATTCATAACTTTGATTTTTATATTAGATATAGTCTCTATATTGCAATAAAATTAATTTATACAGAATGGTTTATTTGACAATTTGACCATGCATTCAGGTATTATTTAAAATGGTGATATTTTGGATATCTATTGAGATAAATAAATTGCAGTTGTACTAATATGCAAAAATATTAAAATGTATTAATAAAATTAGCCAATAAAGTAATCCATTCTGTATATTTTAGTATACCGGTAATTATTTTCTTTTTTTTTTATTTATAATAAGCCGTATTTCATCTATACATAATACTATCAAAGCATTTAAACAATTTTCGAAGCAAATTTATTATTTGATCCTTTAAAATTTCTTCACAATTCTTTGCCCCTATCTATATGGCGAGTTAAATTTCCCTTATACAAAACAGGATAAATAAAAAATTGTAATTTAATTTGTCTATTTGTACGATGCTATCACACTATGCAATTTTTTAATACACTTCTATTGTATTCTCGGGTTTTATTATTTCAGAACTTATTCTCAAGCTTTTTATGGCTTATTCCACGAAGTAAATGTAAATTTTTTCTATGTCCTACGATTCCATAAATTCAATTTTATGAAGGTATTAAAAAAGGTACTCTTTCTGCCCGTTTTATATTCTTCAATTCGCACAAAATTTAATTTTCCTACCATATCACAAAAAGCTTATAAGTTTAGTTATTTTCCTACAGGGTAGGGTACTTTATTCTAATCGTGTGTCTTTTTTCCAACTTCGATCGTTTTGTTTATTAAGTAGATATTACACCTCATAATATACTTTTATAGGTATATAAATTGTTTCAAGGAAATCTACTCGATTCAAATTAAATAATTTAAATTATTTATATGTAGGTAAACAAAAAACAGGAATACTTGTAGGATAGAGAAAATCTTCTTGAAACATTATTTACATTCGGCATGCATTTTGTCAGAGGATTAAGTATCACACTTATTAGATGTAATTCAAAAATTCTTACTCATGTTTAAAAGTATAATTTACATTATTTGTGATCACTTTGTGTGGTTGTCGATGGTAAATCGGCATAAACGGCGCTGGGACCTTCATTACTGCAAACAGAATCCTCCGGTGTTCTCGAGGGCTCTGCCTCCGTCACCTCTTCCTGTTGATGTTTGTGCCGCTCTTTATCCTTGTGTTTTCCGTGCAAGTTCTGAAAAACAACACCAACATTTGCCATACCTACATGAAAAATCTACGAATAGAAGTCAGCAAAATGCTCTAATAGAATCTGACACAAAAGTTCAGAGTTGTCTTCAGATTCCCACGGGGCTAGGAAAATTCTAGTTTACGAAATACCTAAATTCATCTGCGCTTATTTTATCGCGAATCATGACAATGTCAATGTTACGGCATAAATGATACTCTTCAATAATATCACATGGAAGACCGGCGGTGGAGCCTTGAGGTACTGCAATTCCTAACGCGTTCGCCGTGAAGATGCAAGCCTAGATTACAACCGTTGTTACCAGTAGCGAATCTGATGTTTAGTGATGGTACTTACTCACTTACATAGGTACTATGTGGGTCAGAAAATGCGTTCGTATGCCAGCGTGCATGCTTAAAGAAGCCGTAAGTTAAATCTTACAATTGCAGTTCAAGATAATGCTTTTATGTGGTTAATTGTCCCAACGACAAATAATGAAAGTTTCAAAAATTACCAACGCTCATATTGAGACATTTTAACAATACGATTCAATGTAGGTTAAATCTATTTTATTATTATTCCATTAAACAATAGTTTAAGATGATTTCTATTTGAGTTTAGGGGTCTTCATTGCCTTTTGAATGGTTCGCAAGTGGCACACGAACTAGATTTAGAACAACGAAATCGTTGTGGGTAAATTGCGAGCGGTTTAATTGGTTTTTGTATAATGATCGGTTTTAGATGGAAATCGGTAATTTAATTTCGATATGGAGCGAAAAAGCAGAAGAAATGGGTAATCACAGAGCGTCGTCGACTTTCTGATCGGTCTGCATAATTTTATTGTTTGCCATTATATTTAATCGAGTTTGCTGATCTCGAAAAAATCAAAAATAATAGGTAACCGGTTAGGTCGGCGTTTAAGTTAGATTTTATATTTTTTAGGTGAATTAAAAAAACATCGAATCAGTTCATGCAGCAAATCCTTTTGTACCCACACATGCGATAAAACAATAATATAAATTTACCTTTTCTCGACTTCCTTTTTTCTGATGCGTGAAAATAAAAAAATGCCACATGAAAAAATAATAAAAAAGAAGTAGCTGTAGCTGATAATGGGAAATATCCTCAAACACACATAACAACTTTCTCGTTGCTTCTTTACCACCTCATACAAATGACGCTAAATTAAATTTTCTTCGCAAACTATTCGTATTTGTGTCGGTTTGCAATAAAACTTTTCCTTTATCTACTTGTAAAAACGAACAACGAAGTTTTGATTGGCAATTTCCAGGCAGCCTCGGATTTTTAAAAAGGGACGTGTCTTCAGTGAGTTACGGTATTGTCAAAGTTTTACTTTGTAGTGTATCGAATATCCGTCGGGTATACGGGATGAATAGGTATAAAAACCGAGTATGGTGTTTAAAACGCAAATTTTCGTGTACCTGCAAGCTGAATCTGCGGTGTTGCGCTTTCCTGCCGCCGCGCCTCTTCGATATGTGTGGATTATCCCTGCAAATCGTTTTGCTCTTGAAAATTTCGAGCTGCAGATAGAGCCGCTTCAGTTCGGCCCTAATATCGTCAGGACTCATGTCCGCCAAAGTCACCTCACCCACTTCCACGTCGCTGTTGTTTCCCGTTAAAGGCCCGTGCGCATTCACATCCTGCAAAGAAAGCGCATTTCATTATTTTACTCCCTACCTTTTTATTGCACCATAACTCGCTGCTAAATCCAACACACAATTAAAAAACTAAATGACTAGTTACTTACAACACATATCAGTATTATTTTTTATTCATCTATTATAATAGTAGCGAGTTTAACAATCTTATCCTCTGATGTATTGTGTATAATCTCTAATCTCCTTTGAATGAGCATTGGGCGGCATCGACTTTTCGAGTTTTGTTTATTCGAAGATAGTTCGTATGGATAGCGACAAGACGTTTCGTTTCCGAACAAATTAGATAGGAGATTAGTGCCCTAGCCCAAAAAACGAATCTCAGTTTTGTGGCTTTACGACACAATAGAATCATTAAGCTGCTTAAGTGCTCTTGTTGTAACACGCACGCACATAATAAGCAGATAAAATATGGAATGTTATTGCATTGGGTCGCATAAAGAGCGATATATGTATTTTTTACGACCGGGCTCATTGGATTTGTAGTGTTTTTAATGAGTTGAAATGGAGAGTGGCTGTAGAAGCTTTTTTAGAATATCAAAAAAAACGAAAGTTATTTATGGCAGTTGCGTCTGGATGAGGCTAAGCGCTTATTAACCTTAAAAAACAATGCTTCCATTAAATTTTATTATGTATAAAAATTCAATTTTACGTTTCAAAGTTGAACTTTCATAATCTTCTGTGGTTAGGTACCTGTCTAGAGCTTCATTTCTGAAACGAACATCCACGTGTACTCGTATACCTATAGAGTATGCATTTCATAAATGATTTCCATTCTCTATTTTTCGACACGACCAGGTTGGACTTACAATGTGATTCATGGTATATTCAACAACTTACACACTCACAAAGAGATTGTGAACGGCATAAAGAACGAAAAATGTTTAATTCAACATCATACACTTTTGTTGTTTGTTGCCAAGTTTGCTATCTAGATATTATTTTTGTATTGTACAAACTTAGTTTTCTTATTCTTCTCTACAACAATGGTTTATTAAATATTGTTAAAGTTGCTTTATTGTCTTTTTGAAATTGTGTTGTTGCTTTTATTACAAATAACGCTTATTTAACTGCCTCAATTCTCCCATCTTCTGGCGTAATATTTGCACGGTAGGTACTCGATTCAATTATAAATTTCCTACATCTGTGAGATATTTAATGAGCTCCTGAGACGTAGTAGAAACTACATCGCTGGCGCCAGCAGGTCGAAAATAATATGCAAAAAATTATTCAAAATTAGGTATAATACTCGCAGCCGTAGTCGTTTGTACAGCGACTGAATAAAAAAAATATATAAAACACGATGAATTCATTATCCGGTCGCTTCTGACTCGGTTCTTTAGATTGGCTGGATACGCCGAGAAGAGCGGTCGTTATTTCCAAAGAATGTGACTGTGTAATGAGAAATTCAGTTTAGAGAAATACGGAAGAAGTCCATATAATAAAGTATGGTGAATGTTTCAAAACGTTTCATCGAGAATGCAGATCCAGGTAGGTGTATAAACTTTATACCTGCATTCTTTCAACTATGTATCTAGCTATATGTAGCACTTGGAATTCGGAATGCATTATTTCACTTCAATCTCTCGACTTTTTACTCTATTCAAGTTCTTTCGAATAAATCTACAATTGCGTTACGAATCTGTAGGAGTTATTAAATTCATCTTACCTTGAAGGCATCAACGGGCAACCTGCAGGAGTACTCTTGCGCCAAATTCCGGACTTGTTTCTGCTGGTACCAAAACTTCGGTACGAAAATTAGGATGATAGCCATCGTTTGCGACATTTGGGTCCTTACGCAGTAGATGATCAAGACCAAGTCCGGGTGGAGGCCGGGAAAGAAGAGAACGCGCCCTATGTAAAACAACGTGCTGGTAGCCAATTCTAAACTTATCGCCGCGCAGAGAAACGTCCTCTCCTGCAAGAGGAATGGCTTTTAGAGATACATTAAACAGATATCAAACTTTCAGCTGATTCGACGATTAATTTCAATTTACTTTTTTTTCATTAAATTAATAATGAAAAACCGGCCGAGAAAAAGAAGGAAAAGGAACGAAACCGAAAAGTTCTCAGTTAAATATTAATTTCTTAAAAGGGCCTATCTTGCGTCCCTCCGTAAGAATTCTAATCACCGATGGGGAGCGAGATTATTGTTTCATTATTAACGGAAAAAATATCTTTCGTTTCTAATGAAGGAAATCTAGCAAATTTCAACTCCGGCCAATGCAATTATCAATATTTAAATACCCGCTGACATTTAACGGCTTCGTGAGATCCATTTTTCGCGACGAATATTTTCGATTAATAACGACAATTTAATTTAAGTTTGCAAATGAGTTTCGCGGTGGGTTAATATCGAGTTTGATTAGATGTTATGTTAATTAATTGGGGTTGCGGGGGCGATACAATGGAGGGTGGCTCACGCGGCGAGCTTCAACTGCGGCTTCAAATTTCAGCAAGTTACTCGACATAATGCCGTGAAATTTGAATCGCTCATCAAAAATGATCTTTCTTTCGTCGAACAGATTTATGTTCTAGCGCCTAACTTAAAACGGGATAGTTTAACATCAGTTCTCAAGTTTAAATATTTTTTTAATTAGTTGTTTAATTGTGTGAGGTTTAAAATTAGAAAATTAGAATGTCAATTCATTTTTGAAGCTAGTAGATAATTAAAAATGAATGGAAATAATTTGATGACGGAGGTAAAACAGGTAGCAATTTATTGATGAAAACGAAAAATTGACATCGAAAATGATTTGCTGAAATCATTCTAAAGATGTACGAATATTTTATACCTTGTTGGAGCTTAAAAAATCAATTTATGACGAAACGTAAAATGAATATTCTAGAAGCCTGCAGTAAAATTTAGAATCGAGTTTGTTTTAACTTTTGATTAAAAAAACGTAGATTACGATAGCTGCAAATATTCTTTTATCGAAAAATTCACGGTCGGCTGAAAAGCAATAGCACCTAAATCGACGGTGCTCAGGGCATGTTTACCCTTCCATCAGAAAATACGCTGTTAGGATAGTTCAGCAATAGTTTCAGCTCGGTTAAATTGCGTCGATCGGTCGGAACGACGCTTGCCTAAAACAAACGTCCTTTTATTAGGGAAACTTAATTGGTATCCATATACCCGATGCTGACAATGCAATGGACGTTGCCCTTGTTTCTAGTTTTAATTGTGTCAACTTTAGCGGATACTGCAAAAACTCGAATCCACGAAGCTTTTCATACAATAAAAACAGGCGGAGTTAATTAAATATTTAATTAAACAATGTATAGGAAAGTATTAACCTAGTTCATCCACCATTTTATACACTCGTACTTGGCAATTTTAAGGATATCAAATATTCAAATTATTATTACGTCAGTTCTTATCGTTAGTAATTAATAATGGAAAAAGTTTTAGAAACTGTAGGCAAAAGTCTATAATTAAAAGATAATTATTGCAGATCAATGCGGAGCGATAATTCCCCGCAAGCCGTAAATAAACTTCAGCGCGACGTATAAATAGAGGGTAGTAACTTAACTGCTCGACGGGTTGACTTTCCTAGACGACGCGATGGATAATCGAAGTAGCGATAATTAAAAAGGACAGTGCTGGTAGCTAGTCGATGAATTATTTTCGGATCGAACATTTTTCTCGGGCAAGATAATTTCCAACAAACAATCTCCAGGTATTTGCGTAATTAAATTTTAATCAATTTAACGCCAACGGAATTAAAATTCTAATAACGCCTTGATACTTTGTAACAACAATTTTCGATATGAGAATACCCGCCTGCTTGAAACCGAACCTCTCTGCCTATTATAACTTGATAATTTCTATTCAACCTCGTTTTTTTTTTTAATTTAAACAAGTTCCATCAACGTGTAATCTACTCGACCGACGAAATCGTATTCACGTAATTCTCTTTCATCCACTATACGGCTTCGCGTCCCATGGAAAATGCATGTTTTCAACGCGACATCGTCGAGCGAGAGAGAGACTGATAAGTTTTCCTAATTAAAACGGGAAAGCGAAAATAAGTTTATCATTCTAATTAGTTTGTTTACGTGTTCATGAAGTTTGAATGAATTTTGATCCATCGTTAGCCACCGGAGAGTGCGGAATAAAAAGCGTTATGCAAGCGAATTAATCTGAATTGTAAACACAGAAATAACGAACGCTTCATAAAGTACACATTTCATTTATTTTTACAGAAAATATTAGAATATTGTATAGAGGTTGGTAAAAAAAAAGTTTCAATTAAAAAAAATGCGATATTTTTTTGTACATCTACATTTAGCTACAGGCAGGTATAATGAGTGATGTGAAGTAATGTGTTGATGAATCGTTATATCGTTTCTTATTAATCAAGTGATATAAATTTATCGCTTCCCGAGCAGTTTGATTGATATGTTTTTCCGAAATCTCTCCGCGGCAATATTATCGAAAATTTTATCATTATAGCGACATTCCATCAATCACGAATCGTTCCCTCGATAACTTCGAATTAATTTACAAAAAGGCCATGCATCATTATTTTTTTTTTGTATTAAGGGGAATACCTACTATTCATTAATTTTAACAGACCTATATTGAAGTAATTATCTAAGTTTTTAATAAAATTTTAAGACTATAAAGTATGTCATAGTGAAGTACCTAAATATATAAAATAGACAGTTGGGTAATTAATAAAATATTATAAAATCATAATAAATGAATAGAACTTTAATTGCACTATAAAAATTAAAGCACGATTTTAGCTTTGTTTTTTTACCCTCTTTAATATTTACATTTTAATTTATCTGGTTCCTGCTTACGAATTCGTACATTCACAGTAATCATGTAGAGTACAGTATAAAAGTTTTCAAGTCTGTTTGCCAAGTTGCGAAAAATGAAACATAGTATACGATCGGAATTACGAGTTAAAGTTTTCGAACGGATCGGACAGGTTGTCAGTTATCGACGCAAGTTTGATAAAGCGGAACTGCAAGTATCAAAACAAAACCGGGCCGCAGCGAAAATGAAATGTCTCGTAATAGCTCCAAACCGAACAGAAGGAAATGAATAAGTAAGTGAATTACTCGGAAGTCTCTTGCTACACTAATCTAGTTTTAATATCACTGGAATAAGAGATTGTAAAATTTGCGCAGGCAATCCAAGGAGAAGTAGTCTATTCGCATCTAATCCAAAAGGAGTCTAGTCAAGAATAATTTCAAATCTGTTCATATTACTTGAAAAACACGACAAGTTGAAATACTTGTTCCGAATTTCCCATCATCATCGCGTTAATAAAACTAAAGTAAATACGCCTAAAGGTCGTACGATTTCATTAAACCGCTCACGTCCCTCCGATTCCGCAGCTCGCAACGTATATAGCCGTGGCTCAGTTGATTGCACAGTAGCCTGTAGGACAACATTTAACCATTCTGGACTCGTAATTGCATTTCTAGGAGTGCTCTTATCAAATAAATTTAGCGACGCCGCACGCTGACTTCGGTTGCAACTTGTTTTCAATGCATCCCGGCAAATTGGAGCGCTTATTGATTGTAATGGACGTGGAGAGCCGAATTAGAACAAACTTGCTTTGTTTAGTATATTTACTGCTAATAATACTATATGTATAATAGAGTGACTGGTTGAACATCATTAATAAGTTAGTTCAAGCAAGTATTTAGATATGTTGGTAAGATATTATGCATTTCCTTTAAACTTTAAAGGAACATATTTGGAACATGCTTCTAGAACCAGGCTATTATAGCTGTGAGTTAATGCTAGAACGAATAAAGTAAAAACGGATTAGGATTATACCTAGGTTAGAGATTCGATTTTTTTGTTGCTAGCTAACATACTGAAGAACATCAATCCGGCGTGACTCTACCCCATTACGTCCGGAGCGTTCCGGGGCGGAAATTAACGTCGCCTAACTAACCATCGAGTTCGTTTAGTTGCGTTGGAGTATTATAAAATTATCACGGTTCGCGGCTTCTGGGGAAAATTTGAACGCGAATTTGCTGCAGTCGCGAAAGTTATTGGATTAGCGCGCCGAGTTTCTTGACGACTCGAAACCGTACGTTTTCTGGGAGATCTACAATCCTGCGAAATTCAAATATTTATGAAACGACACCCAGATAACGAACTAACTTGCTGGGAAGCTAGAAGAGAGGAATATTAGTGCATAAACGTTTTATTCTTACTAAAATTGCAAAATTTGGCGGATACGAGACTGTTCCGCCAAATTCTTTAAAAGCTTCATACTATTATAACATTTGCATTTTAATTCCAATTTCCCTTTGCAATAACTTTAATGGAATTTTCCGCATACAACGAATTTCACTCGGGAATTTATTAAATTGATACAATTGTAATTTCGAGGTAGAATTCGCCGTACGTTAAGGCGGCGCGTCCCCGTTCTCGTAGACCAATTCTCTAGCAATAAAAACGGTAATATCTTGAAAGTGACTCACGTGAAACTGAGTTCTCGCATTCCTGCTGGCGTAGCTGAGATGGATCCCGAATATTAATATAACGAGTTCTCCGCTTTCAGTAACGTAGTCCCACCACAGCGACTTACAGGAGTAATAACGTTCCCCGTCCAGGGTCCGGCCGATATATAGCAGGCTGTAATTCTCCTGGATGAAGTTCAACGTAATAGAAGTGTACGCTGCCATATAAGCTAATACCTGAAAAAAATAAATATAGAAGCTTAATTGAAAATGTCTGCTATAAAAGTTCAATTACAGCATTTTAGATAAATATTTATCTTATTGTGGAATACATCAAAGTAATCCTTTTTAAATCCTTCTATTTTTTCCTTCTACACCATACATCGGCGAAGATCTATATTTGCTGTCTGCAACCCTAATACGAAATCAATACTTTCAAATCCAGTTGAATATTTCCAAGTTCGATACAGGGAAAAGGGCACAAAAACCTAGAACAATCTGGAAACATCCACCTTTCCCTTGTAATCGGAAACTATGGAAGAACCTAATGAAATTTTTATCGTTTGTTTCCTGGAATACATGCCACATTTCTGGTAGATCCAATTCGAAAATGTCGGAATGCTTTTGTATTTTTTTCATTTCGTCTGTGAAATGCCCCTTTGAAGTTTACGCACTTTTGGTAACTTTCTTATATAAATCTTAATTCAAATTTAACCTGGAATATTAATCAAGTTCATTCTTTGCTTGTGTTTAATGACTCTAATTTACATCTAAATTGTTTCATTTTAAAATAAATTTAATGCAGAACGGCCTATCTCGGCGTAACTTTGAAAAAAAAAGCTCACACTTTCACCATTAAATGAAATTTTCAGATGTATATCAATTTTTGTTGAGGTATTTATGTTTTTATCGTTAATCTGGAAAGTTAAAATGATATATTACGGTACTGGATTCCACTTATCTACTAAAATAATAGAACTAAAAAATTAACTTATATATTCAAAGTGTTATTAATAAAAAATTGTCAATCTCGTTAGCCTGATTAAAAAAGAACTCGCCAGCATGAAATTTCTGTTCGGTACATCTCATTTAAAATTTAATTTTGAATTTCCACGTAAACGTTTAGCAACGTTTGAAGGGTTACAAACTCGTCGACGTTTTTACAAATTAATAAACGAAAATAACGGGATTTTGAAATAATTTGCAGGTAAAAAGAAAAATGAATTAATTTCGTAACGTTCAACGAATTGAAAGAGAACCATTACAGTTCACTGAAAAGCGAATTAACTTTTTAAAAATTGAGCTACTTACTGACATGATCATAATGAGTAAATACTTCAGCAAATCCGTGTCCTTGACGACCCATCTATGCGCCTTTCTCGTCCGGAACTCTATAAGATGCCTATAAAGCTTCAAGATTATTGCACCGTAGCAAATGATGAATCCCACTTCCCGAAACCACGGATCTAAAATGCACTGCAATACGGACGACTCGAAGGATTTCACAACAACCTGAAAAATTATTCTTCTACACTAACTAAAAAAACCTTAATCAAATCTTATCTTAAGGAAACAACTCAAGTGTACGTGGCATTTTTTGCTCTATTACATCGCTCCTCAACAAATATACTTCCGAATTGCCACCCTATTATATGAAACGTTCAGAAGTGAGTAAACGCGTTTGAAGTGTACCCAATTTATCGCTGATTTGAGCCGGAGTAAAAAGCTGGAAAGTCGCAACCGCCTGCGAAATCTTCAAAGAATCGAAAGAGAGTGCTCCACAGCATTTTAACATCCTCGAAATAGTTTCGCTCGTTAAACCAGTTGATTCGCTCCGATTTTGCATGTGCCTTCTAATTTCCTGATGCGATTCAACCTACTCGCATTCGAAACGACGACAATTTAATTCGTCGATGATTCGAAACCGATGGAAATAAAATTAAAATCGGGCACGCAAAACTGCCAAACAAACTTCCCCAGTGTTATGATCCATTCCGAAATCCTGGCACGCGGAGACGCGAGCATTTCCACGATAAAATATCGACGAACAGTCGCCGTATACGAACATGCTTCCACATAAAGGCGATTTGAAAACCCATAGAAATGTATACTTTTATTGGAAGCCGATTCCCTCTCCGAATATTTTTTTTATTATTTCTTTGCGGCGAAAATCCGGAGAGCCGGTTACGGTACAACTCGAAAACGATTCGCCCTATTTAATTTTAGTTTACGGTTCGGCATTAAAAGGATTATGATTTTATTTCGCATTCGGTTTAGTCCGTTTGGTTTAACTGGAATGCGACCCGACGGGGATGCTTTGTAGAGGAATTAGCGTATTGGAATTCTTCCCAACAACATATAATACATTCATGTGCATTTTTTTAAACCAATCAATTGTATAAATTAAAACCATACATGATAGAGTAACGATATCGCGTTCGTATAATGTGCATAGGTGTCGTAATTACGAACACCCACTAGGATTAATGTTAATACCGGCATATTTACACTTTATTTCGTTTCATTGGATTAATTCAGGCGGTTAAATTGTTTCGAATGACGTCAGGGACTTTATGTGAAAAAACTTCAGCTCGCCGTAATTATTTTTAATTGCAACTAAACTTTATCGTTGGATATCCGAGCGTAAATAAACCTAACGCCATATAACAGAGTAGGTACTAAAAACAACCGTTATCGAAATGATGCAATCAGGTATGAAACGGAGTCAATATTTTTTTTATTCCTGCAATCTTATTAGTTTCGATGGGGGGTTTTTCGTTCGAAAATTCGTTTAATAATGGAGGTTTATGGGATTGGAATGGATAATCAATAATGTGGTAAAACGGCGCAAATGTAATTTAAACACCGGTTGAGAGAAGATGTGACTTTTTCTTTCTAAGTATTAGAATATCAGTGTAAAAATCGAATGAAAAATGCAGGATAGGAAGCGCTTTAAAGACACGTTTGCGTGAATAAAATGCGCCAAAAATAGTATAGAATAGAATTCTCTTTTATATTTAATATCGAAAAATGCATTCGGCGTGACGAACGGCGACAACGGTGATGTTCTCGCATCGGTGGCGACGCGAGCAAATGAAATCCCCATTCGACGATATCGACGCCGTCGTCGCCTCCGAAACGAACGCCTCCAGATTCTGCATCTTTTTCCTCGCCGATATCTCGAGATAAATGGATTTACAGTGTTTATCAACTAGAAAAGTGTTTTTATCGACTGACGATTTGCAATTCAGAAAAACACAGAATGTATAGTATTGTCTAATTGAATATGCAACGACAAGAAAAACAAAAACGAAAAAATTACAGATTTGGGCAGTATGGGGTATCTATTAGTAATATCAGTAATTTGTTAATTATTTATTTCTAGGGAGAGTCCTTCCAATATTGAAACCACTGTCCCTTCATATCAAATTGACACATGAAAAATTTATACAGCTCAAAAGAAAGTTCAATATACCTGTTAAACTCTACCTCTATAGCTTATATCAAAAAACTTCTTTACATAAGTTGTAGATATTTTTACGATGCCTATTTTAAAATTTGTTAAACAAAATTTAATTTAGCTTGTCTTCAGGTTTCCAAAAATATACACCCTGTATATTTAACCCTTATTACTACTAATTAATTTACTGGATAACATTTTTAAAGCCATGAGCACTTATGCTTCCCTTAATAAGTTATTCTTTCCATTCTAGCGAATACCTACCATTAACCGTTTGCACGCTTTCATTCCTAAAGGACCTAAGGGTATTCGATCCAATTTCTCTAAAGTGTCTATAAGTATCTGCGGCTGTAGTAATAGTCTAGTACAGATAATTTCGGTTCTCGGCCCGTTCGCCATTTTCATTTACTTAATTCCATCCCTGCGAGCTACCCTTAACCCAAAAAAAAACCGGCTTCCTTTAAAAGCTCGCACGCCGATAAAACGAACAATAGAGATTTTTATCCGATATGAGCCGAAATCAATTGTCAAGATATTTGGGTCGGAAAAGCGACGTGCAATGCGCAAAACGGACGAAAATATATGCTCAAAATAAACGTTCAAGCTGACGGATTTAGGTAGCTCGTAGAAGTAAATATTGCTTTAATAAACAAGAAATGCGGAACGTAAACTTCAATGACGAGCCGTATAACATATTGTTAATAGTTAAAAATTGTAAATGAGCTCCGGGTATAGAGGCATTTTTCTTCTCGAACGCCTTTAAAAACCCGTAAAACGCTCGGGCGTAATTGTGTTCCTGACCCCTGTAATATAAAGGACTCCGTAAAGGCCTCCGGTTTCGCTAGGTAATCTCGGCGCCGAAAGGAAAATATGAACTTCAAAAGGGCAAAGTAATTTGATTCTATCGACATTTCTATCCCTATGTTCACATTCAAAAAGAAAATTGGGTGCAATTTTTTCTGATTAATTTACGAATATCTAATACCGGAAATCGATGAGAACTCAAGGCATTTGCAGTAAACATTCGTGAACTTAGAAAACGCGTAACTTCAAGTTTCGCAAGTTCCGCAGAAGCCCGAACAATTTTCGGTCACCTCAGCGAGCAAATATGCGCGTTTCCCGCAACGGAAATTCACTCGGATATGCCGCATATGTCGGCGAAAATGTTTACTAGCGATCCAGTTCGGTGCGAAAAGTTTAGCGCAATAACTCAAACGCTGAAAATCCCCTCGAAAGTTCGTCCATTAGGTCTCAGATTTGCGTCGGACGGTGGAAAAGTTCGGAGCTAGTTTTTCGTACGAATAAGTCTAAAAACACGGTTTGCATCTAATGGAGGAAATGTATTTTACTGTAGTATGGAAGTAGATATCTTTCACGATAAATTTTAACTCCTCTACACAATTAATGAATAAGGGAATACAATGAAATAAGTTTTGCATTTGGATCTTTTTTGCTACATAGTGCATGGAAAAACATTTTAATGGATAATTCGCCATCGGCATAAATAAAAAGCGCGATTTTATGAGGACGAAGCGTGAAAGCGAGTAGAAAATATTTACCATCCAATTCCCGGAGGAATTGTCTAATTAAAAATTTCACATTCCAGTGCACTCGTCAACTGATTAAGGTAATTAGTTTTCCCCTTTTCTCGCGAAAAGATGACGTTTCAACCAAAAGCCGCGGAATTGATACAGCTCAAGAACCCTTTAGAGCGAATATTAAACTTAATGGAAATTTAAATTTTAGTTCATTTATTTCGAAAATATTACGTTTCGGGGTTTCTACTTCGTATAGTTCAAAATTAATTACGTGTTTCTAATAACTGCAAAACTTGTAACAACTATGAAATAATTAATATGCCTAGTTTGATTTAAGTTAGACCTTAATTGAAAACTTACCGTTGCGTATAAAATGAAAATTCCTAATAAAATAGTTTCCAAAATTTTCCACATGCCTGATGCTATAGCCTGAAAAAAAAAACAGCCAGTTAACAACAAAGTTCTTCAATATCAAACCAACTTGACATCAAAATGCAATAGTTCTATATGCAACAGTCTTCCAACTGACATCAGACACTTCCAGTTATCAATGTTAACACATTTGAAATGAATATTCATGCGATATTCGATAAACTTGCGACGTAAGTTCCTCGCGCAATTTGCCAAGTTCTATTGAAATTTCTCGTATCGAATTCAAAATTCTGAGTAGAATCGCGCGGAAAACGCCGATCAGGCAGCGTAGAAATCGCATAGAGCAGTCAGAATATAGAAATTCGAAATTATTAGGGCATGAAACGATTTGATTTCAACACGGTGTATACTTGAAAAATCGAATAAGTTTTCCAATTCGTCTCCAAAATTGGTCTCTGTTTTCGGAATAAATTTAAAGATTTAAATCAGGAACTCATATAATAATAAAGCAAAAAGGAATAAATTACCTACATAAAAAGCAATAAATTGATAATTAAACTCGTAATCTCTCTAGTTTTATTACTTTCAGACCAATTTTAGCTATTAACATGGAGGAAAACTCTTTTATAGTAGAAATGAAAAATTACACAGGCCAATGTCTCGTGTTAGTTTCGGTTTAAATGATAGAAAATGAGAAAACTATAATAAAGATTAAGTACTGGTGTCGTGAAAACTCGAAATATCGTTAAAACCGCAAGAAGAAAATAAAGAAAATTGAAAAGTTAGAGAAGTTTTCTCTATATATAAAATGAAACGTAAATAAAGTTTCTGGATAGGAGTATAGTTTCGGAATTATAGATGAAAATCTAAAATGAATCACCATTATAAGCGCCGTGAAAAATCGAAATGTTACCGAAACCGGAAGAGTTGGAAAATTGAAGTGAAGTGGAGAATTGAAAAGTGAAGTTTTATCAATAAAATAAATAAACGGAGGTTCTGCAGTAAGTGTAAATAAAAATGCAACTAAATCCCATTGCATTGAAAATCCACTATTTACATTGCACTACAAAGGACCCTTCAGAAAACTCCGAAAAATCCTCATTGGCCCGATTCAAAATCGCAGGATCTCTTCGTAACCGAACGAAATCCATTAGTTTTTGATTCGAAAACCAAAAACACAATCGAACAAGCTAATTGAAAAGTACAGTCGAGTGCATTGGGCCGTAAAGTGTACTCCTAATCGCGAATTCAATTCGGAAAATAACCTGCGAGCGCCTCGACCGATCTCCTTTCAACTTTTGCGCTCGAACTTCCGTAGCCGCAGCAACGGGCCCAACTTCAACGCCGATATTTACCTTAGTTTTACGTTGTTTGAAGACAATTAAGGCCAGGATGACCGTAACGGCCATACAGACGAGTTGTACACACAGGATGGCCGTTTTCAAATAGACGTCCTGCCGCGCCTGGCAAACACCTGTATTCGGGTCGCAGTATTCGCATTCCTCCGGACATCTCGAACATCTATAAAAATGATGGACCTTCGTAATTAATTTTGTTGGAGGAATTCTATTAAGTATTTTGAGTAATAATCCTTCCAATGCAGGAAAAGTTATTCCCTCGCCTTTACTGAAAGTATTATTTAGAGGTTCATATTGATTTCAAAAGATTATTAAAAAATGCAGCAAATTCTTCGGACCGGCTATAAATCATAAAAACACATGTTGAGTAACTTTATGTATGTAAAAGAAGGTAAAATTTAAAAATGTACAACATAAATTATTGATACAAGGCGTAAGCTTTACTTAAAATGACATGATGAAACAAAATTAGAGCTATTAAAGAATGATGAATGTGCGGCCTCAAATTTCGAAGGAAATTTACCTCAATCGCTGTAAAAACTAAAAGTCATTCCCCATCATTAAGGCGATCGTGCCGTGCGATTTATAATTTTCGTACTCAATATGTCAAGCGGGGCAAAAAGCGGATTGTGTTTCATGCTGAAAAGCTGAAAGGGTTCCGTAAAACAATACGATACCATGGTTTCGTGTAACTTTCATCCTCTGTATAATCAATCAGATGGGTAACTAACGTATAAAAAGCGACATTAGAGAGGAAATTTTATGCGACGAAAAAAAAAACGAGCTGAAGGGTATGAGACGTTTTCCTTACTACACGTCCGTCCCGGCTCCCGAGCCAGCGTAAAAAACTGAACTCGAGGAGTTTTCCAGGCCGGCGGATCCTTTGTTTGCTTGTCGTGTTTTTTTGCATTCGATCTTATATAGGTTTTTCGCGTTTTAGTTATTTCTAACGACTTGTTAGCTTTGGATTGCTCGTTTCTTTCACATCGCAGTTTTCTTAAATTTATAATAGTCAATTTGTAACTTCAATAGTATGCTTAGAGCCGGTTGCACGACTCTTTGATCCAGTGTTAACACCGTGTTAACCCCAGGATCAGAAAAATATCGACATAACACGGTGTTAACACAGGATTAACTAAAACGTGGTCGGCGAAGGATTAAACTGATATCAGCCTATTTTGTAGCGCGTTTTTCAAGTTTATTTGTATGTTTATAGAAACCAAAATAATAATACTGTGGAATTATTTTAGAACATGTTCGAAAAAAAAGGTTTTGTGCAACGAGAGAGGAGAGTTAGCACCGTGCCACAGTACAATGCAGTAGAAAAACTTCGAATAAACAGTACAATACCGTAGGAAAACTTCGAATAAAACCCTATGCTTTCTTGTCGTAGCTTTTCTGCTCGCGCAGGTGCCCAGCGCATCGAAGCCCTGTCTCCAGCCAAAATTTCGCTAGAGCGGGGACAATTCGAACGCTGTCCGACACTCTGCGAATGCTAAGAGGGAGAGGCGAAATGAAATGTAAAAAGTACAACTGCAGCTAAAGATGTAAAGTTGCAAAGCGAATGTCCCTCGTAACAGTCGGAGGATCGCTCCCTTGTGTTTAATGTTAGCGCGCCGGTGCTATGCGCACCGAATAGGAGCCCGTCTTGCCCTCGTTCGACACTAACTACGAGGAACAAAAAAATCTTGAGAGTTTCCCTACTGTGTATTATACTGTGACCGTGCTAACTTTGATCCAGCATCAGTTGACACCGAACTTGATCCGCTTTCGTGCAACCGGCCCATTGTGCGTTCATGTAATTAAATTACAGACCCGGGATAATTTAAGGCACCAACGTATTTGCCGCCACTGTATAAAAAAATTCACCGTCCGACAATTATCGAGTGGTGATCTACACGATCTTTCTATTACTCCCCGTTTGTGCATGAAATGAGATTTTCATCTGCCAAGCTACATTGAGTGAGGTGTAGGATTTTTGTAAATCGTGCCTTGATACCCGTTGCACACAGGCGCATTTCCCACCATAGAATTGGACGTCACCGGCATACACAAGGACGTCAGGCGTCCGTTTCACACGAACGCACGGTCTATGGCGCAACTGCGAGCTCTGCCGCACTGCATCACAACGTTCAACGTCCGGTAGTTACAGACGGGCTGTCGGGCGCAATTTATAACGTGCGTATAATACGTCTCGCTTATTATAGAAAATTCGGCTGGATATACAGGCATTTCGCATGGACATCAACGTTCCTGTTTTGCTTAGGGAGGTGGAAAAGAGGCCGCTGCTTTGGGACAAATGGCATGAGGATTTCAAAGAGAGGCTCAAGAAGAACATAGCATGGACCGAAGTATGCGAGGTTTTATTCGACGATTATAATAACATGGAAGAATCCCAACAAAAAATAAAGAGTAAGTGTAAAATGAGATATTTCATTTTGACAATAACAATGAAACAAACAATTGTTTATTTACTAATTTTTCCAGTGGTGGAGGCGACGTCGAAGTGGCGACACGTACGGGACAACTTCCTGCGTAGCGAGAAGAAGCAATTGGAAGCCAAGAAATTGGGGTTGAAACGAATCGCGCCGTATTTATATTCGAGGCAACTGCAATTTCTGAGGAAGACGTTTAAAATAGAGGGGCAGGAGGATCCCTTGACGGTGGACACGCTTCCGGAAGAGGATTCAACTCTTAACGCTACCGGTGACGAAGAGGATACGCTGTTTTTCGAGGAATTGAAACCTCTTCGATGGTCTCCGGTTTCCTCAGATTCTCGCGATTGTCAAAGTTCGTCGAAGAAGAGAAAGAGGAGAAACGATGCAGATGAGAGACTGGCAAACTATCAGGAAGGCGATACTCAAAAATTTGAGAACTACAACGACGACCATGCGTTTTTCATGTCTCTGTTGCCAATGGTTAAAATGTTAAATACTGATGAAAAATTGCAGTTTAGAATAGATGTATTGCAACTTTTAAAGAAATACAGAAATAAATAAAGGATTTTTGTTTTTTTTATCCAAACTGGCATTGAATGTAAATTCAATTTAGAATGAGCGGTTAACACAAATAAAATTTATACACTTTTCCCTCACATTTCCTACATTAAAAAAACGCCTGTTAAGTACGGCATATCAACCCAATTTTCCAATAAAGCGCTTCGTTTTTCACGCCGGGCAACGTTGCTATAAATGTATTTTGCAAGCCATTAAGTGCCTGACCCTACATCGTTGGAGAACGGATGCAAATTACACAGTTTGGAACCAGGCCCCACTTATTATCGATCACCACAACGGTGCTTTTTTGCAGGTACGAAAATACGCATAGAAGATTGGAAATTACAGAAAATAATAAATGCTATAGTTACGGATGTTATGTGAATATTTCAAATTCTTCGACCATTCCTTTACTATTACCATCATTACGTAGGTATCGCATTTATTTGGAATATGTAAATGGTAATAAATATAAAAAAACCTAACAAGAATTGTTTACAAATGAACAATTTAGTCGATGGTTAGATAATAAGACGAGAAAATATAGACACATGTACACATTTACTAAATAAACAAAGTCCACTTATTAAAACGTGATTTTCAAATAGATCGCCCGAAATATAAATGTAAAATTGCCTTCACTTCGTTTTGAAACACGCACTTCCAACCCCTATATTTAAATTCATAATAACGAAAAACACGTAGCCTCGACGACCTGTAATATTTTATCCTTCCAATAATTCGTTACAAGTATTTTTTGACTAGCTATTTTTCATTCCTGCCTTACTGACATTGGAAAGTGTTGAAATGAGAAAGGGTTCTGCATATACATGAGGGGTATTTGCTTCAGGCGCTGTTCTTACCAGGGTCTTTTATTTCTGGTTTATTTGCAACTACCAGCTCCGGCGAATCATTCACGATTTAAAGCTAAACTTACTTTTCAACAACCGCACAATTACGTTCAACGAATTAGACGATTTAAAGTTTTCATTGTAGACAAAATTTAGTTCGGGAAGTTTCGACTGTTACTAAAATAAAGGGATACTAATTCTGCTACTGCTAATTACTTAAACGGAACTAATTCTTCTCAGTACTCTTATAGACTATCTTTTTGTTTTTGGACAAAATTTTATATATTAAATATTTGTTAACAATATGAAAAAACTTACCGAACTATATCGATCTCTCCGGTTTCAGTGTCATCGATGGCCCAAGACAAGTTCGAAATTCCGTTGTGCCGGTAAAATCCCTGTCGACATATACATCGATAATTTCCCCGTTTTTCCACCGCTGGTCCATCCCTGACGCACTGAAACGGAAATATAGAGAAAGTTATTTTATCAGTTGTTTGTTACAGCCAAAATTTTAATTATTTCGTTTGGGCCTAAACATTTATCGCGGTTTTTTCTCGTTTATTCTAAAAATTGGAAAAAGTTTTTCGTTTAGTTTTGTAAACCTGCTATCGATTGTAAGGAGGAATAATTCTATTATCATTTACGATTTAATTCAATATCAGTTTTTTACTTCGATAAATTATATAGGGTGTAATTAAAAACACCTACTATTTTCTGGGCTTTACTGCTTCGTTCGGAAAGGTGGAAATTGATTTTCTGTCAGAGATTTCAAACGGAATGATATTTTGCATCTGAGGGAGTGTTCGAATTAGGCCTTTTTGATACGTCATGGGCGACGAGCATATTACGGATGCGAAATTTATCAAATCGGGATTTACGTGTGTAAAATGCTTTGATTCTGCACCCTATTCCCCAAAGTAACAATACCAACATTTTATTTTTTCCAATGAATTATTTAATTACCAAATAAAAGCATATGTATAATGATCTAAAATCTTTTTATAAGATGCAAAATGCAATAAGAAATCTGAAAAATATCGTAAATTATGTCGCATTAGATTTGCTCATTTGCAAGATTAATATTATGTGCCTAATATACATAATCACTGAAAATTGCTATAAACTGTAATACCTTTATGTTCAGGATTTTCAGTGCATCTATACAATTTCATCGTTTATTTGATCAATAATTGCGTACATTAAATACGTTCACTACGGAATACTAAAATCGTGATTACCTACTAAATGAATAGATAATAATAAATTGAATATATTCATGAGAGTAAATTGGATATTTAATGAATATTCACATTGATTATTGTGGAATATCAACATGCATTTAAACTACTAAACAGTTTAAAGAAAAAGTTCTCAACTATCTACTCAAAATTTAATAAAAAATGTATAAAGAGAGAAGGCGTACCTATACGAAAATTCACATGAATTTCAATAGGCTATAGAAACGTAGAAAAACAAAATCTCAGCACGCAAGGAAAATCCCTCGTTTTCTGCACCTAATTCCCGAATATTGAGGGATTCGAAAAATTGGACACGACAAACCAAGAAAAGTCTATTCGCAGCAGCGAAAATTTCATTCGCATTTATCGCTTCACGTAAAGTAGGTATCAGTTTTATATTTTTGCAGAAACACACACGACATTGTCAGGTATTAAATTTTATGCGTCGGTTCAATTTTAAGTTTTCCGTTTTATCACCTACGCTACTCCACATCTTTATGCGTCCTTTCACTAAAGCGACGTAAAATCAACATATTATCTCAGATAGCAGTCGCTTCCCTCCTGCGTCATTAAACTTATATTATATAGGCTTTTGATAAAGTAGTCCATTTCATCACGGATTTTTTTGGCGAAGAAAATCGGGAAAAACGGTAATAAGAACGCCGTCCAAATTGATGAATGGTTTTATAACGTACCCATGCACGTAGGTTAATGGATAGTAACACATTTAGGATAAAAGCAAAAGCGTATTTCCCGAAATGGTTGGTAATCAAACCGTAAAAGCACATCATGTTATTATAGAATAACGTTTCGTCTAACTAATGAATTCGGGTAGAAAGAACTGCAAAATTTGTTTAGCTGGAAAATGCTGGATATCACAATTTCTATTGGAATTAATTAGAGGGGCATTATTAATTCCGACCGAACGAGTTGTTCCGAAATTCATAACGAATTTTATTATATCCGCGGAAAAGCCTGTAGGCGTGCAAACCGACGCCCCGCCGTCGATTTTTGCGCGGCCACGTCCGTGCCGTCGCCCTTATTTACATTGTTTCCGCTCTTTAACCTCGCCCCGACCATTTTTCGAGTTTTATACTTCGGAGACTCTCCGGCCCGTCAGGGCCCGTTAGAGAAACGTGCCCGTAAATCTCATAAAAAATAATATTTGCGTTCGCGGGAACGAACGCCACCGAAACGAAAGTCGAAGGCGACGGCGCCTCTTGAGGTTTTCCAATTCAATCTACGCAAAATAAATGTCAACATATGCGACAGGTATATTTAGAGAACAGACGTCCAATTTGTCAGTTTAGTGTAAATGTTGTCGTTTACTCGCAATTTATCTCTCACGCGCATTGCGCATTGTGAAAAACTTGAATGTAATTTTCATATATCTAGGGAGTAATGAAACTTTTGGTATGTTTTGAACAGATTAAAGTAAACTAATTCAAATTCCAGATAGTTAGTAATCAATTAGTAAATTTCTGTTGAAATGAAGAAAACACCTGCTTGGAAATAGAGAAATCTATCTGAAATTGATCCAAGGAAAAAGCTTTTAGTTTAATGGTTGCTTTTTACACTCGATGAAAATGAACAAAACATCAGCCTCCAGTCTAGGATGCTGGTCATTTTATTTTTCTTATATCTCATTTATAGCAATCGTTTATTTCATTTACCGTAATTCTATAGTTTATAGTTTCAACTAAAAATTCTTAATATAAGCTAACTTCATCTAAAAATTTCCAGTAAAGAAACAATAAAAATATCCTGGGAAATCCAATTCGGTTTAGTCAGAAATGTGGTAAAATTAAATTAAGGCACAAATGTTGGCTATGTAACATGCATATCTGCATATTGCACGTTGTAGGAATTCCTGCAGTAGCTAAAAAGATTTCATCCCGCTATTTTAAATTCAATTCGAACAACAAAAACCTCGAAAGAGGAAAACCAGGAGCATGCAAGGAACCAAGCTTTTATAAAATTTATGCTCCATTCTCCGGCACATTTCTATGTGTTTATTTTATGCGAATTAATTCCTATCTCACCTGCCTACGAACAAGTTTGTTATTTTACGCCGAAATGATTGTTTATAAATTCATAAAATACCCATATCATATCGCATCCGAGTTAGAAACACGGTATAATTAGTTCCACACAAGGCATAATTAAACAATTCTCGACAGATCCAAGCATCGCACAATAAAACCCACCCTCCGCCGGTGTCTCGTCTCGCTATGCGAAATTTTGACAATGTATGCTTTAAAACCCATCTGCGCTAATGCTCATATCAAAATTTAGGACAGGAAAGGCTCGAGCCTTTTGTCCTCTCGCCCAGACGATTGAAATCGCCCTAGTTTGATCCACATTCAAATTTTATGCTACAAAATTTATACTATTTATATATTTTTTTTGTAAAACATACCTAAATGAATACTCATTTCTCTATAAGTAGATTTTTATAGATGCAAGTTTTCTATGGGTTTCTAATACAGTGTATTAGTAATTTTATATTTGTGATTAGAAGTTAATGGTAAATCCGTCCGACTCTGCAATCGTTGTTGAACATAACGTTTGTAACGTAACTAGGTGAGTTACAAGACGACGACACGTGTAATATACACTAAATTATTCCCATCGCTGTTCATGTGCGTTAGATATTGCGGCTCGTTACGTTAATATTTGATCGGATTATAGTTGTTCGAATTGAATTGTATTCCCGTGGAGATGGCTCAGAAACATCGGTCGAAGACTATTGCCTCGATATTAGCTTCATATAAATTTCCAGAACTTTATTAGATATTAATTATATTGAAGATCAACAGCGAAGTTTAGCTCAAACTTCCAATTAATCAATTAATTATAAATTAGTATAATTGATTTCTGTATTATCTATACACGATTGGGGGACTTGATAATTTGGTATTTATAGAACATACCTGGGTGCTGGGCTGATGGCAATTGTGCGTACCGTTGAAGATCTCTGCGAGCGCGCCATTGCATTGGTCTAAATCCACCTCGAGGAATATACCGAGCGTGGAATCGACGGTGCGCCAGGCGTAGGAGTAGACCCACGCTCGTAGAAAATTGCAGTCTTTGAAGGCTCTCCCCCAGCCGGTTTTGGTGCCGTTCAGGGAGTCCCAGAATACGTCCGTTTCGACCGTCCGATTCGGGAATATTTTCAGTCTCTTCGTCACATTCAATCCCAACAAACGACGCCCTTTGGACGCGTAGAGAATGCCCAGGACGCCGCGGCGCTGCAGGACGTCTCTAGATAATTCGGAAAATTTTTCCAATAATTCTCCTTCCATGGATTCCATTCGCTTGTAGACGTTTTCCATCAGTGTTTCCACGTCGACGATCAGTCCGGTTGGAACGGTTGGGCGAGATAGAAAACGAGCCTGGCAGAAGTCATGGTGCGATGATTTTTCCGCGTGCGCTGTCGATAGAATGAGCAGAAGGAAGATGAGGAGACTTTCATTCATTCCGTCATTATTTCAGGTTTGACGAGTGCGAAGCTAGAGAGACGACCTAGAAATTAAATCAATAGTATTAGTTCTAAATTGCAGAGGTCCTTATTCGTTGTTTTCATAAGCAAACATTAGAGGAGAGAGCCATTTCTAACAATCACAAAATTTAGTTCAGTTTGATTACAGTAACAACTTAATATTTGCCGTATTCTGGATTGCCATTATTTGGATAGATTCGATGCAAATTCGAGTTCCTCTCCAAAGGATCGCTTTAATCACATAATGATGACAAAATAGGAAAGGGAGATCGTGAATTGCTTATTTCGGACCAATGGGTATATATCAAGATATCCTGAATTAACATACCAGTGAAAAGCTACTGACGCGTGAGAGTTTTAAAGGAACGTTTTAAGTGTGTGATTTAATTAAACAGGATAATTTAGGACTATGAATAATTTAACTTAAATGAATATTATTACAGTATGAATTCAATGATTACGTTGGTTGAATAAACAAAACTGGAAAGTATTTTTTTCACTATTCCTATATGAAGCGAGTAAATTTTTATGGACATGTTTTCAAATCTGTACGGAATTGCACGGAAAGTTTAATATAGGAACATTGTTGTTTACTTAGCATTAATGAGAAAACTGCAATATGCATTCACTAGAAAAAATATTATACCTATAACTGCTATATGGAAATCGATGAATCGAAATACGGAACGATTTGTTATTCGACGGAGTTCATAACCAGAGCGAAGTTTATATAACAAGGCCTGAATTATTTACGATCGAAACCTACGCAAAAAAATTGGAATAAAAAAAGGAAACCGCATTACATCGAAAATGGAAAACCGATATTTTAATTACTTAACTGTTGGTTTAGGTGTCCATAAATATACGACGTACATTTCAAAGGAGATTAAAGTTAATGAAGAAATTAAGGAAGCTAAATAATCCAGTAATTTGAATTTAAGTAGATATCCGAACAAGAAAGCTCCCGTTTTCCATTACTAATTACAAATTGATGTGTATCAGTGAAACGTAACTGGTCGGGTTAAATGAGCTTCTAATTGATTAATCATACGATGTATTGATTTTTCATCAACGTATCTTATATTATCCCCTAATTCCATCAACAGATGGAAGTAACACAATATCTGAAACTTTATAGGTACATATAAAAAAACGAACTCATACAAATCATTCTTCCTTTATTATTTGCATTAATTTATAACATAAACTATTTTACTTTCTTTCCTTGTTTCGCTAATAAAATTTAAACAATAGTAGTGATAAAACAAACAATGACCGTTTTAAATCCATCGAGTTACTAACTACACTGGCGTTTGAAAACACAATTTTGCACCAGCAATAATTTTTTTACATACATATCTTCTCATTTTGATTATTCGTTTGTCTTATATGCAAAAAATTTATTTCAGGACTTTTCCGAATAAATTTCGTATTGCCCGAAGCTAAAAACGGAACTAAACGCGCGGTTTTTGTACATTAGTTGGATAACGTCGAAAGAGATCACATGAAAGCAGATATTGGGCTATAAATGTTTGATTTATTTTCCATTAGAAGCCTGTATAGTATTACATGGTTTTGCGTTTGCAGATGATAAGCGCTTGTTAAGATAATTTTCGAAATTCGTTTGATATGCATGTGAACTCAATTAAAAAGCTTAATAATGTTGATTTAGTTATTAGGTAAAAACTGTTTCGCTAAGAAGGGCATTTCAATAGTCGAGTAAATTACTCGTATACAAAATATTCAATATGTACTGCGATATTGGCATGTTAATAAGGCATCCAATAAATTTTAATTCCCTGCTTGAAATAAATATTCTGTTAAATTCAAACAATTCGAGGTATGCGAATCGATTTCTGGAATTATCAAATATTCCACCTACTTGGAGATGGTCGGGTAAATCCATATTGACGTCGGCTTCAGCGGTGTTTGACTATTTAGTCAACTGATAATTAAATTGATAACGTATTGAAACAATGGCTGTATACATACCAGTATCCTTTTATGTTCGGCGGATCGGTCTTAATTTGGAAATAATAAATAGCAATCAAACCAGTTGTGACGATAGTGAAAATATTGATGTTAGATTTTCATATTTCTTTGGCAATCTTCCAAATCGATGAATATAAAAAACAGTGTCGAGAAGACGGTTTTGAGGTAAAAATTCGATTTGCGAAGCTTAGTGAAATACCTAAATTTATACACTATTATAAATACCTACTTATATTTTTCGATACCAAACATAATTATTTATTTAATAAGGTTAAAATAACATGTGTGTTTGTTTAAGTACTATATTACATAAGCAAAATTTTAAGTTAAGCCATTATATTTAATTACATTGTAGGCTTCTTGAATTGTTATCACGAAAATTGTTTCAATCATAAATATTTCTGGTGCAGATTTTTAAAACAAACTTATTGTAATTCAGTTCATACATTTTCCGGTTAAAATAACGACATGAATTTAATAACGATTCAAGGATCCCGTTTTAGAAAATATAGCACAGTTATTTCAACTTGCATTTAACATTTTAAAGTTCGTATAACGTTATAACGACATTAAAAAAATACGTAGAAACAAAAATTGTGTGATTAAATTTCCAGCAGTTGTTCATTAAAATCTGTTTTCGCTGCTTTGAAAACAATTCGTAACTCAAACGCATTCAGTCGTTAGAATTTTCTCATTTCATCCGCACGAAAAAGGCGCTCCTTTATGAAAAGAAGTAAACGGCAAAGGGTTAAATTAAAAGTGTTCTAGTACATTGCCGAGTCTCTTTTTACATGCCCGTTTTATCACTTTAACAAATTTCGAGATCTCCTTTGAGTTTGTACAGCTTTATGCAAGATTTCAAGAAGCCGTTTTTTCGGTATTTTTGTTAAAATAGTGACATAATAATTAAAACTTTCGATATATTTTGAAATTCTCAATAAATACTTGCAATTGTCTGCTACTAAATAACAAACAAATAGTAATAATGAGGCGACAAAGGCCAGTCAGATGTAGATATTAGTTTAATTCGTAGAGTAAACGTTTTTTTAATTATCGCTTTTAATGTAAATTTAAATAGAGATATGCTCGTTTGCGTCTAACAACTTTGTAATCATTCTCGACAGGTTGTTTTGATGGTACAAACATACCGTTCTTAGTAAAATATTTGCCATTTTCAAATGCTTCATTTCACAGGAATCCTCATACATCCAGGTTATATAAACAAAATTAATTAGAATATTAATGTAGCGAATTTAAAGAGAAGAAATGTCAAAGTGAAAATAAACTTTCCACAAACAATTTGTTATGGATTATAGATAAGCGTGTAACCGATAGTTCGAAAATCTTCAATTCCAACGTTATTTATTGACCACGCTATGAGCTCGCTAAATGTACGCGATAATGGATTGTTTTCCAGCGCGACCGAAGACAGATATGTTTATGCTGTATAACCTGAACACCAGCTCTTGATTTATGAACGTTTCTTTTCCAAACGCTCGTATTTTACTTCAAAAAGCGATTCGAATGTCAATCGTGTTTGCGTATTCTTCAGCATTCGGAAAATCGAAAAATATTAATAACGAAACACATTAAAGCCGGCGCTTGGCGTTTTATTTTTTATTCGTTCGCAGTATTGGAAATGAATTTCCACGATAATGCTCCGGTGATTCGAAAAGACCACAGACGCAGAATATAAACAGGTTTGAGGGAGCACCGTGAAAAGATTTGGGATATTGGGCAATTTTGTATAATGCGGTGTTCATAGTATTCAATTTTGTATTCGAATGCGGTCTAAGATTTCTGTGAATTATTATTACCTTAATGTTAAAAAAGTAGCGTTCTGAAATTAATATTTTAAATGTTAAACCAAAATAGACGATTATTTAGAATATGGCACAATATTTTCTAATCAAGGTTCAAGATTGAAAGTGCATTTTTGATTGCCCCAAATTTGGTTAAGTGTTCAATAAATACGCAACAGAAGATTCATAAACTATTTTCATTAAATATGTTCCAGCGCAAAGGGGACTCAAAATTTTATTTTTAACTGACACATGTAGGTCCTAACATAATATTCATTGAGATTACAAATTGTGAAAAACGCGTTGTTTATTTTTAAACTAATCGAAGATAATACGGCCCGATTCAATGATTTATCTAATCCTGCAGCGCGTTATTTTAATTTAATTATCGTGTCATTTTACGATATACCTATGCATACAAACGATTAATATTCGGTATCGTCCTTGATAGCAAAAAATGCAATTTTATACATTAAATTTAACGAGGCATTCTTGCAAGTGCTCTTTGGAAATTCTTCTATCGAAACACGAAACGCAGGTAATTAATTAAAAACTTGCATGACGTCGCGACGTTAATTAAGTAAACAAATTTCAACGAACGGAATGGATTAAAATTTCAATTTTCCATGGAGAAATTGCACCCATCGCATGTTCAGTTCGCGTTTTACATGAAATGTAAAGACAGAACTTCATCAAGTTCGCTCTCATTACAAACCAGGGTTTCGATCTCGCGAAAAGAGCAGTCCATTCATGCTTTCCCACTTGACGGGGGTCTCGAAAGCGAGCATAAAAGGAACGCTTTAAAAACAGGTGAAATACTCACTTGACGGTGGATGAAGATGACTGAAAAGCGGGAGTCTCACTCTTGCAGGTCCGCGATCGCCGCCGAGCCGACCATCTCGAAAACCACGGAGAAAACTAAAAAAAAGTTATCAGACCGCTGCTGCGAAACACGCTATTATCACTCTCAGGAGGAACGGGCCGTGCACAACGCGCTATCTCCGCGCGTTGAATTAAAAGTGTGCCGAGAGATCATCTGGGAAAGCGAGGCATGGAAAAGCGCTGCGCAATCGACCTCGCGTCGCCATGGTTACCGGCGGGAAAACGCCAATTAACGGGAAAACATTGAAAGTTTTGTAAGGAGCACATGATAATCGGCGATTTTTTTCTTCATCGGGTCGTTATTCACACATGAGGAATTTTCTTGGTAATGAAGTGTTTTTTTCTTGTCAGACGAATAAGTGGCGTAAACAGGGGAAATTTATTTCTTGATTTGTATAAAATGTCGGTCAATATTTTTTTGTAATTTAATTATAATCTAGGTAAATTTTTTGAGACAATTCTGCGAGACAATTTAAAAAGTTATTTTAAAAAGAAGGTTTTATTGGCTTTTTAACATTGTATCTCAAGTAGGGTTTGTTTGTTTCTAAAATTGTTAGATATTGATTTGGTAATTTTTTATACACCATTGCATGTACAAATATTATTTATACTATTGGATAGTATTTTTTGTAAGCTTTTTAAAGCCGCCAAAGCACGCCCTCGAATTCATAATATTGGTGGGGTAATTGTAGAACTATTTTCCTAAATTTTTGGTAATTTTTTTAAATAATATATGGCATTAATAGTTAAACTTGTAGATATTCCGTGTTTAATTACACCTATAAAATCAAACGTACAACAATGTAAAATAAGAAAACTTTTTTCAGAATTTTTCAAATTTATTTCTTTTCCCTGCAATTTGAAAAGATAAAAGTAGTAGTAGTTTTACAAATTGCCATTGAAGTGCTAGTTTAGTATCCCAGTGCACTGGAAATACCTTATTTCAACTTACCTGACCTTTGAAAAAGGGCAGGTAATTATGATTATTCAAAAAGTATCTGAAAAACGGAAACCACTGACACCGCTATTGCTAGTGAAATTTGCAAAATTGTTCCGTGATTTATGTCAGGCGAGGCCATAATTTTGTAGTAATCTTTCATCATTTGCTAAAACACTTTAGTTTTTATCGTCATTTTCATCATTCATTCATCATTTTCAAATATTCTTCATCCTACCAAAATTATTCACAAATTTGTTTAATGAAACTAGAAGTTAATCGAGTTTAACTAGAATTACGTTTTTTCATAAAAGCACTGCAAATAAATGGCAGTTTTTGATTTCAATTTTCTTAAATATACAGGGTGTTAATTAATTGAATGCTAATACTTCAGGTTATGAATATTTGGATGATTTTAAGAAGAAAAGTTTATGTTAATGTATCTCCTAAACCTCTTAGTTTCGAGTTACAGGGTGTTAAAATTTTAGAAAAAACTTTTCTGTCGTAATCAAAAGTTCATTTGAGACTGCTTTTGATTTTTTGTTACTATCTTACTAGAAACTCGAATTACTGAACCTATGTTATCCCATTTAAAAATACCTTCAAGTGGCGCCCTTAAGCTTAACAAGTCAAAGTTAGCTATTTATTTTTTTTTTAGTTGGGGTAGGTGGTTCCTAGATGGTTGATGGGGGTGAGTTCTCTTTTATGTCATTTTAGTTCCCTCTTTCTTCCTAGAAACGTTGTTATGCATTTTTTGATACCATCTTTCGTTTATGATACATAGCCCATTGTAAGTTTTTAAATTGTCACACTGTATAATACCGTACCAAGTAATAAAACATGATTAAATAACAAAATTGGAGAATTGGTTATGTCGCTTTGCTGCCACAAGTAGGTAATGTAATGATATATAACTGAATTAATTCATTATTAAGTTATTACTGTAACCACAAAAGCATTGTGAACTTAGGAAAATTGACTCAGTTTTTGTAATAAATGGTCATTTCCGAATCAATAATCGAATAAATAGTCGAGTGCATTGAATATTTCAAACAAAAATAGCTTTCAATTCGTGTATCATACATTTTATAGTACCTACTTACTAATTTAATACTTTCACACAAGAAAATAAATTATTGAAGAATATTGAATGAAATGAATTCTTCTTCAAATTATCTTTTCATGTATTTTTTCCACATTGATAGAGAAATTTAACATAAAAGGATAGTTGTTTGTAGAAATCACAACACAAAACAAATCAACAAACCATAAATTTAATCTTTAATGTATAAATACTGGTATAAAATAAAACAAATCTATCATTATTATACAACAATCTAAAATTTGCAATTTTTAATTACATGCAAAATGTAACAATGTTATGTATAAATATGTATTGTTTTAAAAAATTGACCACTATATTAATGAAGAGTGAAATAAGAATGTTTTACTGTTGCAACAAGTTCGTAAAGCGGTAATTTTTGAATTCTGTAACATTTCTACAATTTTCCGTAGAGCTTTATAGGGCACCTACAAAAGATGCCCACTGCATTTTAAAGCTCATTTTACTTTTGATTTTGTAGCATATACTTCATAAGAGAGCTGTATCTCTACGGCTAAACTACCAGATACTAATGTTATAGTTTATATTTAAATGATATGCCAAATAACAAGGAAATTTAATTGTTAAAATATATGCAATATTAGGTTTGTTTCAACAAAGGCACGTCTTTACGACTGCGCAAATATACTTTATAATTACTACAACAAGTGGCCTTTGTCAAAATTCTAATTCTTGTATTGTCTGCATATACAAATTCCAATTTAGAGAAAATTCCGCTGACTTAAATACATAAATGCCTTTAAAAGAACACCGTATCCTCTGACCAAGCGCCGCACAATCTGAATTCCTCCTTGCTCAATATAGCCCGCATAAATTGCGGACATTTCGCCGAATATACAGCCGGTTTCACGGCATTCGTTCGCAAAACGAACTCCTTAGCCGTAGGTACAGGAAACGCGTTATTAACCGTACCCCTACCGGCCTCGTCGAATTGCTCCCCAGCCATCAGACTGGACATCCTCTGCGCCTCCCCGAACATCGATACGATCCTATTTCCGATATCCGACTTGCTCTTGTTCTCCACTCGGACCTCCTTGCCCATCGCCAATGCAACCACCACATCGTTGATTTCCCCGTTGGCGCTCCTGGACGGGTTGAGCTTGTAGTGCAGGGAGTTCATTTGGGACACGAGCATCTCGAGAGCGGACGCTTCGTGGATGAGCCCTTCGAAGCGACGCGGCTGCGGCTTGGATTCCCGCGTGAGGACTTCGCCTTTGCGAATCAGATTTGATAGTTTCGCAGGAAACTCTGCGAGATCGGAGGCCAGCGATTCGCATTCCTCCATCAGCCTGTAGATGGCGGCGTGGGACAGCACCGGAATCACCAGCTCGCAGATCTGCAAAGGTAATGTATTTCCTGCATTCATAAAATAATTGCAAGAGGAGAATTGTGAAATTTTATAGATTCATAGAGGAATTGACCGCAAGGTTAATTGTCGAGTCTCTTTAAATTTTTGTATCTTATAGGCTTAGTAAAATTTCATGTTGCGAAATTCAAAGTTCTTCGTAACCGTTATGTAAAGGAATTCTTGTAATTTACACACACCTATTATAGTTATTATTATTAGAAGATTTAACCTTTCTCTAAATAATGTTTAGTACTGTGTAAATTTATTTTTAGAAATAAAATTAACTGTAATTATCATGAAATTATAGCGTATATGTATGTATAGCAACCACATGTCACCTATCTTAAACGGAGTTTTTCAAGTATTTCTTACTCTTTAATAGGAATTACTATCTGTTATTTATACAGGTTGTCCCGCATAAGAACTGACCGGAGCCGGGCGCGTAGGAGAGCCTAAAATAGGTTGTTTAACCCAATTTAACTTAATACGAAGTTAGAATCCTGAGGAGTTATAGGCCTTCAAAGTGGAGTTAAAAAATTAAAAAAAACAAAAAAAAATTAACAGAGTAATACTCAAACTTAAATCGATTTGGTATACGTTATTAGTATAGTAAGAGCTTTAATCGATAGTTAGGAGAAATTAATTGATCAATTTTAAACAGTTCATGAGGGATTACGCTCCCTTAAAATGTTACAGATTTTGTTTACCAGATGGATGATTTAAAAAATGATTAGTTCATTTTATAGATAATTTAATTTTAAAACTTTTTGTATCTGCTAATTATTGCCGTCTCAGTAATTAGGTACCTAATTACATATTTCAATATTTTTGTTGTTGTTCAGCTATATGTAATTTTGTGATTATTTCAAGCCAATGAACATATTTTCCAGAAAATTAAACAGTTACGCAATTATTATGACAAACGACCACCCATTTCCTCAAAGGTACACTTTCACGGTTTCCCTTATTAATTTCGACACGGCACTTTCAAATGTCTCGTTAAATGTTTTTAATAATATTGGATCAATACATCAATGCTAATGAGCTAATAAAAATTCGGTTACTTGGCGTAGGCCTGCAATTCGTAAATCACAAGCGTACATAAAAAGTGTAGGCCGTCCGGTGAATTGATTTTGAAGATGTCAATCGTGATTAAGTTGTTTTGAAAGTGATTGTCATCACCGTATTAACTCGTTTCAATGCCATTTAACAGAAATACCTACTGTGTAATCCAGAATTTAATTTGATCCTGGAGCTGCTTTAAAATATATTAACCATACATACATGTAAAGATCACATACCTGTGATACACTTCTTAAATCCAGAAATTGCAGCACTTTCTCCGCTTCTCTGGTGTCATCAAACAGCCTCTTTTGTCTATGGGCAGGAACGGGCTTGGCGGACAGCCACATTTCCGACCAAATGTTATCTTCGATGAGCATCCTGGGACTCAAATGGCCGGCCTTTTGACCCCACTCGTCTAGTTTATCCTCGTCCTCGATCCAGTCTCGAGGAGAGTACCAGCGAATGAAGTCTTCGATGGCGGAGCCCGGATTGGCGGCTTTGAAGGACTCCATGTCGGATAATAGAGAGGCGCTCATTATTCTGGCCCTGAGCTCCATTGCTTCGGCGTTGGAGCCAAGCTGTAGCAAGACATCGGTGTCTTCTTCTAGCTGGTCTTCGGTTTTTAAAACAGGCTCTTGGGTTACGGGAATGTAGAGGGGATCGCCGGTTTTGATGAGCTTCAAATTGCCGAATTTGCTCAGCCTTCCTACGGGTTGGTTCCACAAAGAGAGTTTCTCCTTGGCTTTCTCTTCAACGATCTTTTCTGAACAATCGAAGAATTCTTCATCGTCGGTGGAGGAATTTTCGGCGGAATCGAAATTGACAAGCGCATTTTCTCTGGCGATTTTGCGATCGATGCAGCAATTGAGCATTTGCAGTTTTTGGTTGAGAAGGCATGTCCGAAGGTCCGGCAAACCCGGTGATAATCTGAAATTTAAGAATGAGAAAATATGTAAATATCGTGAGTATTGCAGATGGAGGCCGAGCCCGTTTTTGCGAAATTCTAATAACGCCTTTCGTCTGTAGAATTGATCTACATTAATTACTGTTCTCAAAAAAAAGATATGCGTGCAAGTACTCGAAGCATGCAAGATTGTATGCAAACCATGCGAGTTTCCGTTTCATAACCTCTCCGAGAAACAAATAGAGGTTTTTTCGTTCGGTCTAATTTTTATTTTTTCGCTTAATGTATGTAAATGGCTCGTAGGCGTTTTCACTTTCACTTAAAAAAAGACGATGGGAAATTGTGAATTGACAATTAGAGATTACTGAACTAGATAGAAAAAAAAACATTTGCTCCTTTCCCGTTTCAATTTTTTTATTATCTACCTCATACATAAATACCTACACTCATTTCTTTTTAAATTTATCTCGAACCGTAAAATTACAATCTTTTAGTTCGATCATCTATGTGGTTTCGACTTTTGACGAAAATACATATTAGGCTATTATTTACACAAAAAGATCCGCAAAAATAATTTTTGTCGGAATAATCAACCACAGGAACTTGTTATATACGCTCGACTTGACGCCAAAACGAGGACCTGCAACTTTTCGAACGTTTTCGTGCCAAGTGGAGTAGAAGGTGTATATGTTTTTTCGAAATATTTTAAGCATGATTTAACGTAACAGAGAAACGTAGAAACATCAAACGGATTTAAGATCCGTTTTATTTAATATTTATACTGATATCTAGTAAAATACCATCTTTCTACTTTAATGATAAAAACATGTCCTAATAATTTGATATCCCGAATTATTATTGCCAAAGGAAATTACACAAGTAGAGCGAAAATTTAAATTCCTTAAAGAGATTTCTCAGCGATCCCGTGCAATTTTACTGCAAATTCCCACAGTAATAAATTACTATTCAACACTTATTGTTTTACACAACTGCTTAATAACGAGCAAACGTTACATGAAAACCTTTAAAGAGAAAATACTACTTAGGTAAACAAAGTATTCGTAAAAATTGAAAATATATAATAATATACTAGTAGTTTATTGTTATTGCATTTCAATGTATTTCCCAATACCTAGTATATAGATATCGAATTAATTGTTATTAATTTGAAATTTTAATTACTATCCAAGTATCTTTGCAAACATTACGAACGCTTGTAAAACGTACAAACGTGTTTAGTGCATTTCGTTATTCGATTTTACAGTTACCTACATTCAAGGAAGAAAAAACGTTACTTTACTCTTAACTGAAAGCCGACATGTGTTTACCTCACGTGTTCCATATAGACAGACATTTTTTTACAACTTTTGGAACTTTCATGATCGATTGGTACTCGATGATGCAATTAATTGGCACACTTAATTACGAGTGACACGCCTGTTATCCATAGTATGACCGTGAGTCACATGTAGATTTAGCAAAGAATTTTGTTCTTGCTTATCGAGCTCTGAATACCAAACGAGCGTGTGAAAATGTATCAATGCAGAAATTGATTTCTTCCTTTAATTTAGTATTTTCTGCGCATAGTTAATTCGAATGGATTTGTATGTAATCACGGCAAATCTAAGTAATTATTTACAAAAAAAGTTAGATTAACATCTAAATTAAATACGAGTGAACGTAACCGAGAAATTTATAATACCTGTAAACGCAAAATTTCACTTTTAAAATAGATTTATAAATCAAATTAATGTATTAGATAAACATATAATGTTGTTTCTCACCGAATTTTAAAGACACTCCTGCAAATTTCTCTGTATTTTACTCAATAATTATTTATAGATTCGTGAAAAAGATTGAAAATTAATGAGTTTAAATTTCTAGTAGAGTTTCGACAACTTTTTGGAGTATCTATTTAACAAGCATATTTAACTTGCCGACCATTTATCAGTTTATTAACTATTCTACTACTAATTACAGTTTACAATTAAAATCAAATTAAAGAAAGCGTTGATACATATAAATATAAAATTTTACAAATTTACAATTACGATCTATTATCACGTACAAACTAATGGTAACAATGAAACTATAATAAACGTAGCCATCGAATAACTAGTTAAATACTTTACTTCGTTTTGTAGAAAGCTAATTCATGAAATAAATTCACACTTTCTTCACTAAAAAATTATTGTTAAACTAATTGAAGTAAATGGTGTCTTAATTACTTTCAAGAGCAGAAAATGTCGACTTTTGTAACAAAGGAAATTGATAGTGTAAAAATAACATACAGGGTATTTTTTAATGCAAAGACTAATTTTCAAGCATAAAAACATACATATTTGTATAAGAGTTTATTTTTCTGTTCTCAATTGAGATACACACTCCAGTTATAGTAACTTGGTGGATTAGTGATAATCGTGCGATCAATGACGTGACCAACAACGATAGAAACAAAACTGTATTTAGCAATTAATCCATTACGTTTCTTCGATATCGTCCCGTAGCGTTTCCAGATAAAAATACGAACCGATGCTGCAAATAGTCGTCTTTCAATTGTACCGTAAAAATAACTGTCTTCTTCAGATTACGATGGTGGCGAGAACCTGTTATTCGGTACCTGTGACACAGTGATATTGACTAAATTAGTCGAATCCGTTATTATTGCTTTTAAGATTTATCCAATAGAGAGTAATATGCTACGCATTAATAGGAATCGATAAGAAAGTGTGCGCTTAAATCGGATGTTTGTCCTATCAGGATAAACTTGAAAGTAAAAAATATCTAAACAAAGCATCATAAAATACAAACCTTCCTTTTGAATCATTAAAATCTCTGTGTGCGCACACACGACAACTGCAGTTAATAAAATTTCACGCGAACAATAACCTAATCTCGAAAACATAAGCAAACGAATCTGATATTGACTCGGCAGACGGCAAATAACAAATATAATAAAACCGTTAGCACCACAACTGTTTTCCTTTGTATACAGGATCAACTTCCATGAGAATGAAACTCTTTTTCAGATAATCAAATTGTTAGCCAAGCAAACATGTCTGTTTATGCCCGGCAGGAACGCACCGAACAATATCTATCATTTAACCGCGGCATAATAATTAATTTAATAACAAAGTCAAGATAAAATTCCAGATTATAGTTATAATATGCTCAACGAGCTTTTTACCTGACATTTATACAACATTGTTTAACGTCTGAGTCATGATCTTGGTTGAATTGCAATGCACATTTTTAATATTAAGAAATTGTCATAGGTAAATTAAATGTCGCTAAACGAAAATTCTAACAAAAAACTCCAATTATTTTTAATAGTGTACCATGATAATAATATAGTAATTGCATGCAATTTTCTGATAAAATGATGCATTTTTACTATTCCCATTTTCTCATGTTGACCCCCTTTGTTAAAAAATTAGGTTAATGCTTGCTTCAAGGGCATTTCAACAAATAATTTGTAATGCTAATAAGTATTCTGTTTTTTTTTTCGTGTCACAAATTATTTAAGTGCCGGCTCGAGATTATTAATTATAATTTGAAATTTACCGTATTTCGGTACGAAATAGAACGTAACTAGACGAAAAATCTCGTCTAATTTGAGAATTCATAATATCTCTGCTCACATGACCTATTGTTTTAGATGTAATGTATCTCCACACGAAAGTTATTATTATTAAGTTAATTTTTTTAATGGTTGATTTATACAAATAACAGTTAAATGAACTTTAAAGTCTACGCATACTTAAACAATATTGTAAGTACAATGAAACTCATTGGCAAATTAAACCTCTGTTAATATAATATCAATCCTGATATGACACAATGAGGGCCATTATATAATCTCATATTCAAACGTTGAATTCTTAAGAGAATTTTGGGTTTGAAAGCGAAAGATTGCAGTGTCTCGATACAAGTTTTACTAGTCACTCTATTTTACCTTTTGATACGAATTGATTAAATTCCACACCTTTATATTTCGCGTGAAAGTTAAAGTATCCGATATCATTGCATAAGACCAGATAAATCACGGTAACGTAATTGGTACTCATTAATTTGAATCTGAATTATGCGTCCGAAAAACATAGAATACCTAAATTGAAATCTTAGTAATTATTTTTTCAAAATAATTAGATGTTGTCGGTTATTAGAGATTTCTAAAACAAAACGGTTTCAAAGGTAAAAGTTAACAAATATTCATAAAACTAGCATTGAACGGAGATTTACGGAGTATTACAATTAATTAAAAAACTTACAACACAAATTTAGCAACCTAAAAATTATTTTATTATGATGATGCGAGTATTAGAAATATATTTAAGATGACCTTTTACGTATGAATTACAAAAAATCTGTCGGTAGAGTTCAATTTAAAAAACGTTTCGTCAAAAATTTCCAAATAATAATTTTTAATTGGAACCATATTAGATATGAAATTATAAACAATATTGGACTGTTATTCAACAATATACAGTTTACTTTGGAGAAACAAAATATCCAATTAAAGCGTAAGTAATTTTTAATTCAAATCACATGTGTAGAAAAAAATTTTCAATCAATTTCCGGTCGATAAAGCGTACCTGCCATAACACACGGATCAAGAATTAACCTCAAATCGAAAGTGTAACACTCTGCAAGTGGGTTAAGAAGGGCATGCGCGCACTGAATTAAAAAACAGGTGAACGGTTCGAATTCGTTTCAACGTTCAACCTCCATGATCAGTATTCGACAACATCATTAAAGTTTTGCTTCGGAATGAAATCGTTCCGGTCGTTCACCTCGTTTTATTCCGAAAGAATGAACGTCGAAAAGGCGTTTTTTACCAATTCGTTTTTTTGCATTTTCGGGTTTTCATAAAAAAAGTCCGGTTCCGTTGGAGTTTGGAGTTGGATCCGTTGCAATTTGATGGTTGACGCTCTTCTGATTTACCAGGAGTCGAACTTACAAAGTGTGCAAATGATTGTAAACACAACCATATAATTCAGTGAGAAATTTCGGTTTACCACCC